TACAATACCAACAAGCGTAGTGGACGGCCACCAAAAGTAACTGAAAAAGACGTGCGCCGCCTCCTTCGAACTGCTTCCAACTCCTTCTTGAGCTCACGCGAGCTTGTTGACGAGTGCCAGCTGACGATAAACGCCAGGCGTGCACATCAATTGCTCAACAAGTCAAAGCACCTCAAGGTTTATCAAGGCAATGGTGTCGCCAACCCTCACGGAACAGCATAAGAAGGCCCGTCAATTGTGGGCATGTGAAAAGGTCACCTGGGGTGACCGTGATTGGGCCAATGTCGTCTTTAGTGACGAAAAGAAATTTTATCTGATGGCCCTGACGGCCTTTAGTACTATTGGCACGACCTACGCAAGGAAAAAACGATCTTTTCCAAGCGGCAATCAGGTGGTGGCAGCGTCATGGTGTGGGGCGCATTTAGCGCCAAGGGAAAGACAACTCTGGCCATATTGGAGGGCACTCAAGATAGCGCTGCGTACGTGGAGACGTTGTCGGACCACCTGTTCCCCTACATCGACTACCATTTTGGCCGCGAGTGCATTTTCCAACAAGACAATGCCTCTATTCATGGATCCAAGGAGACCAAGGAATTCTTGGAGGCGCACAACGTACGCGTTATGGAGTGGCCAGCGAAGTCCCCGGACTTAAATCCCATTGAAAACATGTGGGGTATCCTTGCACGTGCTGTCTACGCACAGGGACGTCAATTTGCGTCGAAAACGGACCTCATTGCTGCCATTTTGAAAGCGTGGGATGAGATTGGGCAAGACCTGATTGAAAAGCTGTTGCGGTCGATGTAGAAGCGTTGTATCAGTGTCTTGGAACTCAAGGGGGGTAAAACAAAGTATTGATAGCTATTTTGATGGTAATCGATATGCAATTATGCTTTTTTCATGTGGTGGTGTTATACTTATTGCCAGCCAAAAATATCTGATCTTATCATAGCGTGATTTTGGATGCTAGAATGGACATATTTGTTGTTCTTACCAGCCTAAATTTCGTATTAAATCACTTGAACAATGTCGTGGAATCGTGTTATCGCATGGTGCTAATGTAACGGACAAATTTTGGGGTGGTCTTAAACTTATTGCCAGCACTGTACCAGTAGTTGACAAGCTTGGCCCATGTAATTAATATGGTTTATGCGAAGATGCAAAACTAGGACGGATGTCTCCAGTTTTGACACTAGTAATGCTGCTACGATGCACACGCCGCAGCCTGGGGCAAGCAATGTAGCAATGAGAATAGAGCGATCGTATTGGCCAGTTATTTTCATTTTTCCATCATTTAATTGGACATAAATTTGGTAAGGCATTCATGAAAAAGATCCGTTTAATGGAGGAATTTAAAAATATCCCATACAAACATGAATCTTCTTGCAATATAATTTGACCTATTTCAAATCGATTTAGGGCCTGTTCCAAGTAAGATCTTTAAAAAACGAAAAAATACTCCTAGTTTCCAACTTTTTTACTTCTTTTTCTGCGATTTTTTACGCAACTCACTAATGTAATGTTATATGTTATACCAAAAATACTTCGAAGTAGAAAAAGAGTCCCTGACGTCTTTTTCTAAGAGTAAATCGTGAAAAAAAAGTGTTAACAGTCGACGAGACCATCAATCATTTTTGCATAATTTTATAGAGTGCATAATCAGAAAAAGCTAGATATAGATTTGACGGAATATAGAAATGCAAAATTATATATCACAGGTTATCATTAATTAGGTTAAAGATACTTTAGTTTTGACAGAACTGTATTCTATTAATCATGCTATATTGAAGGCTATTAAGTTTTAGATGATTCTAGGAATACCGGCGGATTCACCGCAAAAAACTGTGCAAGAATATGGCCTTCTTTTTACAAAATTGCTAGGTAGTAAGCGTTAAAAATGTCGAAAAGACCCCTTGATGGTCTCGTAGACTGTAAATCGATATTGATTGGCTCATGCTATTTCTGAATTTCTGAAAACCCTACTACTACTGTTTCACCATACGAATTCTGTATTATGTGTTTCCTATTGAATTTTTTCAGTTTTCACAGTCAGAAGTCGAAACCCATTCTTCTTTGCCGAGCTGCTTCCATTTCCCGGCAGCAACTGCGAAATATGTCTCTTAAATTGGAACTCTACGTTAGTAGTAGGTACAGTGTAGTACTAGTACGTTATGCCATTATTCCGAGGGTCTGAACGAGCCATGACACTTGACGATACTACTAGTACATGTGAGATATATACATCCAGCACCAAGGGCGTTTGGGGCTCCAGAAGACTACAGTACGCGTCGGCTCCATTGCTAACAAATGAGATCCTTGGGGTTGAATGGCGCCGAGTCGATCAAATTCAGAGTCAAGCGGCGGTGGAAGAGTTCCGTGAGTGCGTCAAAGCAGATCTTCGCCACAGCTGGGTCGTATCGCCCTACGACCACCATCACCATTAGACTGTGCTTCCTTCGCGCATTTCACTTACCCTTGCTGGATTCATCGCGAATAAAGGCGTGGTCGGCCTTCAACTCCATCCACGTAAAGTCCACTTTGGCCTCGGTTAGCCCGTCGTAAATCGAACGACGTCCTTGGCGAGGAACGTGGGGGTCCTTTGTCCCAAAGATCATGAGAATTTCCCCGCGAATGTCGCTGCATCGAGCCAGCGATTCCACTTCGCCTGCCTCCCGCGGCTTTGCACCCAACGTTTCCGAGTGGATGTCCGTGCCAAAGTAGCACACTGCAGCACCAACTCGAGGGTCCATTGCTGCACGGAAGGCCAGGTGTCCACCAAGACACATGCCAGTTACCCCCACGCGGCCATTGGCATTGGGGTGCGCAAGAAGGGCCGTGATGGCGGCGGTGGCGTCGTCGTCGTAGGACGACAGCCGTTTGTCCTTCTTCAGCTGGTTCCCCAGGTCCGTACCAGGTACGTCGTAGGCAAGGACGGTACCTGGCTCCAAGAAGTTGTGGTACGACTCGCAGGACGCAACAAGGAAGCCTTGCGCTGCGATTTGGCGGCAGAAGCGGGCCACGGGTCCAGTCACTTGGTAGATTTCGGTGAAGACGAGGATCGAACAGAGCTTAGTGCTGGCGTTGGCTGGGTCTAAGAGTAAGGTGGGAGTGAACCAGTGCAGCCGCATGTGCGTCGTCGCCGTCGGGACATCAGTGAACGACTCGGTCACCAACATCGTCAATGAAATTTGAGCAAAATCGGCAGTCAATTCATATTGGTTGGCTAAAATGATTTACAACTTAGCCGCCAAAGGCAAACGATTCGCTGAAAACTCACCAATTAGTGAATTCAACATAATTAAATATGTGTATAATGAATGAGTCATATTTTTTCGTTTATCGCATCAACCCCAATCCAACCAATACTGCACCAACTTGATATCTCAGGCTTTACTGTTACTGTAATAAATACCATTTGCAAGCAGCAATGCACTATTGTGAGTCCATGCTAATGTTAAGCTGAAATTCGAACACCACACTTTTATTTCTCGAGTCCTCGGGTTGCATACGCTCGAAATACTGCATGAGGGGTTGCCACGAGGACGTCAAACCGGGTATTTTTCGCTTGAACGTCGCTGCCATCCCCCTTTTCACGCATGCTTCGCACCCCCTTGACTGCGGACCCCACTGGCGCCGTGAGTTCCTTGATTTCTTGCCCCAGCCGACAGTCGTCCACGAAGTTCTGGAGCAACGCCTGCACTTGGCGAGGACTGTCGTGGTGTTGCTGGTTGGAAAACTTCTTTTTCGACTTGAGAAACAGTGCCACGTACACAACGGCCGACGCTTGAGCGCTCACAAATGGAAACTTGAATCGCTCGGCGCCTAACGCGACCATGGCCTCTTCCGTCGCCCGAGTCAAAGCTTGTTCTAATCGCCCTGGGATCGTCACATTCAACGGCGCCGCGTCCACAAGGGGCGGCAGTTTCGCCGGCAGTTGCTGCGACGCATACAACAACGGCTCGACGAGAAATCTCTGTTTGGCTGCGTGGTCGACAAAGCAATAGATGGTCTGGTGCAGTGCCGCAAGAATGTACGGGCATCCCTTTCGAATAGACGACCAGTCGGAAGGACCGTGGCCGTCCTTGTACGTAACGGGGCAATATCCCTGGAATCCCAATGCAACGATGACCCCGTGGCACAGCAACGTGCCTGGGCCCACATCGCGAGCCAGCGGCGGCTGCACGGCCGTGGCGGCGGCGAGGGTTTTACCTGGATTGGCCAAGAACGACGCCATATTGTCGGGATGGCCGAGATAATACTGGAACGACTGGTACTCCACCAACAACTCTCGGTCCAGCACGTGGCCACGGACCGCGCGTTGCACAGCCAGACCCACTGGACAATACGTGGCGATCGTTGGGTGCAGTTGGACCTGCGATTGCGCGAGGCGGATGTTGAACGTAGGTGCAGGTCGATGCGACGCCAGCGCCTGCCAGTACCTACATATATGAATCAAACGTTTTCAATCTCAATTTATGGGCATATTGTCGTACTTGGAGGTCGCGTCTACGACATGTCCGATCACTTGCTGGGCATGGGCGACTACCTTCCACGCAGAGTTTCCGTCCACAGAAAGGCAATGGACGAACCCTGCACCGTAGGTTTGCGTCATGGCGACCAGCAACGCCACGCGCGCAGCCTGCCATGTTTTGATGCGTTTGAGCAACGCCACCGACGTCGCCCCGTGCGCCTGCGCAGCGTGGGCCAGCAACGTGTACGGAGAGCCTTCCAGCCACACCACCGACGACGGCAACACGTCCCCCACGTTTTCCCACGCCGTCCACTGGGCCACGTTGCTGGGAAACCCATCGACGACCCACCCGCGTTGCTGGCACTCAAACGACCGGATTCGAGCCACGAGGACCTGCAGCAGCAACGCATCCGTGACCAAGGACAAGTCAAATTCGACCGTGTCGCAGTTCGACTTTAGGGCTTTCACGGGCGCCCACAACGTGGTGCCGCGCTGACACGCATACACCCACTGGAATGCGCTGTGGGGCGAAATATACACAGCCCCAAACTTGGCGCACAGCCCCTTGGCGACAGTTGTTTGTCCGCTACAAGGGCCGCCCAGCACCGCCACCGCCACGCCCGGCACAGTTGGGAAAGTCGGTTTACTTGCAAACGACCACGGTGCCGCCGTAAACGCTGCCACATCGCTCGGTGTATACACCCTGCCCCGATATGCGACGCACAACTGCGAGTCTAGCGGATCGGTCGACCGGTGGGAAGGCCCGGCCACCGGACAATGGGGTCCATGGTGTCCAATGGTCCAGTAGCCAGCGGCCACAAGCGTCCGCGCACGCTCCAACGCAGTCGTCTCTGGCAGACAAAAGATGTTGGCTTGTCTTGCCAACCCCGCCTTGAGGAGACTTGACACGGTATCCTTGGCGACGCGCTTCTGGCCTCGATTGGCGTCCACGGCATCGGCAATGCGGATTCCTTGCTCTTTGAAGAACTCCAAGGCAGCAGACACCGCTTCGAGCTCTGCCGTGATGATTTCAGTGACCCTGACCGTCTCTTCCTCGCGAGCAATTGCTTCTTCTGCTGCCAAGCGCGCGGCCTTCTCCTTAGGACCTTCGTTTGGAACGTCATCGCCATCTGCATCGTCTGAAGGCATGGACGGTGGGGTGTACGTCCACGCTTGCATCGTCCGTTGTAGTGCCGTCGCAGCATCCACTTGCAACGGAACTACCACAAATGGAAACCATTTGCGCGCCACACACATCGCGAGCAACTCGGGTGACGGAATGCGCGATGCACCGTACCCAAACCCCGGAAGAATATACGGCGCCGACCCGCTGCCGTCCACCGCCGCCCACTCGGCAGCCAAACACGATCCGTAGAGCTGCACTTTCACGGCTTCGTCGACCTCGTCCGGATCTTCGTTGTTCCCCCCGGCGTTGAATTTTTCGATAGCGACGAGGCGACTGTACGAATCCAGCACCCGATCGCTCTGGAATGACGTGGCGTGCCATTTCTCCTCCAATGCTCGGGCCTGCGATCCCATCAAAACGCCGAATTAAGTAGTAGCTACCGGGGAAAGTACATGTATGAGTAGACCTTACCACCGTGCGTCGGCCAGACGTGGATAGTCCCAGCAGCAACACAATCGGGCGAAAGGTTGTCGAGGCACTTTGTGGAATGTACTTGCGTGGATTCCGATCAAAGGCAGACTTCTCAGCAGCGCCAGCGAAGGCATACGTCCGTTGGCGCATGTAACTGACATATTCGGTGGGCTTTCCTGGCACAAGTCGCCACAGGGGGGCCGTAGAATACGTGACGGGGCAGAACAATCCGGTCTCTCCCCATTGCTTCCGTGCCGCCTCTTCTAACGCAGACATCGGAGGGGTCGTGCTGGTGCTACCGCCATCTTCGTCGGCATCTAGGCGGTTTGAGTACCACGGATCCAACCGCCGATGCAACGCTACAAGAATGTCGTCGTCCGTGGTAGCAGCATCCATAGCAATCGTGACGACGGCCACATTGTCGGCTGCAATCAGCGTCAAAAGGGCTTGGACGGAGGCGCGGTGTTCCTTTTCTTGACTGGTTGGAGGGGGGACATCAGGGCCGCTGGGGGGTGGGTCAAACACTAGAACGGCGTCGGGTAAAATATTCAAATCCTTCATGGAAGTCCACGTCGTTGCGGCTACTGGGAGGCCATGGACTACCCACGGATCCTGGCCTTGACCTAGCAACCGCTGCAACATCTCCTTGGTCACCACGTCGTGAGGGACACTCTCTCCTGCAGTTAACTTGCTTGTGATCTCCGGATTCTGCGGAGCCGACAAGACCCCCGTCGGTTCGATCACGACACTATTGGCGACCGAATGTGTGATGTCTGTGGCTACGGCGGTCGCGACTCGAGGTAGCGAGAACAACGACTGCGACAATGTCGTGGTGGCGACGACGAGCCACAGTCGCTTTATTTGCGATTGTAGTCGAGGGAGCCGCAGTTCGTTCAGGGGCGACAGCACCCGTTCAATGAATTGCTGTGGAGACACTCGAAAGGCGTCAAGGGCTTCCATCGACGATAGCAAGTACACCTACGCCACCCATACATTAAGGCTGTGGTTGGCGACGTTTGCTAAGCAACGCACCCTGCCCGAGAAGAGTGCTGCAAACGTGGGCTGGCCGTGGTGACTCGGGTTCACAGGACAAAACCCCCGAAAGACAGACAGTTTTCGAGGCTCGGACGGCGGCACCAGGTGCTTGACGGAAGCGAGAGGTCCACCATCTTGTAAAAGGGTCGACCAGTCGCCGTAGAGGAGCCACCGGATCTGATCCCCGCGACTCGTCGCCAACACTTCCGGCGGCAAGTCCACGCGGACCGCAGACAAGGACGGGGGCAGGCGGGAAAGAGGCGGACGGCTCTGACATCACGACAAGCATATAGTGAGAAACGACCCATACGATGGCGTGGGAAGGACACATACCCCGGTGATGACCCCCACTGCCTGCTGCAATATCCCGATGGGAGACTGATGAAACACGATGCGTACGACTTGCGTGTCGGCTGGCACCGTCGCCATAGTCTTGGCCACACTTCTCTCATACGCCGTGAACTCTGCTTCGAACGTCCGTAGCCACACGTTGCCCATGTTGATTACACGATCTTGGTGAACTGGCAACGTGTGTGCTGCGAATTGATCCTACATACACCGGAAACATAATCAGGGGAAATCGACGTCATAACCATGTAAAACATACAAGGGATTGTCGAGGAAATCGAAGCAAGTCCGCAGAAGGTTTAACGTCTTTGGTGGCGCCTTCGTCTTCGTCGTCAACTAGTTCCTTGCCCTCTGCACTTTCGTCGGAAACAAGGGGGGTCTCCACAACACCAGTCGACGGGGCTAAAGCTGCCGCTCCTGGCTCCACGTATGTGTGTGCAAAGCCCACGACGCCTGTAAATTGCGCGAGGTCCCGCGCCGAATACAACAACCGACGCTTGGGACAAAACGAAATGGATGCCACGTGCTCGGCACAATTCGGTTGTGACCCCGTCAAACACACCACATGAGAGAAATGCAGCTACAAGGGAACCAACCAATCAAGCCATGAATATGATACCACCACTGATTTCTGGTCGAGTATTTGATCGCCAAGCGACGTACGCCGAGAAACGCATCGCTGCCCCAAGCATCGTGTGGATACAAGTCGTCGACAAGAAAGCCCTGCGCGCCTATATCATCGAGTCAATGCCCTATACCCAACAGGTTATTGTAGAAATATGCGACTACCATTCAACGACTCGACCATGTGATACAACAGCGCTGCCACGGCTTGCTCCCGGGAGACTGTACGACCTGCCAACAACACCTCACGAATGGTCGCGTACAATTCTGCCTGGGGGGTGACCTCCGTCGCCCCCGGGGGCGGGGGTGACGTCTTTGCAGCGATGTCGAGGACTAGCGGAATCGAAAAGTACGACACGCCCAGGATGGCTGCGAGCGCGGCGGCAAGTCGCGTCTTGCCGGACCGAGGGGGTCCCACGACACAAATCCCGGGTCGCGGGGCGATGTTTTGCAGCAGGTTGGCGACTTCGGGGTCCCACACTTCGGGGCGGATGCGGTCCGTCATGAACGGGATCTGCAACGCGCTGGCTGCCGGTTTTGCCGACGCCACCGCCGCGAGGACGCTGGACTTGGACTCCCGCAGCATTCTCGGCGGGGGCTGCTTGGCTTGGTACAGTCGGTACTCGGACTCGAGCTGGCCTTTGGTAATCGCGTGTAACTTCTGCGAAAATGCACCAAATAGCGGTGAGTGCATGGCACAGACAACGGCTTTGAACGACAGAGACTTAAACTCGGGCTGGGTGACGGGGAACCCAGTGATCCAGTCACCATTGCGGTTGTTTCGTAGGAGCGCGTCGGCGTCGTTGTTGTCCACATCGAGTGCTTTCACGATGAATTTCTTGAGTTCTACAAGGAACATCATCACAAGTCCATCGAGCATGCAAATAAGTGTTGGTGAGGATATCAATGCATACGAGTACCAGAGGGGGTGCGCAAGCGGTGAGGCACGACCTCCTTTAGCAAAGGCTGCAGTTCCGGGACTGTAGCTTGGAAACATGCGTCGCTCACGTCCTGGATGGTGATGGACCGACGCACGTCCATGAGGAAGACGCAATACTACGCCATGCCACCATTGAGAACGTGTATTATTCTGGAAGAAGGCCGACCTCGTGTGAATCCGTGTACGGACAAAAGAGGTCGCAGATCTCAAACACAGCGTCGACAAAGTCTGAAAGGTTGAGCGACGCCCGACCCCGAGCATCGTGCGCCCAATCTCGCTAAGGACAATCAACAAAATCAATTCGTATGGGGACGCTTGTCTTGCTACGGAAGCGCACTCACCTGTGCAAGTTCTCGAGCCGATTCTATGGTGGCAGTGCTGACAACCACGTACGCGATAAGCTGAAACAAGTCCAAGTACGAGGTCTAGGTGTGACAACGCGATGTGAACTGCGAGTGTCGTGTCGATTGATGAATACCTGGTGCAACCTCCCCGCCGTGTCTTTTGCGGCGAGGTCCCAAAGGAAATGAATGTGCCCGAGCACGGCCTCGTCCAATTTGACAGCTTCCCGACGCTGGAAACTGAACTCGACGTAGTTGGCCTCGCCCACCTCCACGACATTCGCCTCCACGCGCTTGGCCACGAAGAGTTGCCGCGACATCCCTCACGTCGAATGTCTTGGTCAACAGTCGCAACAGTTTCACGTGTAACTGCCGCCAACCTCAAAACCGACAGTCACAGCAAATACGTGGAGTTTGTATGATTTGTATTACATAACGGTATTGCCACAAGTACTGGTAATCGAACGCACACTCTGAAGGTGTCCGCAGTGGATGTACCCAGATATATCCATCCAAGATAGTATGCGGTTCATAGATGTCGTCCAGTAGTGCCAACAGTCCTACTTGTACCGACGACGATGTGGATTTCACATCCATTGAAAATCGTCACAGAAGTTTTTTCGCATCCCAGAATGAACTTCCGAGTGTGAAAGAGTGTAAATCTTTTGTTTAAAAATACATATGCGTATTGAGATAATTTTATGCAAACGCTGATTTGAAGCGCTCTCAAACCACCAATCTCATTCTTATTGGTGGAAACAACATGGGATGGTGAAATCGCTCTCAATTGGATCATCCTGCACTCTCTCAAATGTCTTGGCATCGGTTGTTGCGATCAAGGAACCCATGGTGCATCACTCCGCAAAGCATCGTGTCGCCTCTTAACGTGCGACGGAGTCCAAACACATGTCACATGCCCTTCCCGTGCGGATATGCATGGAGACGTCACTGGCATGTGACCTGTACCTATACAACGACTACGACGACCTCGACGAGTTCGAGCAAGAGTTGATCGCACAGTTGAGTGCTGCAAAGACCTCGTCCAAGCTCCCAGCCGACTCTCCCGTTGCGAATGAACCTTGTGCTGTGACGATGCCATGCACGCAGCCAGACGCCATGGCGGCGCCCACCAAAGCTGGCAGGATTCGATTGGAGTGCGCAATATGCCTCGACGCGGTTCAAGTGCCCACCGCCACAACCTGTGGCCATATTTATTGCCGCGCGTGCATTGTCGAGTCCCTCCACTTGCGCAAGAAGTGTCCGATGTGCTCGACGAAGCTCACGTTTCGCAACATCCACCCGCTCTACTTTAATTAATTGAGCTCTGATTCCCGAGTCTACTCACGACACTGTCTCCCTCGTGCCGAAATCCAGTCGAAGGAGCAATTCCTACGGCAGTCATCACTCCATTAGTTCGCCCCGTTGACATGTTTTCAGCACCTGGGCCGCTGGAGCCGAGGATCGCCGTAATTCGTCGCAGAGTGCCCGCAACGTGCCGTCGTCGACACCTTGCGCGGTGTCCGCCAAGTGGCCCAACGCCCGCTTCAACGCCACAGCCCTTGTGCCATTGTTCTGCACGACCTCCACGACCAGCATCACTCGGCTCAAACATGCTTGGATCTTTGCGTGCACCTGAACGAAGGAAGCCACAACCAAGATCAACACGCAGTCAGGTCGTCCATGAACGCCTTGATATATATATATATATATATATATATATAGGAGTGGAATTCGTACCGCAACAGAAGCGCTGTCGAGAAAGCACCTGCGAGTAGTTTGGTGTTCAGATCAAAGCAAACTATTGCATTACGTCCAGGTGGGGATGACTCACCGAGTGGCCACAGCGTGAACGTAGCCGTCGTGAAGACGCTTGAATGCGACAGCGTCCCGACAAGACTCTGCAAGTAGCTGGAACCGATGCCATTCCTCTGCGATCGACTGCAACAAACACATGTACACCCATTTCAGCACATATATGTATGCATATATACCAGGTACTTGGGTAAGTATATACAAATATATATATATATACATCACATGTACACCCATTTCAGCACATATATATTATATATATATACTTGGGTACCTGAAAGCAATGCGCCACAAGCGTGGCACACAAATGATGCATGACGTGCAGCATCAAATGGCCTGACCGTGCGACGATGGTGTGGTGCGTACGGAGAACGCGCCGGACGCTTTGCATGGACACTGCGATGGCTTTGAGCTGGAACAAGTGTTTGTGCAATGTCACATACAAGTGCAATGTGGACACTGGCACGACCACGTCCGTCAGCACAGTCGGCAGCGCATACACGGGTTCAATTCCTTCAAGCACTTGGCCGAGCGATGGCACGATCGTGGTAGCGCCAAGCACTACAACGAGTTTCAAGCGACGATGTCACAGATAAAAATAATAGGTTCGATACAATGAGTGAATATACATGTTTCCAGCTCGTCGGTGGGACGAAACGCAAACAGCATCGTCGAGTCGCGGGTCACGTCGTACTGGGCTTCTTCCAGCGCATGTGCCAGCAAATCGTTCAACGCGCCAGGCACGCCCCAGTTGACACGACTGGACGCGTCCAGCCCCTGGATGAATTCGTGCATGAACTGCTCGACCCACAATCCTATCGACCACAGTTCCTTTATATGAAGGCAAGTATGCATATATACCCCCGGACAAGAGCATGATGTCGTGCAGGGTTTGCAAGTGCTGCATCAAGTGCACGTGGTCCCGAAACACAGTCAATGCCACCGACCCCACAAACGAGCGTTGGTTCAGGATAGGTTCCACGAGGCTGCATCGAATTAGGCTTTCAATGGGCGCGTATTCCACCGGATCAACGTCCTAAATTGCCAACAACACAGTTAGGTGATACTAATTATTTTCAGCAAGACTATGGATATACTATCGAGGACTAGTTGTAGTTGTTAGTACTCTACCTGATCCATCAACGCTCGATACGTCTCCAGCACACGCGCGTAGTCGCCCGTGAGAGTTGCGGTGGCAAACGTCTCGTGCGCCAACACTTGACGGGGCGGCGTAAGTCGTGATGTCGGGGCCGCTGCCCATTCCATCGTGATGTTGGACGTTGGATACACGAGATCTTGCCTCTTTGGCGGCGGCACCGCCTCGGTCAGACCGCCAAACACCAGACTCGACACGCTGTCGTGCCCGCCGCCGGACGGACCTAGCACTTTGACGCTAGGACGATCTTGCACGGCCATCGTCGAGAATTGGGCGTACAACGTGTCACTAAGCTCGTCGCCGTTGCCGCCTGGGGCTTGCGATACACGGACGGATGCGCGCGGGGACGCATACTCTGCATCGTTTCGCCCGTAAATCAAGTCATTGGCGACGTTTCCGTCTCCGCCTGAATCTTGCAGAATCCGAACGTGGTTCACATGTGTGACGAGGTTGGATGGTTCTTCATCCGGATACAGCAAAGCTGATGCGGCCCTGCCACTGCCCCCAGGCTCTTGCAATACGCGCACGGACGACCCGTGGACGGCTAGATCGCGCTCGATTTGGTCGTCGCGGGGGTAGATGACATGTCCCGCAGCATGTTTGCTCGTCCCCCCCGGAGCCTGCAGAATCCGAACGTGGGGAACGTCCACAGGCCTCTCCAAATTGGCGTGGTAGATGGCGTCGCTAGCCGCGGTGCCACTCCCCCCAGCTTCTTGTGTGACCCTCGTCGTTGGCAAATCGACTGGTTTTTCTTGGTCGCCGTGGTAGATGACATTTGACGCGTCTTGGCCACCCCCACCAGGGGCTTTGAGCACCCGCACCGAGCTTGGCATTCCAACGGTGTCGTCGTTGTTCAGTGCGTTGGTGGGTGGTTTCAGAGAGTCACCTCGGGGGCTTTTTTTAATATATGGCGTCTTGGGGTTGTCAAGTGGGTTGTGGCTAGTGCTGGTCCCGATCAATGATGGATAGGTTTGTGATATTCGAGTCGCCATCGGATCCGCTTCTGGGTGGTTGCCGGGCACGTCCATTCCCACGCCTACACCGTCCACAACTGAACGACAACCATAATATTTTACCAGCACATACCTGCATACCAAGCCGAAGACTCGAGCCGATACAGCTTGGTCAAGGCCGCTTTGAAATGCTCCTTTCGTCGCACGCGCGCTTGACGCCACAGTGCCCGTCGGTGCTTTCGATCTGCTTTGGCCATGAGGTCTGCATAACTGGACACTACTCGTGAGATATGGTTTGACTATCGACGTGCGTACGTACATCTCTACCAGTCGTCGCCGATTGTCTTGGTCGGCTTTTTCCTGTGCGGCTACCAACTGGGTCTGTTGAAGTGCGTGGTCGAGCTGCCCTTGAGCTTGGAGGCGCAGCGCCAAGTCACGGTTGTGAGCCACTTGTTCGTCCAGGAGCTTTCGCTGCACTTGCTGTTTCAAGCGTTTCACTTGGCGTTGGCCTTCGTCGTGGGCTCGCATATCCTAACACAGGTCCGACGTTGAAATCAAACTTCGTCGTGTGTGATGTAGCAGAGAGTGTGTATTGTGGCTGTAGTAGTAGAAGTAGTAGTACGTGGTGTGCAAATGTGTTTCCGTGCGAGTGAGTCGTCGACAGCGTATGATTCAGCGCGTAAACGGAATCGGCCACAGCTTGCATTTGCGCGTCGCTGTAGGCTTGGACGGCCGACCGAGTCGTGGCCAAATTCACCGCATGTTGGGCCAGGTAGTGCTACACAGCGATATGCCACGTCATACACACACAATCAACCGAAGTCGTACGTACGTGAAGGGCGTCGTGGTCGGTGACTAGTTGAAGCGGATGCCACTTGGACTAATCAACCATATATCCAGTTGGTTGACAAGTGTTGTAGTTTGGACATGTTAGTTCGAACTACTCAATAGTTAGTAGCATCGTACCGACGTGAGGTAGTACACTTGCGAATGCACGGCGCGAGTCACCTGCAGCAACGACCTGGTTTCTGCAATCGCAAGGTTGAGGGTGTCGTCATCTTTGTGCTGGAGGCACTCCAAGCATTCAAACGACTGGTCTTGAGCAAACTCGAGCTACCAATAACCAGCCACATGTCGTCATGTATGCAAGCCTGTGAGTCAGCCGTACGTACGTATGCATCGTCCAAGGCACTTTTGCCAACAAACACCCAGTGGGTCAGCGCTTCAAAGTACGGCACGGACACGTGCGTGAAAAACCACATGGACAGCGCCGCCGTCGACGGGTCGCAAAATTGAGTTTGCACAATCCCGTGGTAGATCCGATTCAAGAGGGCCACGCCCGTGGGCAACGTGATCTCCACCTGCCACATGTCAGTTTTCATGCCTCGTTTCATATGAAACGAACGTGATAACGTCACACACCTGCTGATGTTGCCACAATGTATCGTCATCGCACAGGAACAACGCTGCGACGTGGCGCAACCGGCGCCGCAACGTACTCGTGGCAGCCCACAATTGGACCAGACTCTTGTTGTTGTGTTTTAGCTCCAACACAAACGCCTAGCACCAGCATATATAGAGTGAATTTCCTACATATTTCCCAATTTTGCGATTCGTAAAACATTTATCACAAATCTCGCCGCGAAATTGCATTGGATTTCCCCATATTCATCAAACGATGTAAAAAGAAAAACTAAAAAATGTAGCCAATCAGCAACACGCATTTTCAGGTTGACCAATGGGAGCGAGCGATTCGTGTTCAGTTTGGTCGGCGTGATATATATTTGATTGCACTGGGTCTGGAGATCCGTACCACATTCATAATATATATAAATATCACGACAATTTACAAGTCAGCAAAAATCGTACGTGATGGCCTGCGATAAAGTACTGGAGGGTCGTTCCCAAGCATTGCAACACCCGGCGGCCTCCATGCATGTCGTGGTGGCCACAATCACGAGCCAACGCTGATAACCGCCGCATGAATGTGCCCGTTCGTGCAAACTCCTACCAACCCACACATTCATGATATATATATATATATATATATATCAAAACAGCGTTTGGTACATCGAGCAGGTCCGAGACGTCGATGCGAGAATTTGTGGCAACTTGAATCTCTTTATCATAACAACACTCAAACAATCCGCGGCTTGGAAACACGGCCGAGTCGATACCGTTCAAGACGTCCAGAAGGCACTACGTTTGGTTTTCATGTACAAAACACCCCAAGTCAACTGTACCGCAACTAGCGTGGCCTCGGCGATGCGATTGGATGCGACGACCGTGGGACTCCCGAGCATGAGTCGACGGCCCAGTTGCACCTTGTTCGGCCCGAGGTTTTCCCATACTTGGAGCAGCGCATGTTGTTTGTGGGGGTGGTTCAGCGAGGTGGATTGATTAGATGGCTTTGGCTGATCCTGGATTGACGGTCCCAAGTCGACGTCGATTGTGGATTTGTGGGCGGAAAACAGCAAACAATTGCCGCCCCGTGTCGTATCCAACGGCGGTGGTCGAAGCAGGCCAGCGCTGCTGCTGCTGCATCGTGTCGATGATATGTCGACCACTCGTTGCCGGCGGCGAGGCAAGTGTTTGATTTTTGCGCTGCTGCTTTCAGCGTGAGCATGGGCCAAGAATACAATCATATCCGTACGTGAGGGCGTTCGAGATGAGGTCGGGCGGGGTCTCGTCGAGGGCCGGGACACTCAAACGAAGCTACGCGGTGGGGGATGAGAACGGAGAGCTACCTATCTACACGTGTCGTACGTCAAAGCGAACAAGCTGCGAGTCTGTGCGGTCAAAGGCACTGTGCTGCAAGGCGCCAAAGAGGTCGGCTGGTTTCGGGGTGGCCTTATCGTGCCAGAAATCACTTTGAAACGCGCTGTGCCCAGGCATGGCCTGCATCGCGTCGAGCATGTCCTTTCTACGGTCTTCATCACGTGAATCGAGACATATGGGGGATGTGTGTCTGGACGTACGCATCACAACTGGACACCGTATGGCCCATGCGGAACAACGAGTGGGGGTCGTTGGCCAAGTTCACGTTCGATTGCACGATTGTTTCGCCCATCCGACGGTTGTAAGCTTGGAATGGGTGGTGCTGTCGAGCCAACTGCCCAAGAAAAACGAGTTGGATATGGTGACGAGGTTGATGAAGATGGAGAGAGGGAGGATGCGACGATGTACCTGCAGCGTACGAGGGCCGAGGTTGGTGTCGGCATACGATCGCCCGGACGTTCCACCGGACAGCGCCAGAAGTACTCGAAGAATGGACAGCATGTCGTCATCGGGTGGGTCGGGGCCTTTTTTTGCCCGCGTTACAATGAGATCGTGTCGGAAACGAAGGCAGATGCATACCTTGGACGTGATGATCGATGATGGCGTCGATGCCGTCGGCAACTTGTTGTCTACGATGCAGTCAACAATCATGAACCATGCACTACGAGGGATCGTTCCGTAAGTACAATGAACTGTGCTGCCGGAGGTAATACGCCAAAGAAGCATATTCGCGAACGACAAACGCAGCCGCATTGGTGCTATCTACTTCCACAAGCGTTGTTGCTGCCTAAGGCATGACATCCATCATATCAAGTTCAAAAGTGACACATGTCCATTGATCGTACATGCGTGAAAAGCAGAATGTCGAGCGCATGACGCAAGTCCTTGATAGATCCCCGCGTGCCCACCTAAAGAGTCTCTAAGGCTCCGCATATGTGGTGGAATGGGGTCACCTCCTTCTTGTGCAGGGTTTGTAGGAGACCCACGAAGTCGCCGGTGGCTGGGTTGTCCCCGCGCAACATGATCACGATTTCCAATTCTATTATCCGGATACGGAAATCATAAGTTCTGGTTTTGTCAAACTGGCACCGTTTTAGAATTCGAAAATATAATGACTTTAAAAATGCACTTTGAAGTATTATTTCGAAATGAAAGTGCAGCATTATTGCGGTGCGGCAAGTTATGAACTTATCATATCCTCTCAGTGAATACAGTATATTTCCGTCCTACCTCCACACGACCAACAATACTGGCACAGTTTGAAAAGTCTAGCATACGAGATTATATTATCTTGGCATGTAAAAATGCAAAAATAATACTACGTAAGTCTTACTGTTAGTACAGTACAAGTACAGATTATATTATCTTGGCATGTAAAAATGCAAAAATAATTCTACGTAGTACAGTACAAGTACAGATTATATTTTCTTGGCATGTAAAAAATGCAAAAATAATACTACGTAGTACTAGTACAGTACAAGTAAGTAGTACAATGGTCCTAGGGGAGTTAATAGTTCGATGAAAGCAGCATTGCGGTGGGGCAAGTTATGAACTACCTAGTTACATCCACTCCGTGACTATATTTCCATCCTACCTTCACACGAGCAACAGCATTCCGCCGTCTCAGCCACTCCCACTTTGAACGATAACAGAACTACAGTACTACATTCCATGTTTACGAATCATCTTGCAAATATGTATATGTGATTGATGGAGCATCTAAAACTCGTAATCGCTGCATACACTAATAAGAGATGGCCGGGCAGCGTCGTCGCCGCTGCGACCAGAAGGGTAATACGCGCTTCGTTTGGCAAACTCTTGCGGGAGCGGAATCAAGTCATTCCGGGGGGACAACGCCACGCCTAGGTCGAACTTGTCGAACTCTTCCTCGACGAACGCCGCCGCGGGTTGCGTCATGCGCCTCCACGGATCAGGGCGGCGTTCCTGAGCGCCGTCCTGAAATACATATGCCGTCTGTTGGTCCCATACTTCGTGCTGCCGTGGTGGCTTTGACGGGTGTGGCGCGTTGGTAGCCTGCTGTGGTCCTTGGGGGGCACTCGTGGTGGTGGGATGTTTGACAGGAAGGTCTTGGCAGTCCATGTAAAACTTGGAAAACTCGTGCGACGGCGGCGGGGTCAGCTCCTGACTGGACAACGTCGTCGTGGTCGACGATCGAAATGATCGTTTCGGCATGTTGTGGTGTTGATTTTGGTGGGGGGGACCGGAGGACATCGCCGCCGCAGCCGCCGGAAGGGCCGCGACCTCTCTTGCATCTTCGTCCAACGGTCGCATCGTCATGTGCGTGCTCCGACTGGACGACCGCGACAGTCTCTGGCTGCTGGATTGAGGGGATGACAGGGTAGTTTGCTGTTCGAACGATCGATATGTGTCTCTGCTTTGGACGTTCGAGTACTGCGACCATGACTGGGTCAAACTCGAGGCGGTGTGAATCTGGTCCGACGCGGATCGGCCAGGGCGCCGATTGCTCATAAGCTGGCGCCGGGTGAGGGTGGACTCGTTGCTGCTGGTGCTGCACGGCAGACACGCCCGGACCGACCTGCGCTCCGCGGTGCCGACCATCACGTTGGTCGAGCACACGTTGCAAACGGCGCCGGTGCAGAGGCGGCAGTGGTGGCGCCGTCGGAACATCGTAAACGTCTTCAGACACGTCGAGCAGTGCGGCTCGCTGCCAAAATCCACGCGCGTGGCCACGGTCACAGACGCATCACGACACATGACAGCGATTTCATGCACGAGGGTATACGCCATGCGCTCCATCCACTTGTCACGCTTACGATTCCGTGCGGCGCACAGGACAAAGCTGACGCGGGATACGTCGCGGTCGTGGGTGCGCTCGATGAGGAAACCGGACCGGTTCAGGTGCACGCGGGTAGCCGGGGCAAACGGTACTGGGAACAAGTCCACGGCGTCCCATAGCTGGGTCATGTACTCGACGGTCGAGTCGTCTGTCGGCACTTCGTCCAGCTCTTGGCGGCGGCTGTCGTACAGCTTGGTGTGGCTCATAAAGACAAAGTCGTGGTACTCGGCCCCTTCCGTGCCAAACGTCATCCAGTGGAGATGCGCTGTGTCGGACGGTTTCGGGTCGTCGTTGGCATGGAGCGCGCCAAGGGTGTCGCCGCGGTGAAACCACGGAGTTCCGATCTTCGCCAAGACTTGGCTGAAGTGCTCGCCCAAGTCGAGCGCCGCCGCCAGCGGCCCCACGCGACTCGAAGCGTTGACGGACGCCTTGACCATGTAGTCCCCCGACGACGAGTACCCTTGGCACAGCAACACGCCGTTCTTTTCCTTGTAATACGTCCACTGACTCGACTTGGACGTTGAAGAGGACGACGACACCACGGACGTGTCCTGGTACAGGAAGTCGTGGCTCTTGATGGCCGCGGCATGCAGGAGCTTGTCGTGGACCGACGCGGGGAAGCCCTGGGCGGCGATTCCGCGCAGTTTGCGTCGGAACGCATTAGCCACGTCGTTGGCGCCTGCCGCTGGCCTTCGGACGTGCATCGATGGCAACGTTGACCCGAGCATGGGATCCATGGCGATATGTGTACAAGTTGGAAGCGTCTAGTGTACCTACCTGCACCGCGCGAGGCAGAATATTGTAGTGATAAACTTGGTTCGTGGGACAACGACGGTGCCGTGTCCTTCAACTGTAGCTACTCGGGTAAGAAATTGGGGGTCGGTCGCAAGCAAGCATACAGTCCTTACATCAGTCGAAGCCGTGACCGCTGCGCCCACTAGGTGACACACGCACAGGCTCCATCCAAACAATTTGGACCAGGTGGCATCTTCATACCCCAAATGCAGCGACCACTCGTATCATCTGCTGCCGTACAATGCTGTTTAAACCATGTTTGAGTGGTTTAAACTCTCCAAAACGTTTCTATTGATCTGAATCAGAACTACTGTCGTAGATTAGTCGTTTAACGTGTTTATAGTTCAAGTACGTTTAATCTTTTGCTCGGTTCGTTTTAGCTTGAAAATAGTATGTTGTGTATTCCACCCCTATCAAAGTGAAGTTGCGCAACGCAGCTGGTTGGTTTGGTTGGAATCGATTTGGGCAGAAACACTTTTTGAAGCGCAGCATTCGCCGACTTTTACGCAGCTGAGAGCGAAGGAAGGTTCTCTCTCTTCCATGGCGGCCACTTACTCAGCAGTGATGCACGAGGGGTACATTGGAGAGCTACAAAAACTAGCAACGACATCGTACGGCTGAGTTAGAATGAACGAAGAGAAGTCATCCACTCCAAGTTGATTCGATATTTGATGACAGAATGAATATAATAACTAAGTTACAGCAAAAAATGCACAGTTTAAAAATACAATGTGGAGAGTCAACCAAATGGACTTTCCGCATACTTCGAAGAAGTATTTTTATTTGTGAGCTTTCAGAGCGACCAAATGTTGGACAGTACAGTATTTTACAGTGAGGGTATGATGAAATCCACACTTCATCATTGTTTTAGGCCTGGATCTTTTGCAGTCATCAAATTCCACTTGCACGTGAACCATAACATGGAGTACAACGATACCGTGAGATACAGTACTTGAGTTGTCAAATTGGACACTCTTTTCGCGTGATATTATCGACCCTGGTCATATCACAATAATGTCAACATTCTACTGCAAATTGTGCCTGATATACTTTTACCCTGGTCATCACAATAATGTCAACATTCTACTGCAAATTGTGCCTGATAGGTATATACTTCCTTTTGCACATCTCTTGTGTCCGGCAATCCAATATGTGGACCATTTTTTTGCACACACTTGAATTGTCTCGCTAGCGCATCGCTTCTGGCGGCCTGTGAATTGACGGGCATTGCATCGCAATGCACGATCCGCATTGACACAAGGAGAACTCGCCATGCTGTGTACTGTAATAAAGGGACACCCATGCGACCAGTATACAATGAAGTAACTATAACGACCTCCTCTACAACGTGCAATGTGCCATCTCCGAACAATTGCGATTCGGTATCCGGATGAATAATCGATCCGGATATGTTTTGTATCTTTTGTGTAGCGCGATTGCGATGGCTGGCTCAAGGCACCACCATGGCATGAAGTGCCTTCCGTTATATCCATCTTATGTGGCTTATTGTACAAAGAAGCATGCAGATCCCATCACAGAAGCTGCCCAAGTATTTGAGTATGGGCTTGCATCCGCCTCAATTGTTGACAAGTTGTTCATGGGTAGGGGCGAATCGGTGTCACTCCACGTCGACAACTTGGACCCAGAGGAGGTATGAACACGCCTTGCGGAGTCAGGACGTCCTCATGGTTTACGCGTAGCTGCGAATCATGTTTGACTTTCTGGCAAAGTGTACATCCATCGAACATGCACATATCGATGTTGGAAAAATCCCGACGAAACGTGGTCTGTGCCACCTTTGTTCGTTTCAGTCGATTCAGGACTCGCGTAGCGTATCGGCAAAAGCTGATGCGTCTTAGCCTGGACGAGCCGTATGCCATGATGCCACCAGGCTACATGAAGATCGTACGGTATGTCCAGCAACGAACCTCCTTGACTAGACACCTCACACTTCACTCGTAGAAGCATCAGCATCATGGCGTCCAAGGCCACGGAACTCGTATCTCTCCACTTGGCAGGCATTCGCATCCCTCTCGAAGTCGCCTCGGATCTCGCCCATGTATGCGACATCGTTACTGCCATTTGTTTCACATCTTCTATGGGTTTAGGGACTCCAAGGCTGCCGCGCGCTCCAGTCTATCAATTTAGAAGGCTCGCAATTAGGCGACAGCGGCTTGGACAGTACGCTGTGTGATCGAGTCTTGTCACTCAGCAATGTTTCCTTAGTCCTGGAAGAACGACTGGCTAGTCGGCCAAGCTTGTGCCACTTGGGATTAGCTCACTGCAAACTCACAGACGTCAGCGCGAGGCCACTTGCGCGGATCCTTCGCGTACGCCGTACTTGAATTATACATGTGGCGATTATTCTACATAAATCCTACTATTGGTATAAAAAAGGATTATTTTATATTGTGCTTTCGAGTGAAATTTCGTGTTGTGGTTTCTCGTTGGAATTTAAATCGATTTAATTGGCTACCTCAAAATTATTAACCAATCAAAACCTTCTCAATGAAATTCAACAACCAATCACATCGATTGTGGATCGGTTTGGTTGGCGCGATTCGATTGCACCCCCTAATTTGTATCAAATCGACAATATAGATATTCATGATCAATCCATTAGACCCAGGCCGCGCGGCGCGATGAAATGTACTGGAGCACGACCTTGCGCGGTCAAACGGTGCCCAACCGAGGGGAAGGCTGTTTTCTCTTGAACGTGGCATCGAATGCACTTGGAGATGGCGCGACCGACGTTTTGTGTCATGCACTGTACAACGACAATTGGCTTTACGGTACAGTTACAGTAGTTGTTCACTGGGGGAGAGATACGTATTGTGGTGTATGCGACAGGGTTGAATCTAAGTGAAAACAACATTGGGCCACGGGGAGTATTGAATTTTGCCGACAGCTTGCAAACCAACACGACTCTGACGGTGCTATTGCTCCAACACAACACCAACACAGGTACGTATACTGTACATTCATTCTACTCGTTATGGTCACATACTGTAATCGTTATGGTCACATACTGTAATTTACAAGGATAGAAAATGAATATGTGACGTGGTTTTATTATTTCTGCGTGGTGGTTGGTAGACGATCGTGTGTCGTCGTTTGTGAATACGCTGCTGCAAGATCGCCAAATGGCCACGACGAAGCAGACGTCGATGAACCATCCGATGGAGCACACGCTGCTCAAGGCCGTGCTCAAGTCCTGGGGATGCCTCCGCCGCACCGCGGACGACGACTTGCTGGCTAAACTGCTTTCAAAGCGCACCAAAACGACTAGTGTCGCGAGTAAAGTGGACCACCGCGGCGGCAAAGTCCTTCGACGCTCTTCCGCACCATCCATTGGTGGCAAGGCACCGGTATACGTCCATGTTCCGCCTTCTTTCGATCGAAAAAAGAGTTGAATTCCACTTATATAGCTGACGAAATCGTCGTCGTCGTTACGCCCTGCACGCCCTGCATTGTCGTCCGTGCCCAAAGCCTCCAAGGTGAAATCGGGGGGACCAAAGGCGGCCAAGAAAACCATCTTGACAAAGAGCAGTGTGAAACATGCCAAGCACACGGCAGCAACTACTTCGTCTTTGAAAATCGGCAAACAATGTCCGCTAACATTGCAACCCGAACGCGACGGCGTAACGGCGCTGGATATGCTCCTAAATGAACAGTCTGTGTTCCGGTCCAACCAGGAAGACCCCGCCGTCGTCGTCGCCGCCCCGGCCAAACGGTTGGACCAGCAAATGGTAGTAGCGCTTGTTCCTGTCATACATTGAGTATTTGAAACGAATCGAGCGATCATACATGTGTATGTGCTGGCTGTAGTTGATCAAGCTCATGGAGCGCATCTCCACCTTGGAAACAGCGCAAGCCAACGCCCAGCAACACATTGACCGCGTCGAGGCAAGTGTGCGGGGATCCTTGGCATTATCACAATGGTTGGTCCGTGTCTGTCTGTAGGCGGAAAACTTGGCGCTCAAACAAAAAGTCGCCACCGTTGTCGCAGATCCCAAGCCAGTGGACGCCTCGACCGCCGACATGATCCAAGCGCTGGAATCTGCGATAGGGCACTTGACAACCCAAGTGTCCCAGCTAGAAACGACACACAAAACCTCGTCCAAGCGACAGGCAGAAGACACCTCCTCGTTCACTGACGCCATGCTCGACGACCTCTCTCTCCAACTCAAGCGCAGTTTTGGCCTCGACGAGTAGACGACATGTATATATGTAATATAGTAGTATATTTCTGCGACAGAGTTTCCATGCATGTATTCTTCCATCTCTTCATTCGCAACTTGCCTTGTTGGTCGATAAGTGTTGTTTATCTCATCCAGTTGTTGGCAGACATTGGTTCGAACGGTAGACGCTGGCCATCCATCCATCCATCTCTGAATTGAACGACAGATGATGATATACATGCATCGCACTCTTGTGAAGAGAAGATGCACAATAGGCTTGGCGATCGTTCCGCAACCAAATCATGTGGTGACGACAGCCGCGCCGTGGCTTCACATCGTGCCCTTGTCCTTGGTCAAGAGATCGTTGTCGTCGCTGTCCGGGATTGGTTGTTTGGCAGGAAAGCTATACAATATCAAACATCCTTGCTTGAGCCCACTTGAACGAGATGATATTGTCGATATATTCGAAATTGAAGTGTTTGGGTGGTCTCAATCGATCGAGCAGAAGAACCAAATTGACACGATAATCGATATACGACCAATCAAAACCCACGAATATCAAGTAGCCAATCAAATCATCGTCTCATCGAACCAAGTCAACACGGAATTAGAGTGTGACTGAAACACTTGTATGATATCGATGGTTACAAAAGCCAGTACACAGAATCGATCGATCGATGGATTTGGCAAAGAATCATCAGCACAAAAGTCCACATTTGGGGTATTGTGCTTTCGAGTGAAATTTCATTGTGTTGTGGTAATTTAAATCGATTTGATTGGTCTTGGCTACCTCAGATGAGCTCAAAAAATTATTAGCCAATCAAAACCTTCTTAAAGAAATTCAACCAATCAGATCGATTGTGGATCGGTTTCGTCGGCGGCGCAAAGATTCGATTGAACCCCCCCCAACCCCAAATTTGTATATCAAATCGACAATAAAAGAAAAACAATATTGCATGCTTAATGGCCGTACCGAAAGTCTGGATTGGGAAGAAACTCGTCTCCGACCCACGTGAACGAAATGCGGTGGGCTTTGAGCCAGTCGCGCATGGCGCCTCGTTTGTGGCTTGGCTTGATATTGTCCAAATGGTCACGAAACAGGTCGTTGGTGACGAGGCAGCCGTCGTGGGTGCCTGCGGAAAACACATCGTCAACGAGTAGAATTCTCTCTGTCGTATACCTGCGTATTGAATGCAGTACGAATCGTCGTAGTCCTGCGGCGGCGTCGCGATCACAAGCCCTTCCTGCTTCATCGCTTGCAGCAGCGTCACGTCGTCGGGCAGTTTGGTCGGGCTCACGTCAAAGCCGACGTTCGCCATGCGCTTTTGGGCGCCAACAGATTCATATTGGAGTAAGTAGTCGGGCAGAAACGCAATCGCTTTGTGGCCGCGCGCAATGTAATAGTCAAACACAAGCCGAATGCCACGACACGAAAACTTGGTGTTGAGGCCGTGCCGCATCGCGACGTTGGCCGCATCCACCACGATCAGGCACTTCCAGTCGCTGGGAGCCGTGCCGCTGCCGCGAAAGTCGACCTGTGGCGGCGGGCGACGAGGTGCCGACGAGCCAAAGTGCTGTCGGGGCGGTCCGCTGGTGCGTTTCGAGGAATGTGCAGTCGGTTTCGCCACTTGCCAATTCACGCCCGATAGCATCCCTCCTCGAACGGGTTTGTCGTTGGTGAATTCCGAGACGTCGGTGTTGGGGGGTGGCAACTTGCTGACGTCCCCCCCCACCTCCCCCACCACTTGATCCCCACCAAAATCAAACCCGCAATACTCACACGCAGTCAAGTCGATTGCAATCGAGTTGGAACACTGGGGGCAATCGGTGCTTGTGGCCGACAGCGTCAAGTTGCCCAGAGTGTCACCGTCGAAGAAAGAAGGGGGTTGCGGCGGTGCCGTGGGCTGTAGGTTCCAGCCCAAGCCAGCAGCCACACTCGAGACGAAGCCGAGCACTCGCACCCGCCGCATCGTCGGCTCGTCGTCATCGTTCGCTGAACTTGCATCTTGGACACACCGACGCACGTTGGCCAGTGGCAAGAACCCCCGCATTTCCACATCGTCCCATAACAAAGGCGCCGTGCCGAGCCATTCGTCCGGCGGCGTGGTGTCGCTCGAGAGACCTTCCACTTGTAGATGTGGCAATAGCTTAGCCATGGACGCGCGTAACTCGGCGGCACAGGCGTGGACAAGGAACCACGGGTGCGTCCGCAGCCAGTCCAGACTTAGCGTCAGGGCAGGCAGGAGGGCGTAGCTGCGCTGCTGGTCTGGTGATAACGTCACAGCGTCCGCCAGTGCCGCAGTCAGCTGAAACACGAGCTGCAGGGCAAAGTTGATGTTGTCATGGTCTTGCCACCGAGGCCACTCTGAGTAAAAGTGTAGCACATCGCGGTTGTCGTCGGACTTTGTTAGCAGCGACGACGTCATCGACCCCAGCGGGAGTTGGCAATTGTGCACGGAGAACAGCGCCAGGGACATCGTTTGCAAGTAAAACGACCGATGGCCGGACTGCGCCAGCGATCGCCGCCACACGTCGATGGCCGCGGGCACTTCAAATTGCAGTTTCGCCAGGTCAATATTCGTAAAGAGGCGCGCAATGCAGTGCAGCAAGTGGGCACTGCAATGTGCCTTGATCTCGGTATAAGGCGCAGGAGACGGGGGCTTCACACCCGTGAGGGTCGCCTGGAGGTTGGTGCGGGAGCTGAACGGTGTCGCACAGGCCAAACTGCGGCTGTAATAGTAGGCCGCCTCCAGCGTTTGGTTCTGGTGGAGGGCGAGTAGGGCCAGCTGGTTGTACACTTTGCCGTTGGACGGGTTGTGGCGCTGGGCTTGGTGGTAGTAGTTTTCTGCGACGCGCCACGACCGAGTCGCTTTGGGCTGCATGTTTTGGCTATATCTGGCCACGTCCCCAAGGGCCACGAACGTCATGTGGATGGAATGCCTAAGTGTCGTAACACCCCCTCGTTCCCGCTGGGTGGACATTGCACCTGTCAAACGAAGCAGAAGCGTGTTGTAGAAGGCGGTACATGTGGCCAAGACGGCGGCCATGGCATCCCGCACATGCGACGCCGATTCTCCTGCATGTGACGAGGTTGGCGACAGACTTCCTCGGAGCTTGGCTTGGAGCGGATCAATCTCTTTGTACCAGTTCATCCATAATCGTTCGTTGAGCTCCTATCACACTCGAGTTTGTACGTGGTGACGACGACGACGACTGCATGGACGAGTGACGCACCATTTTGACGGCAGGGACCGACTCTAGGTGCGCCAAGAGGAGCTCACAGTACGATTCGCGACAAGCAAGGCGAAGACACGCAATGCCTCGATCGTGTTCTGCCACGCGCGTGCCGCCGAGAAGGCGCTTGAGGTGCTCCTCCCATTTCTTGATGGACGCAAAGAGAACTTCCGACGCGACGCCCGACGGATTGAACCCAAACGGATACGACTCGTCGTGGTCGTGGCGGAACGGAGGGGGCTGCGGGCGTTGGCTGCGTAGACCAACCATGAGAAATGCCGACAGCTATATAGCGCATGTTACCTCGACGACGACGACAACCCCAACTTGTTGTTCTCCTTGTGTTCTTGGAGCAACGTGAACATGACTTCGGACCGCACGAGTTTGTTGACGACCTCATCCTGGACGCGCTTGGCCATGGCGTCTCGCTTCCGCTTCTCTTCTTCCTTGTGTTTGCGCTGGTATTCCCGTTGTTTGTTGAGTTGTTGTTCTCGATCGCGGCGAATGAGTGTGATGTCGTCGGCAGAAAGGAGGATGGGTCCAAGGGTATTCAAGTCGACGTTGTCGTCGGCCGTTGCCTTGGCTTTGGGTCGGGGCTTCGACTTGCGTGGAGTGCGTGCAGCTTGAGGTGGTGGTGGCGGGGCCAAGCTTGCTTGCGCCTCGTCAGATTGCAAGGCCCGTAGAGCAGCGGCATCCCCGCCGCCTGATGGCTTCTTACGGTATCGTGGTTTTTGCTTCGACTTCGTTGATTCGACCTCGGACATGATGGCGGCGACGATGGGGTTTGGGAATGAAAACCGACCTTTTACTTGCACTGTATCAATGGGCTATCAGGATTGGATATTAAAATTGTTTATTAACCAATCAAATCTTCGCTTCTAGTATCCCATTTCAAACGCAGTCCAAAAGGCTTCCGGTTCTTCCTTCTCACGCACAATCGTGATGGGACCGGCTTGGATGGAAGGGTCGCGTTGTACCCTTTGCACAAGCACATCATACGTCCATGAACTCTTGCATGCTTTTCCAAGCCAGATGTAGTCGCGGTCGCCGGGGACGTGCAACCATCCCACTTGGTTCGGGACCAGGTCACTACTGTCGTACTCCTGCAACAACTCCCACGACTCGTCGTCCACAGATTCAATCACGCGCAATTGTGGTTTCCGACTCGAGTCCAACAGCCCGTCGCTTGGAGCGAGATCGTCCTCGACTTGCCGCGTACGTGGTGGTTCTGTCCACGACACGTCGTCAAAGTCAATGGTTGCATCATCCAACGCCGCCGGTTGCACGAACGACAAAAACGCCGCGCTTTCTGCTCCCTCCCGCTCCACTATGACGCTTGGCATAGTTGTTTCGCCCCACAAATGCAGGTACCACTACGAGTCCACTATTGCATCAAACGTCGTGTGTTCAAGGTTGTCATCTTTACCAAATGAACTTCAGTCGTCGCCGACGTTACATTGGCGTCGGTAGCGTCTTGACCTCGCCAGAGGAACACCGTCAACGGAGATTCGGAGTAGACGTAGATTCCATTCGATCGGCGACGGACTTGCGCTGGCGTGGCATGAATTCTCGCATGAGGAGTGAGCCAGCATGGCTTGAGCACGTTGGTCGCGAGGTCGTGCAGGGCATGGGGCACAAAGCGATACACTCGAGGCCGCTTGGCCTGGTCTTGGCGCTGCGCATGTAGTTCCATGAGCTGACAGATGAACCCGGCATTGGGGCTACATACATCGCGCGCCGCTTTGACCTACGCTTGTTTAGCCCAACGAGTTGAAATGTTGTAATGGATGGTTACGTCGGCAAATGCACTCGCATACGACATGGATTCCCGACACATGAGGATAGCAATGGCGGTTGCACACGAGCGACTCACGCCTTGCTGGCACATCACGATGACGTTGTCTTGTGTTTGCACGGTTTCCAAAACCCGTGGAAGGAATGGAAGGATCTCTTGCGTCGCACCGTCCCGCAGCGCCAACGTCAAGACGCTATGAATGTGCGGCGGTGGTGGGTTATCTTCCAAGAATGGCACTTCGGAGGCCAAGTTGATGAGAGAATGCGACTGCTTCGGCCATACCACGCCATGGCCAGCGACAAACAACCATGGCCGAATCGCGGACAAGATAGGGGCACACACGGCCAGTCTCTCCTTGCGCGACGGGGGGTCGTCTACGTTCACATGCTGCGGGGGTAGTTTTTTGTCAGCATTAGCCGGTGGCTCAGAAGGAACTATGCCAAAGGAATCGCGGGATGACGAAGGCTGTTGGCCCATCGCTCTGTTTATGAAACGTGCCGATTGAAAGTGAATGTAACTGTCGTAACTGCTACCGTATCCGGATGATACTCACAGTCAATTAAACCACGACGGAAATCTCGGGGTCGTGGATCTGGGGATGCTTGCTATGAGTACCGGGTTTGGAGATTATGGGGATGGTCGTGACGGCCTTCACACGGATGCACTTCACGTACACGACGGAGGCGGCGATGCCAATCAACACGAGAAGTACTGCCAGGACTACAGAGATGATGACGTCGTTCGCCATAGTCTTGCCAAACACATCTTGTCCCACGTCTATCGAGAACGACTGGATGGCGGCCGCCATGTGCGAGAGGTTCACGTCCACGTTTGGCCACGGAATGGCTACGTCAGACGAGGAGGCTGCGACTGACAATTCAGCCGCATGATAGTTGCCGCTTTGGTCAGACAATGTTGGCCATGTCAACGCGGCGCAACCAGGCAAGTACGCGTTCTCTTCATTCTTGTCGAGTCGACACAACCGACACGACGTGAATGGAATGCAGCCCACAAGGGTAGACGTGCCGGCGTCGTTGCAACGCGGATCCAAAATGCCCACGGCGCCTTTGAGGGTCACCACCGCAGAGGGCAGGCACGTGTTCAAGTCGCAAGGGTGGTAATCAAGCCCACTCGATGCATTCACGAGGCATCGACGACATGCCGCGCCGTTGGAAATGCACCCCTTGCCTCCATAAATAGGGCATTGCGCGTCATAGATAGCAGAAATACCCGTCGGGGGTTCTTCCGGGTACAAGTACGACGGACAATTGACCTGCGACGACGACATCACGGCAGGGAAAGCGCTGGGTGGACACGACTTGAACAGGAACGACACGGCCGTGTCGTACAGCTTGCACTTGCGGCAGTACGTCAACGGCACGCAATTCGTCGCATCCTTCTCACAGGATTCGTCCGAGAACACGGACACGCCATTGGCACCTTCAACGGACGGAATCAACTGCACAGCGACACAGGCACCAGCACCGCCGCTGTTGTTCGACAACGACGTAGTTCCGACGTCCGTGCTGGATTGCGCATGCGCTGTGGTTGCAGCCAGGACCGAGACAAGGGCTTGCATCATCTTGCTGTAGCTTCTCATCCGAGTGGTTTGGGAGAAGGAATAGTGAGGGCAGTGTGCCATGATGACGTCGTGAAACCGCCGACGACCCGTCCGGATAACGGTGAACTTGTTATCCGGTTGACAGTTTCATGCACGTGAACTTTGACGTTTCATGATGTGCGCTTACGGCAAAGTCAATCAAGCATTCTTCTCTCTGTGGCAAACCAATTCCCCCTAGTTCGACGTGGTATGCCCCAGAACTGAACACGGAGACTTTGCAAAGGACAATGTACTTTGCCGTTTATTGCACCGTCCACGAGTGCACCGCCAACAGCGCCATCGCGACGGATGCTTTTGTGGGGTGCTCCGCGGTTGAACCAGCGAGGAGTTGACTGAGAGCGACCACGTCGTCGCGCACTGACTCGACGTTGTGGAGCTGGCCATACGCTTTGGCTCGCAAGCACAGTCCGTTGATGTGGTCGGGCTGTCGATTCAATAGGCGCGTGGTGAACTTGACGACACTTTGCATGTCTCCAAGGTGCCACGACGCCTTGGCCTGGCTCTCGAGGACCTGGCATTGGTCTTCCAGCTTCAACCGATCCGACTGCAGAGCATTTGCTCCCATGGCCAGCACGTCGTCGTACTGTTTCGCCGACAACGCATGCAACACCTTGACTGCATCACCACTGACAGCTACATGTGGTTTAGATGATGACATTCATGACGAACGTAGCCATAAACCTGAGTATGCATTTGTCGCGGCGTCTTGAAGGAGGGCGTTCACGGCAGCGTAGTATGCTGCGTGGTGGCGCAGCACTAGATCGTTGTGTCCAGCGTTGGGGAACACTTTGAGGGTCTTCTTGCTGGATCCACAAGCAGCAAACAGTTCCTGGCCTTGGACGACTACAAGAACGATATTCAACACATTAAACGACCATAGGGCCAACGAAACGACGATCATGTAGTACGTGGAGCGATGTCGTCGTCGGCGCCGTGAAGGACCAACACTGGCATCGATTGCACCTGCTGGATCTTGTCCAAGGAATAAAAGAGTTCCGGAAGCATGGAAAGCATCCCTGCACCGCCTGGAAGCATCGCGACTAACTGATTCACCATGGGAAGCTTCAAGATGGAATGGAACCCACTTTCGAGGATCAACCCGTGAAACTTGGTCGGGAATTTCGAGGCCAAGTGGATGGCACATTGCGACCCGATAGATCTACCCACAACATCGACTTTAAACACGATGCTGCTATTGACAGAGTGATGGATGTATTGTACCTGCCAAACAAGATGATGGGAACGGTGGCGTCGAAGCCTGCGACAGAATCGACTTGACTTGCTACAAACTCGGCATCCGCGACAAGATTCGACAGGCTCGGTTCCCCAGAGCTCCACCCATACCCCCGATAGTCCACGACTAACAAGGCTGTCGGGATAGTCAGCGACGCTAATGCCGACGATGCAGACGCATAATCGGGTGCAATCTCGGCGTTGCCATGAAAGAGCAATACCACGGCTTTGTACGTGGGCGATGGACGATAGAAGCGGTAGCCGAGTGACACCGTCGGAGAGACAAACGTCCCATCCGTCGCGTTGGACGGTAAAAACGCGCCTTTTGCGTGTGGACGGGGGTGGAACGCCACCGACGTGACCAGCGGAAGGTCCCACAACGACATGAGTGAAAATGACAACTAGGAAAAAATTCGAGTCAAAATATTGGGTCAAAATTAAAAAACACGAAATATGCAAAAAATTACCAAAACAATCCCAAACATCAGCTCCACTGATTGGTCCGAATTTGCAACGGCCGTTTCAAAGCGACAACTTCGAATGTTCGAAAAAGAAATGAATCTTATGGCGTCAACACACTGCCAACATGACCGCTGTGGACGCTGCTCTAGCGTTCCTTCGATGCCACGAGCTTTTTCGCGCTGCTGCGAGCTTCCAAGATGGCTCGTACCACGACATTGTACGTTTTCGGCGGCTTCCCTTGCCTATTCCACCAGCACCGTCAACGCCTTCGTTGCCTCATCACTACATTGGCGGGTACCTGCCTCACTTTCCCATGTTGTGGACCCATTCCAACCCACTTGACGAGATTGGAACACCGACACCAGCAATTGCCAATGCTCCGACCACATCTTGCCTTGATATTGACGGGGCTGGATTTGACAGACTCCACGACGTACTCGGTCCATGGCTCGAGGAGTTTGGGACGTCTCGTCTGGCAATGGTCGTGAATGCAATACCACATCTTGAACATGTGCTTCTGGGATATGCTGCTATGTATGGCCAGGTATCTACGCTGCGGTACCTCCACGACCACAATCAACTACTCTTGCACAGTGCCACTAGTACCTACTCCACCCACGCGTTGAACGTTGGCATTTTGTTCAATCAACTGGAAGTGGTGCAGTTTTTGCATGCGAATTGCCCTGGTATGACATGCACCAAAGAAGCCACGGACGGGGCCGCAGGGATGGGCCACTTGAAGATGGTGCAGTGGGTACACACTCATCGCAAGGAAGGGTTTTCAAAAATGGCCATGACAAGTGCAGCGGCGAATGGACATTTGAACGTCGTGCAGTTCCTACATGCCCATCGAAAAGAAGGTTGCACAACTCAGGCGATGGACAACGCTGCGTCCAATGGCCACGTGGAGGTCGTCCAATTTCTGCATGCTAACCGTCCAGAAGGCTGCACGACTGTCGCCATGGACGAATTTGCACGGCAAGGCAACCTCGAGATCGTCCAATATTTACACGCATCGCGATTCGAGGGATGTACGACCCAAGCCATGGACAACGCTGCATCCAATGGCCATCTGGAGGTCGTCCAATTTTTGCATGCCCATCGCACAGAAGGCTGTACGACCCGGGCGATGAATGGCGCGAGTGCTCGGGGCTGTTTGGAGATCGTGCGTTGGCTGCATTGGAATCGACGAGAAGGCTGTACGACCTACGCCATGAACCAAGCAGCGAAAAATGGCCATTTAGAAGTGGTGGCGTTTCTGCACGTTCACCGGTCCGAAGGCGCCACGACCGTGGCAATGGACAGCGCGGCCGAAAACGGACACTTGGAAGTTGTGAAATTTCTACACACCCATCGAAGCGAAGGATGCACGTCGTATGCCATGGATAGTGCATGTCGAAATGGCCATTTGGACGTGATTCAATGGTTGCACGAACATCGATGGGAGGGTTGTACGACCCGTGCCATCGACATGGCCGCAAGTCAAGGCCATCTGGAGGTCGTCCAATGGCTCGTGCAGCATCGATCCAAGCAACGATGCACCACCTTTGCACTGGACAAAGCGTCTCAAAATGGCCATCTGGCAGTCGTCGCATACCTATCGCAGCAACTCATGCGGGATTGGGAGCCACGAGTCGGAAAATGCGCCGGGGTTTGCTAGCTTTTGAATCAAGGAATGATGCCTGTGATAGTATGACTGCTTCTCAATGCATTCATTAGAGATCGTAAACTAGATATCCAGCGTAAGCAAGGTCGAATTTTGGTTTGGCTATTGGAAACGAGGGTGTATCGTAACACTAGTACAAGGCAAATTTGTGACGCTGTTCGTGTAACGTTACTGTATGATTATACTTCGACGCCCAGAGCTCTCAAATCGTTTCGACGGCTGGGATCGAATATATCGACTCGGCGTTTCGAGTTGTTGAGAAATATGCCCAAGTGCAGCCCTCGCAACGCTTCTGGCCATTCATCCGTCGTGACAAACTTCCTTGGAACATTCACATGGCCCTTCAACGCCTTGTACGTTTGCATTGCCTTGACGTTCACTTGCCATCTTTCGTCGAACGCGGCCCATACAAATCCCAGTTCGTTCAAGGCTGCCACGCGGGCCTTGGGGAAGGCGGCAGCTCTCCACCGCACGTGTTGGACCCACATTCCAAGTCGCACGCCGTGGCCAAACGACGGCCACTCGTCGGTCGATGGAATGACATACCGTTGTGGGACATTCACGTCGCCGAAGAGACGCTTGTATGTTGCCAGCAGCTCCATACTCTGGTGCCATGTGTGACTATGCAGCTTCCAGATAAAACCGAGGCTGTCCAACGTGGCAATCCGATCCTGTGGCATATTCTCCTTGTCCCGCCGCAATCGGTCGACCAAATACCCGAGCTTCCAGTTCCAGCACTCTTGGGGCCACTGTTCGCTACCTTCTGGCACAACGAACGTCGTTGGAACCCTCACGTGGCCGTAGAGATCTGAAAACGTTTGCAGCCCTTGCAACGTAACCTCCCACTTGTGCTGCCGCGTATCCCAGACAAACCCGACATTGTTCAGAGCTTCCACGACGTCTGGCGCCAACATTTTCTTGCGATACGCTTCACGGAACGAAGACAAGTTGACCCATGACGGATGCTTGGACTGATCTGGCAAGGGTGGGACTTTCAAACGTGCTGGTAATGTCGTATATTTGGAGACCGCGGGGTCAAATGTGTCCACAGCCATCTTCACCACCATCTTCTGTACATGGAGAGGTATGGCAGATGAAGCAGCGCCACGAGCGAACAGCGGACGCAGCGTTCCGCCCTTCCGCACGGCTGATACCAGCATCTCCACTTTCCAATGATCAATGCGAGACCAGTGATTGGCTGATTGTTTGGTGGAAAAGTTCGAAAAATACGACAATATAATTCAAATCATATAGATTGATACAGGTTTCTCTTCCTCATACAAATGTTTAGTCTTGGAGGTTTGGCGCCAAGAAGGATAACATTACAGAGGTTTTGTGTTCCTGAAACAAACTCTCAATACCGGGCGAGAGGGAGCATGCACATCAAGAGCGTTGTGGTGTGCGGGTTCCGCAGCTACAAGGAAGAAGCAGTGGTGGAAAGCTTCTCCAAGGGGCAGAACGTCGTGATCGGTCGGAATGGGACAGGGAAGAGCAACATGTTCGATGCGATTCGCTTTGGACTCCTCACTGAGCGCTTCTCCAACTTGCGCCAGGAGGAACGGCAGGGTTTGCTCCATGAAGGCGCAGGTAAACACGTTATGAGTGCATACGTGGAGATCACGTTTTGCAACCGGGACGGCCGATTGCCCCTGGACACCGAAGACGTGGTTCTTCGTCGCACGATTGGGGTGAAGAAAGACGAATTCTTCTTGAATCGCAAGCACATCACCAAGCAAGACGTGAATCATCTCTTGGAAAGTGCTGGCTTTTCTCGATCGAATCCATACTATATCGTGCAACAAGGGAAGGTGAATGCACTGGCGTTGATGAAGGACAAGGAGCGCCTCGAGTTGCTCAAGGACGTCGCCGGCACCAAAGTGTACGAAGATCGACGCGTTGAATCGCTCAAGATCATCCAAGAAACCCAGGGTCGTCGTGAGAAAATCCTTGAAGTCATCTCGTACATCGAAGGTCGTTTGAACGAGCTCGAGGAAGAAAAGGACGAGTTAAAGGCGTATCAAGACCTGGACAAGGAAAAACGCGCGCTGGAGTACATGATGCACGAGAAGGAACTGCAGAGCGTGCGCATGGACCTCGAAACGATCGAGCGCAGTCGCATCGATGAAGCCAACGCATCGAACGAGCTGCGTGCGAAAGAACGCGAGTTGGCGGACCACATCAAGCAAGCGAGCAAGGCAAGCCACCGCACGAGCCAAGACATGGACGCGTTGAACCGACAGCGGGCAAGTTTAGAAGCGGAACGGGGCGAATTGATCAAGACCAAGTACGCCCTAGAAATGGAAGTGAAGGAATTGACGGAAGGCGTCGCCCACGACAACGCGACGAGCGCGTCACTCTCAAAAGAAGTCGAGACCATCCAGGGCCAGGTCCAAGAGATTCAGGCCGAGTTGGCTGCCGAGTGGATTCCCAAGTTTGATACGTTGACGAGTGCGTTGAAGGACACGAAGCAGTTGCTGGCCACGCATGCGTTGGAAGCCGACGCGTTGGTGGCCAAGAAAGGGCGCAAGTCCCAGTTCAAGTCCCAACACGAGCGCGATGTCTTCCTCAAGTCGGAAGTGAAGGAGATTTCAACCTTGATCAAGCGCAAGGACAAGGAATGCTCGTCGTTTCGACAGTCCATAGCCGCGTCCGAGCGTCAAATCGACGACGCGCGCCGCGAGTTGGCCGACCAGGCCACGGCCATGGACATGCATCGAGACACGCTCGAGCAGTTTGCGCACTCGTTGAAAGAACTCAAGGAAAAGCGGAACGCCACGTCCGAGACCCGCAAGGACCGATGGCGGGACGAGGACGCCATCAACCAAGAGGTCAAGCGGCTCCAGGACCAACTCGTGAAGAGCCAGTCGATGCTTAGCACCACCATGGCGATGGACGTCCGTCGCGGGTTGGACGTGGTCCGGAAATGGCGCGACGAGGGCAGGTTCCGGGGGATCTACGGTCCGTTGATCGAGCTCGTGGAGCCAATCGACGAGCGATTCTGCCTCGCGGTGGACGAGGCGGCCGGCGGCGCGTTCTTTCACGTCGTGGTCGACACGGACGACACTGCGTCCAAGATCATGCGCGAGCTGGAGAAGCACAACCTTGGGCGAGTGACGTTTTTGCCGCTGAATCGGCTCAAAGTGAACGAGACCGAGCAGTACGTGACCAACGACGACGTGGTGCCGCTCATGGACAAGCTTAAGTTTGGCCGCGACATCCGAAAGGCCGTGCTGACTGCGTTCGGCAAGAAGTTGCTGTGCCGGGACCTCGAAACGTGCGCGGAGTACGCCGAGCGCACCGACATGGATTGCTTGACGCTGGACGGGGACATGGTGCAGCGTCGAGGGGGGTTGAAAGGCGGGTACAAGGACCCGCAGCGGTCGCGGTCGCGCGCGCAGCTCGAAGTGAAACGCGCCGAGAAGGAGCTTGACGCGGTCCAGAAGGAGGCCAAGAAGGTCCGGTACGCGGCCCAACAAGCCGACCAACACGTGTCGAGCATCATGGGCGAGATTCAAAAGCAAGACGCGGACAAGCACCACGCGTTGGACTCGTACGAGCAACTGCAAAAGGACCACGAACGCCTCCAACGCCAAATCACCACCGACACGCACAACATGGACGACAAGCAGCACATGCTTGAAACATGGACCCACGAAATTCAAGAGTTGCAAGCCAAGCGCGAGGTGCTGACGGTCGAGTTGGCGCAGCCGATGGAGGATTCGCTGTCGGCCCAGGACACGCGTCGACTCGAACAACTCCACGCTTTGATGGCGGACCTCAAGGCTGTGGAACGTCAGCAGCGACAAGAGCTCGACGTCGTGCGCAGCAAAAAGTCGTCGTTGGAAACGATTTTGACAGACAACCTGCAACGCCGGGCCAAGGAAATCCACGGCCAGATTCAAGTGTCCAGCGTCTGGTCCCTCCATGCGACGGAGCGCAAAACGTTGGTGGAGATGAAGGCAGTAGACTTGGCCGACGCGACGCGCGCGGTGGAGCGCCACGACGCGCAGTGGAAGCAGTTGGAGGAATCGGCCAGTCGACTTGAGCAGCAACTGCAGCAAGAAACCCAATCGCTCGACAAGCAACGCGTCGAGTTGGCCAATGTCAAGCAGCAGCTGGCGGAAGAGTCGACAAAGGCCGATCGCATTTTGACGAGGCGCCGCCGACTGCTCCAGAAACGAGAAGACGCGATGCGAGACATTCGGGAGCTGGGCACGTTGCCAACGTCGGAACTGGACAAGTTCAAAGCGTGCTCGGCCAAGGACATCTCGACGCGATTCACCAAGTGCACTGACAAATTGAAGCGGTACTCCCACGTCAACAAAAAGGCGCTGGACCAGTACGTCAACTTTTCCGACCAGCGAGAAGCCCTCATCTCCCGAAAGCAAGAGCTCGACGCGGGCGACGAATCCATCAAGGACCTGATTGATGTGCTCGACCGCCGCAAGGACGAAGCCATTCTGCGCACGTTCAAGGGAGTGAGCCACCACTTTACCCAAGTGTTTCACGAATTGGTGCCCACAGGTCGGTCGGTTATCGCATTCTGTTGTTGGTGACTGAAATAATAACATGGGTATTGTAGGGGAAGGCAAGATGCTGATTTTGCGAGGGGATGACAACGACAACGAGTCGGACACGACAACGTTTGTGGGGGTGCAGATCAAGGTGAATTTCCGAGGTGAAGGCGACTCGTACTTGATGAGTCAGCTGTCGGGGGGCCAAAAGGCGTTGGTGGCGCTCGCGTTTATCTTTGCCATCCAGCGCTGCGATCCGGCGCCGTTTTACCTGTTTGACGAAATCGACCAAGCGCTGGATTCGACGCATCGCGCGGCGGTTGCCGCGTTGATCCAACGCCAAGCCCATTCCGACGAAAACCCCGCCCAGGTCCGACACAATGAACAATATCTACACGTCAAAGTGCTTACTTATATATGTAGTTTATCACGTCCACGTTTCGACCTGAACTGGTCATGGTCGCCGACCAGTTCTACGGCATCAGCCACCAAAACAAGATCAGCAACATCCAACCCATGTCCAAGGAAGAATCCCTCGCGTTTATTGCCGACATCATGGCCGACGAAGAAGCTGTGGTCGAGAGCCAGTGACGACAGATCATCAGCCAACCAACCATACATGACTATAGTATTTTGACGAGTTTGCACGATTGATCTGCTCGTTTTGTGGGCAAAGTCAGAGGGAAACATCCCCCCTCTCCACATGTACAAACACTTGGGTGGTCACAAACAACTACCTATTCGTCGCCAGTATATGTACCTCGGCTTACTTTTTAATATCATTGTTGGGCTGGTTGGTTGTGAACGTGCGAAAGTCGTTGGGTTGGGTGGCAGGCAGGTGGTAAGGTACTGTAGCCTGGCGTACAGCTGAGCCGCCACCAAAAGCGGATACTAGGGTTTCGGGGTTTCACTACTACATTACTATTACTACGTAGTAATAGGTACGTATTCGACTAGTACGTACTAGTATGTAGTACTAGCTAGAATAGTAATGTACTAGTCGTGTGTAGGAGTGGAACTTGTGAGATCCACATGTTGATGTAGAGGAATCGGAACATAACATTACTCCCTGCCTCACGACAGTCATGCTGGCCTACATTTCTACGGTAACGCTAGTACATACATATGTGAGGACAGCAACAAGAGAGGGCGGTGTGTGTGTGTACTGCAACCAAAATACTGTATGCCTCTTCAGTGATGGCAAAGGCGCAGAAAGGCACCCGTCAAACGTTCCGTCACCTCTGCGGTGTAATCAAGGTGACTACAGCAGTATCATGGGTTACAGGGTACTCGTGGCATAACGTTAGCGTTAATAGTATGAATGCTGACATGAACCCAACTCCTCGTACATGTTCGTGCTGCTGCCACTATGCCTTTTGCGCGATGCTGTGGTTGGCTTATGGGCACCTCTAGCGTGTGGCTTGGTGGCGCCTGTCGTCGTTACAAAGACAGTCGTTTATGCATCTATGCCTAGGTGTACTCAAGGTCGCAACGCATGCATCGGTCACGTGTCCTTCCCTCGCGTATGTCCGTCGCCTACTTGTCAGCCCAAGTCTCCTCATGAACTACTGTAGCTCCACAATGCTGAAAACGACGTGGATCGAATTCGTACCCATCCCACTGTGCGTGATTGTGCGCCGAGGAATTCCCCGGAAGCAGGTGGAATACCAAATTAACGGATGATCGTCCCGACAACCCAGATCATTCGACACGTACAGAAGACCCGTATCCCTGTAATCTGGGACTCCGTTCTAATCCCGGTGGGCACATGTACGTACATGTAGCTCTATTCCCGGGCATCTCAATCGCTAACTACTGAAATGCACTTGTACCCGTCGCTGGAATCGGTTGGGCGTACACGACGTTCCACTATACTTATCTGTGCAAGAAACGCGGACAATTATCTCGAGACTCCCCGAGAATCCACCTCCAGCTATACGTATACAGTACCTGGTTCCACGGAATTCCTCTTGTACGCCGACATCCCTTTTAGTATTACTAGCAAAACTACAGTGTACTTACTACTCGTGCTTCTTTGGCAGCGCAGGCGCCCCCCAGACGAACAAGAAGTTGGTGCACATTCTTGGCGAGATATACTACTTTCCTACCTCGGTCATTTTGCTACTTTGCTACTTATCGATCCATCTCTCGTGTGAGTGGAACTCTGGCATTGGTGGTCGCGAAAAGGAATATCATGGGAACCAATCATATCGTATCATATCTCAATGGAGATCGTGGATTGGATGAAATTTATAGTCCCAGCCAATCAAAATGGAAACTGAACTCGCCGTTTTTAGCTACTATAGTAACGTGCATAAGTTGGCTTTACGGACCAGAACCCAACTGACTCGTGCCATTTGTTTCCTCTATCGCACCATCCATCCGCTGACGGAGCCCCGCACTGAGCAAGAGAGCGTGCGACATCACCATTGTCGACGGTATATGTACTACACAGACTCGTTCAACTACCAAAAAGAGGTGCAGAACAAGCTGCCCACCGACGCAGGCAACACAACACCCGATCTCCGAGGCCGATCTAACTCCCAAACAGGCAACGCAACCTCCCACATGAGCGTGAGTTCTTCCAATTCGTTCGGGTCCGCCAATGGCGCCAGCGGCGGACAAGGCGGACAAGGCGGCCAAGGCAACCAAGGCAATTCATTGTATTTATTCCCGATGGTCGAGAAAATGTTCCGCATCAAGATTACGGAAGACGTCGAGCGGGATCTGCGGTACCTCGGGCAATCTCGCGCGGACGCGCTCATTTCCGAGTTTGACATGACTCCTGTGAAGGAACAGAAAGGCGTCCAGCTGTACGAGGTGGCCGAGCAAGAGTTTTACACGATGAAGGCGGTGGTGCTCACTCCCAAGGCGAGCATCCACGACGTCATGAACCTTATGGACATGGCCACGACCAACAGCTTCCGCGACACTATGGGCGACATCTTCGGCGCACTCTTCCTCGACGGCGTCGTGCTGTATGCGTCTCCGAAAGACGTCACCCGTCCCAATGAGAGCCTCACCGTGAACTGGATGGCGCTGCAGAGCTCCAAGGCCCACCTGCCCCACCGCGACTACGTGTTCCTCAAGTACGGCGACTGCTTTGGCCGCGAATCGTCCCTTGACGCCGACCCCCACGGCAGCGGCAGCAACTCGTTTGTCGGGGCCAGCATCTGGGAAAGCATCGAGTTTGACGGATGCGGCCCCTTGCCCGAATCGCAGAACGTCGTGCGGCTCAAGTTCCGGCGGTGCGGGTTCGTCATTGAGGAATCGCTCACTAATGACTCGCTGAAGGTATCGTTCTACCTGTCCGAGTCGCACCCGGGGAGGTCCTCCGTGAGCAACCTGACCAAGTCGTGGATGACCAAGCTGCTGCTGTGCGTGTCGGAGATTTCCGCGACGCTGATGACCAAGCACTTGTCAGAGCAGACGCTGCTGGCACGGCACGAGTTTACCAAGGACGGCCACTGCTGCTTCATCTGCCTCACAAAGTTCACCCTCATGCGACGAAAGCACCACTGCCGCGTCTGCGGCGACGTCGTGTGCGGCAAGTGCTCCCAGATCAAGTCGGTCCGCCAAAACGGCGTCAACAAGGACGTGCGCATCTGCCTCCAGTGCTCGAGCGCGTCCAGCGTCACATCCAACAGCAACCGCAACTCGAGCACGAGCAGCAACGGCTTTGTGAGCCACCCGTCGTCCCACAAAATCCGCGCGCTGACATCGTCAGGCTCAAGCAATTCGCTCTTCAACGGCGGCGGCGGCAGCTCCGTGTCGTCCACCGACAGCGCGTCCGGCTTTGACTATACAGAGTACCAGAAGCCACACAAAAACGTGATCCTCGAGGGCACGGAGACCCCCACGCCGCGCCAGCCGTCGCCCAAGATCGTACTGCAGCCGCATTACGCCGCGTCCCCCAGCAGCTCGTCGTCGGGCATGTCGAGCACACAAGTGCGCTACGGGTCGTCCAAGCCATCATCCGATATGATTTTGCTCGACCAGGTGGACGTGGACACGCTGCCGTCGACGGTGGTGGCGGCGTTCCCGTCTTCATCGTCCACCCCTTCGACCATGACGCCCCCGCTGCTCACGCTAGCGTCGTCGTCGATGGCCGTGCCATCCAACGTCGTGGTCAAGGAGAACTCGACGTTCAGCTACGCGCTGAGCTACTCGCAGCGCCAGGAATGGCCCAAGGCGCCGTTGCCGCGCAACGAAGCGACGCGCCTGCTTAAAGTACGCAGCTTGTACCTCATGGACCCGGACAACCAGTTCCAGGACATGGTGGACGTGGCGTCGACGACGTTAAGCTGCTCGATCGCGGCGATCTGCGTGATCGGCGACAAGACGGGCTTCATGCTGGCCAAGCTCGGGCTCGGCAAGCGCGAAGTGTCGCGCAACATCTTGTTTGACGCACACACGATCATGAGCTCGGTGCCGACGATCGTTCTAGATGCGACGCAGGACGTCCGGTTCGTGCACAACCCGCTGGTCGTGGACGGCATCATCCACTTCTACGTGGGCATCCCGCTCGTGGCGTCGGACGGGGCGGTCGTCGGGTCGTTTTCCGTGGCCGACCACGTCGCCCGCAAGGAACTGACGGGGGACCAGCTGTACTTTTTGCAAAATTTGGCGAATTTGGCGCTCAAGGGCATCGAAGCCAACACGGCCAAGTACACGACGTCGCAGAGGAACCCGCTGGCCGCGTCCGACTTGAGCGTGGTGACGAATGGCACGGCCACGTACTCACAGTCGCTGGACGAAGACTTGGACCTGAAGAAGGCGGCCAACACGATGCAGGAACTGCTCAACAAAGCATATGCCACCCAGGTCAAGGTGACGTTGGCGTCTACATCGGCACCGTCGAAAAAGTAAACGAACAAGCGTGCCGATGGTAGCCATGTAGTAGAACTAGGGTAGATAGGTGTTGTGGTACGGGCTCTAGACTGGATATAGCGAACCAACCCACCAACATAATCAAGTGTGTAAGTGTCGAACGATGCGGATGTGTTTGTGTTGATGGCGAACGAGTATGTAGGTAGTGGCGACGCGGAAGAGTCGACTGACGAACGACCAGCAGCCAAGATGCATTGATCCGTTGGGTTTACAGGGACAAGAGGATAGTTTGCGTCTGCCTACTTGTAGTCCTTGTCGTCGTCGTCGTCCTCGGTGTCGATGCCGGCGAAAAAGTTCTCCAAGCCTTCCTCGTAATCGTCAAACACCTTGGGCTTGTTGTTCTTGAGCTTCACGCCGCTGTCCAGCAACGTTTCCAAATGCGCCTTTTGTTTCCACTGCATCAACGTTTCTTCCAGCTCCATGCCGGCCTTGGTGATGAGCATGTCGACTACGCGGGGGTCCTTCACGTCTGCGTGTTTGCGGAAGAACGCCTGCACCGCCAAGCGCGCCTCAGATGGCTCCATGCTGATGTCATACAGAGTCAGCACACGCGGCACTTGCTTTGTGATCTGTCGGTACAAAGTCACGGCAGGGTTCGATCCCCCCAACTTTTCCGTCGCCAAACGCAGCGCCATGGCCAGCCAGACAAATAAAGTAAATGCACCGCGCTGCAAAGTCACTGGGACAAACAGAAGACGACCAAAACATGGCTCCTTTTTCACAATACGTGATGTCTTTTAGACCACGTATTGGGAATTTCTAGAAGCATTTTACGATTGAACATAATAACCTGTATATATTGATACTATTTGGACTGGGCCATTTCATTGGGCCAATTGTAAAAACAAATATGGGCCAAACCATCCAAACTCATATTTGGAATTCCACGAAACATGAGCAACAATCTGACCATCCGCTTGGCGAAGGAAGTGGCCGACATCGAGGCTGCTGGCACGTTCAAGAAAGAACGCGTAATCACGTCGGCACAGGGACCTACGATCACGGTCGCCGCGCAGTCTGTGCTGAACTTTTGCGCCAACAACTACTTGGGACTGTCCAACCATCCTGAAGTCGTGCAAGCTGCCAAGGCGACGTTGGACTCGCATGGATTCGGTCTCAGCTCTGTGCGCTTCATCTGCGGGACGCAAGACATCCATAAAGAGCTTGAACGCACGATCTCTTCCTTCCACAGCACCGACGACACCATCTTGTTTCCGTCGTGCTTCGACGCGAATGCCGGGCTGTTCGAAGCCCTCTTGAACAACGAGGACGCCGTCATCTCGGACGAGCTCAACCATGCGTCCATCATCGACGGCATTCGTTTGTGCAAGGCCGAGCGCCATCGCTTCAAGCACATGGACTTGACCGATCTCGAAGAGAAGCTCAAGGCCACCCAGCATTGCCGCACCCGTCTTATCGCGACGGACGGCGCGTTCAGTATGGACGGAGACGTCGCGCCTCTGCAAGGCATTTGCGATCTCGCCGACAAGTACAGTTGACCACGTTGTTCCTTAACGAACCTCCATCATTACCTCCTGTGAAGGAAGCATCGGAACTCAACACGCTTGGTGATAGGTACAACGCCCAAGTGTTCATCGACGAGTGCCATGCCACAGGCTTCTTTGGGCCGACGGGACGAGGGAGCGACGAATATTGCGGTGTCCGCGGTCGCATCGATGTAAAACGGACATGGCCTTCATCCACAGAATGACACACTTGTGCATGTTGATAGATCATCAACTCGACGTTGGGCAAGGCGTTGGGCGGCGGCACCGGCGGATACACGACGGGACGCCAAGCCGTCGTCGACATTCTCCGTCAGCGGGCTCGGCCATATTTGTTCTCGAACTCGGTTGCCCCTGCGGTCGTCGGAGCATCCCTCAAGGTCTTCGAGTTGCTCACCCGGACATCGGAGTATGTGGATACAATTCGCCGCAACACCCATCGATTCCGCGATGCCATGACCAAGGCTGGGTTTACCTTGACGGGACAACGGTACAGACACTTGCGGAAGTGACCTAGTGACGATAGGGTTTGTTGTAGGGACCATCCGATTGTGGCCGTCATGGTCGGCGACGCCCGGCTTGCGTCCACGTTGGCGGACAACATGCTCAAGCACGGGATCTACGTCATCGGGTTCAGCTTCCCTGTGGTCCCCAAGGGCAAGGCTCGCATTCGTGTCCAAATCTCCGCCGCGCATACCACGGAGGACGTTGACCGCTGTGTGGAAGCATTTGTTGCCGGTGGCAAAGCACTCAACATCCTTTCCTAACCGAGAGAATCAACGATTTTGTCCAATTGAACTGCGTTTCCATTGTTTTTGGCCAATGAAACAACGAGAGAGGCCATATTGTGACCAATCAGAAACTGTATAGTTAAATTTTGACCAATCATTGTAGGCTTCTTTCTTGATGTAACTGGCATTTTTCCAATTGAACACAATGAACACGGACGTGATCCTCCTTATCATCGCCGTCGCGGGGCTCCTGGTGACGTTTGCGACGACGCTGTATCTTGTGGGGTATTTCCGCAGCGCATCTTCGTCCTCAGTAAGCATGACGGCACATCTACCGAGCAACCACTCATTCATGCCATGCGTGTAGGTCGAGGAGAAGGATCCACGCCAAGCTGTAGCAGGTGGAATGCCACGCAATAACAATCGTGGAGGTCTTCGTGCACTGCGCCATCGTCGGCAAGGCGCTGCTGTCGTGAACGAGAACGCCGAGCACAGAGCGCAAGCTGTGGAAGTACACGATGGTGCCGACAATGACGTTGAAGAAGCCACACGGTATATCCCGCCCATTTGTCACCTCCATCGCCATGTTGATAACATTATCGTCGATAGGGTGGTGGGAACGTCAAGGAAGGCCATGCAAAAGGAGCTCAAGCGTCAGGAACGCGAGCAACTGCGCAAGGTACCAAGACAATCGCATGGTGATGTTATATAGACGACAGTCGCTTTCATAGTTTGAAGAGTCGAGACGGGAAGAGAAGAAACGCCAGCGTGAAGCGAAAGAAGTCGTACGGACACAAACCCTTCCATGACGTTTTCCATGATCCGTGGTGGTGGTTTGGACATGGGTAGGCACACCGCAAGCGCATGGAGGCGGCCGACGCCGACGACGCCGCGAGGGAAGCCGACTTGGAAGCGATGCGACTTCGCCAGGAAGCCGAAGACCAAGTCGAGTTTGACAAGTGGCGGGCGCTGATCTCAGTGGAGGATGCCGGCGTCGACGCTGACGTCGTGGACGGGTCGGTGGACGGCAGCAACCTGTTGTTGCAAGCGTTCGTCGAGTACATCGAGGTACACCACCTCGATCGATCGTCCCATGCACAAGTATCCTCCTCCTACGTAGAGCCACAAAGTGGTCGTGCTCGAAGACGTAGCCGCCGAGTTTGGGCTGCGCACAGAGGACGCGCGGGACCGCGTGGCGGCGCTGGTCGCGTCGGGTCGGCTGTCGGGGCTTCTGGACGACCGCGGCAAGTTCGTGTCCATTTCAGACCACGAGATGAACGCCGTCGCCGCGTACATCCGGACGCAAGGGCGGCTGACGTTGCACGACTTGGGGCGCGAATGCAACCGCCTCGTGCGCTTCGATTGAACCAACCAACCCTTTCTCGTCAGTGCTGATTAGTTTTAAGTATATGTACCTCGTCATAGCACATACATATACATCCCTATCGCGACAACATGGTCATTGTGTTGTGCGAACCAACGACGATCGTCGTGCTCACGAACGCACGACCACGTCAACCAACCAGGCCAAACGCTTCAACACACAAAACCTCGGTTTAGAGACATTTTGTGCAGAATAATCTATCTCGATCGATTGTTTGTACTGAAGTTTGTATGTACAAACGTGTCCTGTGGTGCTTGGTATCACACTAATTGAAGTCACACACTAATTCGACATTGACGCGGTTTCCGGCAATCTGATTGGCTAAACCGATTCTTCTGTAAACACATCAATACCGTACGAACGAACGAACGAACGACAGATTCAAGTAGTAGATGTATACTAACTAGTAAGCACCAACTAGTACCAGTCTGTCTACGTGTCAAAGTACCACTCGGACGTCTTCCTTCGGTAGTTGAGCGTGGGCTGCTGCGTGGCCAACTGCGCGAGTTTGAGCTTGTGCTGCTTCTCGGATAGCGCCATGCGCTTCATGTCTAGGAACTCGGCTTGTTTTTGCTTTTCCATGAGCGCTTTCGTCTGCGCCTTCTGGGCCACGACGTCCACCTGGTTGCGCTTGGCGTCCCACTTGCGCTTGTCCTGGTCCGTCAGCTCCTTCTGCAGCGCCTCGTCCGACTCTCGCTGCATCCGCGCCATGTACGCCGCATCCGCCGCCGCGTCCGCCGCCTTGCGGAGCTCCTTGCGCTCCATTTGGTCTTGCCGGGACTGCAGCACCTGCGCCAGCAGTTCTTGGCGCGCGTCGTCTTCGGCGCGGTGCTCTGCCGATCAAATTCACATACATGAGTATATCAACGACATGGGTTCAAGTAAAGAGCAAGAGATGGATGGATGGTACCGGCATCGCGTTTCGCCCACACTTCGTCCTCCATTTTCTTGCGAATGGCGTCCAAGTAGCTCAAATCTTCTGCTTCGGTGGCCATTTGCTTGCGCAGCATGGCCTGGTACTCCAACTGGTCGCGCTTGAACTTTTCCTGGAGCGCCCGCTCCCGCGCGTCCGTCTCGGCTTCCTGGCGGAGAGCCAGCTGCAGCAGCTGCGTGTCGTACTCGTGCTCGCGCCGCGCCTGTCGCTCCGTCAGGTCGGACCTCGTCTGGTTGAACTTCTTGACGTCCATCGCCCGCGCCACGGCCTTGCGCTTGATTTCCGCATCCAGTTCGTTCTCAATCTGCTCATGGAGCTTCCACGTCGCGAGCAGGTCGCGATCCTCTTGCTCCTTGATCGCTGCCTCCTCTGCCTAATGCCAAATCATCAGTGCGGAGTTCTTCATGTTGTTGCTGATAATGCAAACCAAGGTGGAAGGACGAGCGTACCTGGCGGGCGTGAATCAGAGACACTTGCACATCCAAGATGGTCTTGACGTCGTGATTGTTGGTTAGAATCCGCTGGACGTCGGCCTTGTCCCGTGCGTCCTTCTTGGCCTTGTCCTGCGCCCACAGCTCGGCCATCCGCGCCTCGAACGCCTTCTCTTCTTCCAAAATGCGCTGCCGCTCCTCCAATTGCTTGTCGCGATCTGTTACATGATGTCAACGGAAGCCACGGTCCGACGTGGGTACATCATCATACCTTGCACGACCTGAGCCACGATATGGGCCGACTCCAATGTCCGGTTGTCGTCGCAGCTCTCGCGGTACTGCTGCTGGCGCTTCTCCTCGACAAACGCCTTGCGCGCGGCCTCGCGCCGCGTCTTGAGCTCCGTCGCCCGCGCGATCATCTTTTGCTTGCGCTCCTCGGGCGACTCGACGTTGTGCAGACACATTTGCTTCCACGCGTCCATCTCGGCGTTCATGAGCGTCGCGAGCTTGAGTCGGCGCGACGCCAAGTTGGACTCGTCCTGGTTTTTCAGTGTCTTGAGCACGTTCAACGTGTCTCGGACACCCGCCTTGTCGTGCAACTTGGTTTCCCAGTCCGCGCGAGCGTTCATATGGGACAACCCTTTGACGACGCCCGTGTACATGGACAAAGAGTCTTCTCGATTACGGCGCTTCATGATACTCTGCTCGCCCACCCCGCGCGGCGCTTGGTTCGGTCGAGACATTGAGGACGAGGGTCGGACGACGGGGCTGCTTCTGGCGTTACAACGATCTGGACACCACAACGGACAGAAGATGGTTATAAATAGCACGTTCGTGTGCTTCGCTCAACAAGCGCATGGCGTCCCACCTGCATGAAGTGGCCTCGTATGCTGCAGTTGTGGCTGCACTTGGTCCGGCTGTCGCCGCCGCATTTCGACAGTGCACAACTAAAATGACAAAAGCGGGTGCCGAGCAGATCTTCAAGTTGAAGCGTTGCCATTATTATTTCGACGGCATCGCGAACTTCCTTCGCGACATGACGTCCAGGACATGCCTTGAACCCCTCCACCCCACCTGCACGCACGTCGAGCGGACACGGCGGGTATCTTCATAGGACATTGATCGCCGTCAGAGTAAACACTGGTAGTACCGTTCCATGTTCCCCGAGCAAGTCGCAGCTCCCAGTGAAGAATACCATGCACTGTAGCAGCCCACAAGCACCTCATGTATCTCGTACCAGCCAGTCAGACCATGTTTAGGAGTGTCCATGGTCTGACCTCTGTCCGCAACTATATTCCCCGTGTCATGCACGCCATACGTGACGTTGTTGCCATCATGGAGATAGATCCTCGTCAACACTCCCAAGAGAGGTTGGCGCAGGCAGGTGCAGCTCTGTCGACTTCGGATGGTTGAGAACGTACGTCGTCGTTGATTTTCTATTGTGTTAATCGTTTCTTCCTCACACGACATGATGGGGCGGTAGCGGCGGGTTGTTATTCTCTTGAGGCTGTGTCGTCACGGCTGCTGCTTCTGCAGGCACTACTACTACTACTGGTGGTTGGTGGTGGTGCTGACTTCGTTCGAGGGCGTCCAGGGGCGGTAGCGGCACGGCGCTCATAGCGGCGGCGACCACCGTTTCGTTGTACGCCGCCAGTTCATCGCGATGGCCTTGCGCGTGTTTCACCGCCCACAAAAACATGAGCGCGAGGAGGAACGTCTGGACCACGTAACTCCGCACCATCTCGTCCAAGCTCGGCTGGCTCTGTGCCGCAAACGTGTGGCTGCGCGCCTTCCGGTACTCCTCCGGGTCCCACGCCGAGAACCGCAAGATCTCGTACACTTGCTCGGCCATCGTCGCCATTCCCAGCGCGATCATGCCGACAATGTACTGCCGCGCAGGCCGCACGTCCGTGTCATGGGCGGCTTTGAATCCGACGCAGCCCACGTACACCCCAAACGCGTACCCGACGAGCTTGCCGACAGTCGCGACCGACGTTTCGTCGTACAAGGGCGTGTACTGCAGCTCTTTCTTGATGCGGTCGTTCATGCCCGCGGCGTTCTGCGCGGCAAAGTTGGCCAGGAACGCGCACTGTCCCAGGAGTTTCATCGTGTGGATGATCAGCACGAATGACGCCCACAACTTGACGCGCCGCGCCGCCATGCCGAGCGGTGAGTCTTGGAGGATGGGGTCCATCCGCCGCGCGCTCTCGGACGGAAACACCGCGCTTCGAATGGGTTCGTTGGTTGGACCACCCGAGTGGAAATGGATCACGCGGTGCTGATGGTCCTCTAGCTCCCGCAGTCGACGAAGCGCCGCTTCCGACTCATCCGAGGACGTGGTCTCGGGGACAAGGGGAGCGACCTGGCGAACGAACAAGTGGATCGTGTGACCGTCTTCGACCTTTGACGCCCCCAAGGACGAGTCGCCGTCTAGAACGCGGCCGCGGTAGATGAGCCGTTGCCGCGCCGCATCCACGCCGCTTTTAGCTTCCACGACGGCGTGCAGCTGATCCACGGACCAGTCGCTGGAACAAGATACAGAAAAGACCTTGCCGTTTAAGTCCAAGATACGAATGTGGAGATTGCCGTTGGGGTCTTCGAGCGAGTGCAATGCTACTGCAACGGCTTCGTCGGACGTACCAGCAGCGGCATCACCATCGGGGGAGTGTTTGACGTCGTCATCGTCCTCCAATGTACTTTCCGAGACGGTGGTGGGTTGGGGCATGGCAGACTTGGTGGGCGACCTTGGCGACGCGGGTGAGACACCCCCGTCGCTCGAGTTGCGACGCCGAAGGGTGGACGCACCTGGCGATTCGGATTCCACGACAACGGCTTCGTCCTGCCGCGGGGTGTCATCGTCGTGTTCGTTTGGCACTGCTGTGTACCTTCCAGTTGCTCGTGGACTCAGGATGTGGCGGCTCATATGTGGAAGCAAGTGCCGATGGTCGGCGCGGAAGCGGAGCTAAGAATATACTACAAAAATGCCTGCCGACTAATGTAGAATGTTGGTCCATAAATCGGTTTTTTACGAGGGTTTTATTGTTTTGCGTGTTGATGCATGCATTGGATTGGTGGATTCTGTCCAACCCATTAAAACGTTATTCCGTATCCGGAAAACATCGAACTTTGGGGTTCGACTATCCGGATCACATGTGTTACTACGAATTGGTCTCCAATTGCTCCATGAACTTCGCCTACGACGCGACGAGGCGGGTGCTATGCAGCAAGCAGGCAGAATGTGCGCCGCCCGTGGATACTTGGATCACAGGGATCGATCCCATGGTGGTTTCTTGAATCGGTTCCGGCACGGTGCAGTACTTCTTGGCATCCACGTTTCCCAGTCGGCCATGACTGTACGTACGTACATGCACACACAAGCCACGTCGTCATTCCCATATCCACATCATGCATGTACACGGATGATGCTCTGCTACGTACTCGGTTCGACCACAGCTGAAGGCGCGGCCCTTGTCCGTCAAAAACAGCGTGTGCGTTCCACCTACGCTCCCATCAGTCAACACAGTAGCCCTCCCTTCTTCCAAGGGGTACGTACCCGCAGAAGCATCAACAATCGTATGCGCGGTCAACGACTCGACTTTGTGCGGGTGCGAGTGGCTGCGTCCGTCGCCAAGGCCCAAGCGGCCGTACTCCCCCCGACCAAACACATACGCGGCTCCAGTGCGGGTCACCACGACCGTGTGCCATCCGCCACACGACACGATTCTGTATCACATATGTATCGTCACCAATGTCGTCACCAAAGTCGTCGTCATACCTGGCAGGGTCCTTGTCGAAAAAGTCGACTTTACGAGGCACGTGGATGTCTGCCGTATGGCCAACCCCGAGCATGCCATAGTCTTCCTTGCCCCAGCTACGCACGTCGTCGTCATGAGAACGACAAGAGGAAGAACGTCCAGTACGTACGTGTAGACAGCGCCGGACGCGGTCACGGCGGCAGTGTGGAACGCCCCAGCCGACACTTGGACGACGTCTTCTAATCCAAACGCTTCAGGCTCAATGCGCGTGGGGGTGAAGGCGGAGACGCCGTCTGTCTCGATCTCGAGATGGAACCATTCTCGCCCCAGCCCCAACTGGCCATTGTCACGACGACCCCATGTATACACATGGCCTTGGGCTACGGAGATGCCGGAAAAACGTGATGTAACAAAGATAGATGGGATCGAAGGAGTCTGCGCGAACATACCAGAGAGAGCGACGGTGTGGGTGCCACCTGCATGAGACAACAGTTGAACGAGTCAGGAAATGCTGGAGGGTAAGAGGCGGTGACGCACCGCAACTCAACGACACGATCTTGTCCGTGGAGTTCTCAGGAATGACTTTGCAAAGGACTGGGGTCGCTTGATGGAGCTCCTTGAAATCGGCTGTGAGTCCAAGCTGGCCCCAATGCGCTTCGCCCCACATGTACACTTGCCCTACAGGAAGGATAGTCATAAAGACAAGTTGATGGATGGATGTGGCAAGACGAGATACCTTGATCGGTGATGGCTCCAGAATGACATCCGCCCGCGGACACGTACGTCAACTTGATGTTGTGATGTTCGAAGAATGGAACCTTTGTTGGGAGGTTGATGCTCTTGTGGTGTTCGAGACCGAGCTGTCCCATCTGGCCCCATCCCCACGTGTATACATCGCCCGTCGTTGACAACGCAACGGTGTGGCGGGAGCCGCACGATATCATGACGATGTCCAATCCACGCAGGGCGCCCACCTGTTGCGGTTGGTTCGAACTCGTCACGCCTTCGATGGACGTACCAGTGGGCTTCTTCTTTTCCCCTCGACCCAACTGCCCGTCGTCATTGCATCCAAAGGTCAGCACGGAGGATTCCACCACCACACTCGGCAACGGGATGGCATTGTTTCCTTGGTCCGCCATGGCAAATGTTGCGGCGTTTCTCGAATGGAAAGAGGATCATGGATAAGGGTGCACTACCAAATCCTGTAAAGTGCGTTTTCGTACTTACTCTTTCAAAGGTTCACTCAATGGTACTTCAGAAACTACCGCACTTAATAAAACTATATGACATTTGAACAGAGCATGGAGCTTCACCATGCACACAAGAGACGGCGACGAACCTTCCGCTGTGTGGACAACGATGCGATGTGCATCGCATTGATTGTCTGCGCAAGGTGCGTTCAATGTATGTCAAGGTGAACAAGCCTATGCAATGTCCTTGTATAACTTATCTTACTGTAGCTAGCTACATTTCACAATCAAGTTGCAATGTAACCCAATCATGGCGTCATGTACTGTCTTGGTGGCAAGTGTATGTATTCAACTGAATGACCTTGACACTAGCTTGGCCAACGACGTGGCCCTCCACAGTAGCTTGTTCTGCTAGGCAAAGCAGCATGGCGGCATGTCCGTCTAAATTTAGCCATGGACCGCCATCACGTTGCCCTCCTCGTTCCATCAGACCCATTCCACGTTCCACTGTGCAGCGCAATCTCATGCCTTCGCCAGCTTCCTTTGCCGTCGCCACGATATTCGCCACCATGGTCGCAGGCCACGGTATCATGTCTGTTCCCAAGGCCGAGTTCGATCCCACCGTCATGCGCACGACGTACGTGGCAACGATCCAGGCCAACTTCCCCGGCAAGTTCAACGACTCGCCCGACAAAAACGTCGCGGCCTTCAACAAGGCCTTCCGCGACCAACAGGCCACGGGGTTCAAGACCCTCCGCGCCATGCTCGATCCACAGGGCCCCGACTGCGGCTACTCAAAGCTCGACGTCCCTGCCAAGCCCATCCCGTCCGACGGCAATGTCGTGTGGCAGAATCCAGACAGCGGCGAAGGCTTTGTGCCGTCGCACACGGTAACTACCATCCCTCTTTTGGTCGATGGCGTTCTCACGAGGGATGTCACAGGGCCCGTGTGAGATTTGGCTCGACAACACACGCGTGTTTCAGAACGACGACTGCGCGACCAACTTTCCCGAGAAACCAGCGGCGCACCTGCCCGTGGACTTTGCATCCTGCGTCGGGTCGTGCACGATCCGATTCTACTGGATCGCCCTGCACCAAGACCTATGGCAAGTCTACAGTACGTCCTCCTACACGTTGTGTTGTCGTCGCTCAACGCTAAGGACGCGATGGAATAGAAAACTGCGCGCCGCTTGTGGGGCTCTCAGCCACTCCCACGATTGTTCCCTCAGCACCCACCCCCACCACCAGTCCCCCAACGACGCGCAGCCCGGACGGCACCACCACGCCAATTGCGACTAAGTACCCCGACTACAACGACCTCGACTGTGACCCGTGATACTGTAGTAGCATCCTTCATTCTACGTTAGTTCTATGGGTCTATACATGATTCCTTTCAAACGTTATGCGCCTGTTGTTGTTACAACGTTATGCTGGCTGTACATGCGTAAGTTATGCCGCCCCTCCAAACTGTCGCCCCCCGTCCGCCATTCATTGTTTTCATCTCAAGGAGACAAAGGACGACTCATGACGATGAAGTAGTTGAGCCAGGTAATATCTACAGCTTGGCTAGAGGTATCGCTCCGGCACTGACTCTCGTTCGTGCCGGAAACAAACCCAAGTGTCGCTTGAACTCGGCTCGGTCTACGATCACTGTCGCACCTTCCTCCTCCCCGTCCATGTGCATGTCGTGGGTTGGCGCAAAGATCTGCACGCACAAGCGATGGCGAGTCGCCACACCCGCGAGTTTCGTGTCAACCACGTCGACCACGTCCGCCAGCGTCACTGTCGGCACCACGGCGGCAACCTGCTCGCGGCGGTCGAACTCGTACGTTTCTCCGGCGATTTCATGCCACAGCCGTGCGCTTTCTTCTTCGTACGTCTTGGGCGCTTCCATCAGCTGCGCCACCACGGCGGCTTGGTGTTGCTACAACAAGACACTCAGATTGCAGGAAATCGAATTCGTGTGTGACTTGATATTGTGAATATTCGCTATAAATGTCCGAAATTCGCGTGGTTTATCAATAGATTGAATCACGCTGGAGTTGTGATTGGTTGAATATACACGTTTTTACATGCAAAATTCACCGTACAAAGAATCGATCGATAGAATTACTGTTAATAGAGAGATTTAGCACAAAAGTCGAAATTTTGGGTAAAAGAAAAACAAGAATAATACCTGAAACAAATCACCTGACAGCGTTTGGAGATGCACCCGAAACGACTCGCAAAACGCATCCAGCCGCGATTGCAAGTGCAGCGGAGAATACTTGTTGGACTGGACACTCATGGACAGGTAGATGACGTTGTTGGCAATGTACTGACCGCTAGAGACCAAGTACCCCAGCTGCTCCGTGGTTCGCAACGTGGAAAAGCACGGCACTTTGACCAGGTGGGCCAGCAGCACACTGGTGGCGCGAAGAGAGGTCGAGTCCTGCCCCAGTTGAAACAGCACGAGCACCGCGGCGTTCGGGTTGGACGGGTTCGGGTTGCGTTCGCGCACGACGTAGTTGCCATCGAGTCTGACGTTGCGACGGGGACTGGGCATCAAGGGGGCCCCTTCGTCGTCGTCGATCGCCCCATCGTTTCGAGTCCCGCTGATGATGTTGTCGTCTGGCCGCCCCACGACCGCCCGGTCCACGCTTGCAACCATCTCCAGGGCTACGTCCTACCACACATGCCAGTGTTATACATTCTCATACTATTACAAGTTGCAGATTGCCATCCCTGACTCTAAATACTGGTACATATCTGCAAAGTCGTCACAAGTTACCTTGTCCACGTTGCCATACACGAACGCTTCTTTGAACCCATCCTGGAACAGCACCGTCGCATGTTGCACCAGGTGCTGCCACGTCACGTCGTCGGTCGCCGCGTCGAGTTTTTCAGGCGTGGTCCACACCGGCGTCGTCAACACCCACGTCCGGAGGGCGGCGGCATGGACATGGGGCTCGTCCAGCGCCGCGTTGGCGTACCCGCGCACGAGTTTGTCCTTGAGCCGGGCGAACGATGCCTCCATGTCGACGGGACTCGCGACGATCGCCGCCACTTTGGCCACCACGAGCGGCAGCGTGTCGCTGTACCCGTCCACATGCAGCGTCACCCCCGTGGGCGCCGACGACAGACCCACGCTCGTCCCCGCCACGTCGGCGTCGTACAGGTCCTGGGACACTTTGTCGCGTACACACGATACAAACAGCTCCGTGAGGACTGCGTGCAGCGGGGACGCGTATGCGACAGAGTGGTAGATCTTAAGCCGGACGCTGGCTTTGGGCTTGCCAAAGCTGTTGCCGGGTTTGAACCACACGCGACCGCGATGGTCGTCTCGGAGCACGTGCATGTCGTGAGTCGACGGATTGGACGACGGCAGCAAGTCGAACGACGTGGGGATGAACGGGTTGATCAGCGGCGGGAGATGCAGCTCCGCCATGTCGATGGCCGGCGACTCCATGGAGGAGGGGGAGGCGGAGGAGTACAGCGGCGAGTCCGAGTACGCGGCGTGGAGCCAGGGCTCGGTGGCGTCCGGCGTCAATGACTTGCTTACGAGCGTGAGGCGGACGCGGGACGGGTGGAGCAGCGCCAGCAGCTGCCGAACCTCCGCGTCGTCGTGTTCGTGAAGGAGCGACGGACCTGCCACCACATGGTGGACGGGGTACTTTTGCATGTTGGATGTCAGCCAAGAGACGTAGTGGATGGGCTGCTCTTGGTTGCGGAATCGAAAGCCAAGGGTCGCGAGGGCCTGCGCTTCATGAAAGTACGTGGCAAGCGCATCTGGCGGTGCTGCCATCACGAGGTCGATGTAGTGAAACACGGCTTGGGCCATCGCTCGGTAGTTGGCCACGCCCTACAAATCAAACGATTTGATCACAATGGACGAGTATGAGATGACCTACCTCGTGCGTGAGATTGATCTTGACGGAGAAGAGCGACCAGTCGGCAAAATCCTTAGAAATTCCCGCAGAGAGGCTGTTGGCATAGCCCATGGCCTTAAAGTACGCGAGCAGTGACCCGCGCCCTTCATATCCCAGCACATACGATAGAATTCGGTGGGGTTTACTCAAGTACTGGTCTTGCACGGTTGGCAGGGGGAACGACAGGTCCAACATCCTCAAGTCCTTCACAGGCACGACGTGGATTTCTCGGTTTTGCTGGGGGGGTTCGTAGGGATGGTGGCCGTCTAGGGATTCAATATACATGGAATAGTGAGAATGCTTTGAGGGGTGGGTAAATGAGAAAGCTTCCAGCTAAAACTGTTGTAGCCCTCACCTTGCACCAACGGCTGAACGCTTTTGTTTACAACTGGGGAAAACAACGTCGTGACCCAGTCTTCAAGGATGTTTAAGTCTTCCTTGCCATACACGACGAGTTTCATTGCGTTCGCAGAGTAGTGCCGGTCGTAGAACGCCAGCAGCTCTATCACGACGTGAGAAGATATAAACAAACGTGGGTGGGTGGGTGTGCGTTAAGTACCATTTCGAATGTCGAGGCCCAGCGTTTGGGGACGATGGCCCAACGTGTGCAAGTTGCCCGTTCCGAATTTATGAAATGGATGCAATGGGTTGGCCAGCGATTTGCTGAGTTGGTACAGTCGCCGTGCGTCGTTCTGGTAGTTCTTGGCATTCTCGGCGTCCACGGCCTTCATTTCCCGCTCGGTGGCACTTGGCGTGAACAGCGGCGCGACGAAAAACTGCGCAAAGCGATCTAACGCTCCATGCAAATGCGCCGGTCCAACGTCAAAGTAGTAGTTGGTGTCGACAGCCGACGTCGACGCGTTGCTGCGGCCGCCTGCAGCATCGTAAGCATCCCCATGAGCATGGTAGTGCGAACTTACCATGGGCACTCAAGTACTTCTTGTACGACGTCTCATCCGGGAACTTTTCCGTGCCAAGGAACAGCATGTGCTCCAGGAAGTGCGCGAGTCCGGGGATATCCGCTGGATCGCTTTGATGGCCGACTTGGACCGCCATCGCAGCCGCTGCTTTCTCCGATGCCGCGTCGCTCACAAGCAGAACCTCCAGGCAGTTGGGAAGGGTGAATGCACGATATAATCGCGAGTCTTGAAGCGACACCTCGATGCCATTGCACCACTTACTACCGCCACGCGACCAAAACGCGCTCGGTCTCATAACTTAGAGTTTGCCAACATGCATCCGGATAAATCGCCTCAAATTATCCGGTTGTTAGCACTTCAAATTGCAGGTTGTCATGGCGAGAAGGTTGAATTGGGGCGGCATTGCGCTCTCGTTTATCACGGGCACGAGTCTGGCCGCGGTGGGCGTGATGGGATACGTGCGCTATGAGCACCCAGAACAATTTGCGCAAGGGAGTGTGAAGCAAGCTCGCCCTGAAGCATGGGACGACCAGCAGAAGCAATGGGGAGCGTATGGTAGCGGCCTCAGCGACCTCATCCCGAACGCCGTAGCAAACTTCTTTGAGATCGACCAGATCCCCGCGCGAGTGGAAGCACATCGCCGACGCCGCGAGAAGGAGATCATCGACGCGATTCGAAACCAAACGAGTTAATGTACTTCATCGTTCATTATGATTTTGTTATCGGGTACAATATCGGCGGCAATGTGAGGCTTGGCGAAGTATCGTCCTTGTCTGCTTGACGCCCGAGCTCCCAACCCACCAGTCTTAACGTCGGCGATGTTGCCTCCCGCATGGCTTCGTTCGCTCGTGATTCCTTCACTTTCTGCTCCAAGAGGCTCGGTATCCGTTGGCCGTCTAGCCCCGTCGCCCGCCGCTTCAGCATGCCGCCTTCCTCGACGAAGAAGTTGCCAAGGTTGAGTCCATCGTCGTCACTCTCGTTGTCTTCGTCGTCGTACTGCGGTTCTCGCCTCCTTCGACCAACCTCTGGCGTATACGGCGTTGCATGTTCCCTCGCCCTTATCGATTCCAGCATGAGCAAGTCGGCTTCCGCTTCGGTCTGCGCCGATGCGACGTCAAATGCAGCGTGGCTTGGGTTATTTGAGCGAGGTTTCACATGTCGAGTTTGCTTCTTGGAATTCGTTGGGGGTGCAGGGCGAGGCTGGTTTGGAACTCCCTCGGCCGGGTCAGGTGGACCAGCCGCGCGCTTGTCCATCCCGTTACGATGGGTCCTCACCGTAGCCTTCTTGGGGCCGCCAGGAGATGGTCGGCCTGGCGGACGAGTCGACGACGACTTGCCAAAGTCAGACGCCGTTATCTCCTGCGTGAGGCGTTCGTTTTCCTGGATCTGCAGCTCTCGCGCCAGCTTTTCCGCCACAGACAGGGGTTGCCTCTCTTTTTTGGCGGCGGGTGCAGAGTCAAACACAAAAGGGGACACGTTCGACTCGGCCACGCGGTGGATAAACCCAAACTCGTTTCGAAATTGCACGGCAATCTGGCCCCGAACGGCCGCGTGGTTTACGTCGCACTCACCACTTCGACATGCGTTTCGACCGTCGGTTGACGGACCTGAGAGTTGCGGCAGCGGATGGAACCGGTTCACGCGGTGGGATTCAAGCAAATGGCCTTGTCTGTAATCCTTCGTCGCCTATCAACCATGGTCAGGCTTGGTTCCATCACCAACTGTACCAGATCGCCGTGATGAGTGAGCGAGAAGAAGTGATTGTCCAACTCTTCGTCAGGCAGGAGGTCCGTGATGTTGTTGAGCACGTCGTTGGCGGCGGATTCGGGTGACGTGAACATGGTTTGCTTTAGCTTGGCGCGCTCCTTGATCGGAGACCGACGGGGGGGGTATGTTTGCGTGGCGTTGTCGGCCATGTCCTCGGTAGCTTGGACTTCCTCATCAACACGGGTGATAAACTTGCGTCGCACAATCATGAGCGACCCCCGCGAGTCTTCGGCATGCATGCCCATCTACCCATACAATCGATAAATCGCAGGTCGACCCATGCAACAACACCAAACAAACAAACGAATGGGCAAACGTACACAGTCCAAGTACGTCTTGTAGTCGCGCAGGTATGACCTTAATATTTGCACGCGAGCCTTGTGGTCCTTCAGGTCGCTTTCAGTTTGCAGCAACAATAGCGTGAGCGACTTGTGGCGATCATAACTCGCGACTTTGAGCGTCGTTAAGTCTTCTTGGGCCATGTCCAGGCACTCTTCCAACCGCGCCGTGCGTTCCTTCTCGCGCCCCATCGCGACCTTTTCCATCTGCAGAGCGAACCGACCATCTTCGATCGTTTCTTCCATGCGAGCAATGGTTGCATTGCGTTGCTTCAACTGCCCCGTCAACTCGACGATCGTGAATTCATTTTGACGCGGAATGGCCCCGCCCTTGAGGGACCGTCGACGCGGTCGGGCGATGCGGCTCTGGCCTTCCCTGCCGTGCCCCCCCTTGTCGCCGCCATCTCCCCCCGCTTGCATGGCAATGAGGTCCTGTCAATAGAACAACGTGACCATTTCATCTTTTCATCAACAGACGAGTTACCAACAGCCCCGACACACTGGACTGCATGCCCATGGAGTTGCCTCCGCCTTTCATGCTCGGGCGGGGCGAGTTTTGCACAGTCGACAGCAAATCCACGCCCGACGACGATGAACTCAATTGCGGTGGCGCCCGGAACGCATTGTCGTAGTGCTCTTTGAGCTCCTCCATCGCTTCGTCGTAGTTGACCTCGTTGAGCCGGATCTTCTCCATGAGCTGCACCGTGGCTTGATTCAATCGATTCACCATCGCTTGGTTCGTGCTGTGTTCGAGTTGCGCGATGCGTTTGTCCCGCAGCAGCGTGTCGCGCTCAAACGTCATAGCGGCAAGCGCCTTGTCGCCTTTTTCAATGCGCTGCTTGTTCAGGCGCAGTTCGACGCTGTTGGCTTCCAGCGACTAGATTCGCCCCAAGTTTCACAATCGTCATCATGCCCTAGCAGCCAGCCAGCAGATCTCGTTGTACCTTGCTCAGGTCGTTGATTTGGGCTTCGTTTTCGCGCCGCGTGTACACCATTTCGCGCATTTGACCCATGACGACCCGCAGCTCCATTTCCATCTTGTCGACTTGTTCTCTCGACGCATCGTCGAGCATCTTGGACTGTTGCTTTTGACTCGCCAACCTGTATCCCCATGGTTTCAACATCATCATCCAACCCACGAGAGTCCGTACGTGGCTGTCAATCGGTCGTTGGCTCGCTCCATCTCTTGCAGCTGGCCACGCATGTGCTCGCAGATGCGCTCTGCCTGGGCCAGCGACGTCTGACTGCTCGCGTATGCGCGCTTGGAATGGTGCAAGTCGTTCTCCAGTGCCTCGATGGACGCGCGCAAGTTCCAGATTTGCTCTTGGCCTTGTTCCTTTTCCTGGCGCAGCAACTCGATTTCGCTTTCGAGCTCGACCTTTTTGTTGAGCAGGCGCTCGATGCGGGCTTTGTCGCCTTCCTTTTGGCTCGCGTTTTTCTTTTCAATGAGCAGCAGCTGAGCCTGCGCTTCCAGCACGCCGTTGTCGAGCTTTTGCTGGTGGGACAACGCCGTGAGGCGTGCAATGTCGTTCTGCAGCGACACAAACACGTTGCGGTCGGTTTCCATCGCGTTCGTCAGCGACAAGATCGTGGCATCGCGCTCGTCGAGGTCGATCTTTTGCGACGCGGCCATCGCCCCGAGCTCCACCAGCTGCGATTTCAACCTCTCGACGTCCTTGTCCAACACTGTCGACTTGTCCAAGTACAGCTACACCGACCGACATAGTGACGTCGACCTCTCCATATTCAGAATATGAGGAATGTACCGTTCGGTCCGCTGTGAGCTTGGTCTTGTCCATCGTGAGCAGCCGGACGTCGTTCTTCAACGTATCCACCGTGTCTCGCAGCGCTTGGGACGTGGTTTGAAGCTCGCGGATGCGGTTGGACGTACGAACCTTGTTGACTTCAAGTTTGTCCAACTTGTCTTGCACGACCACAATCTAGCATTGCCAAGCGTACATGGTACTGCGATCAGTGGGATGTCGTTCATTATGGGGTCACAAACTTGAGCTTTGTGGTTGGCCACTTCGTTTTCAACGTCCGACTTTAGAGTCAACGCCAGCGACAAGGCCGAGTTGGTTTGGATCTGCTCGTCGGTTTTCCGGGCCAGCTTGTCTTCTAAATCCATAATCTCCATTTTCAACATGCGAATATCCTCTTCAAAATCCCCAAATTTGTCTTGGGTGTGTTGCATCTAGTAGTGAATAGTTAGGAGGATTCACCCCTACAGTTTCGACATGAACAATACGGAATAAATCCTTACTTTATCGTTGACTTGTCGGGTTACTTCGACTTGATCTGCCAGCTTGTTGAGCGTGTCGGCAACGTGCTCCTTTTCCACTTGGAGCGCGCCCTAGTGTTTGTGTTCATCATATACTTACATGAACTTTACTATGGTCGTATGTGTATACATGTACAAATGTACTTTTGTTTTGGCCACTTCTGATGTCAGCGCGTCCCTTTCAAGCTCGTACTCCTTCATCTTGTTCTTTTTCCAAATGCTCGTGGCGTGGTTGAATTTGAGCATGGCCATTTCATAGCGTCCGTCTTCGCATTTTTCGAGCAAGTGCAAAAACGCGAGCCAAATGTTGGCCGCGATGTGACTTTCCGCGTACGCTGGACAATGCCGGCCAATATCGTGAATCAGCGAGTGGAAGCCGCTCGTGTACACAAACAACCCGCGGTAGATTCGCTCCACCAACGGCTTGGGCATGCCCAGCCGAAGGAGCGAGCCCGAGTCGATCCCGGCGCCCTGTAGTGGCGTCTTCTCCGTCGACGAAATCACGTTCAACTGCGTCACGTCGCTGTATTCAAGCTTGCTCTGGTACATCGCAACTTGTTTTCTCGGGTCGGACGCGGCCAAGTACGCATCGGACACGGGAATCAGCTGCGTCATGCCTTTGGTCAGGTGGACATTCACCCATTCTTCGACGGCGGCGCAGTCGTGGGAGGCCATCACTTCATCTTCCAAGCGGTCTGGAGGCACGTACAGCGGTACTTCGGTCAAGGGGAAATCTCGAAGCACGTTCCGGGTTGGTGGCGGCTGCACGTTTTGCTCGTGTTTCTTTTTTAGGAACATCACGTACGACTCGCGCCGCATGCGAGTGATTTCCTGTTCGGCAGGGGGAATCTTGATCATCTTGGGTTTCTCTGATATATTGGATGTGTACATGGGTCAGATGTCGAAAGAAAAAAGGGGATAGAGACGGACCTATGGTTGGAGTGCGGTGTGGATGCAGCGGAGTGACAGGGGGCACAGGAACGGGAATGAGCGGCAGAGTTGGATCCGGCATACTGGATTCAAGCGGTGGCCTTGGGATGTCATGCGGCCATGGAAAGTCATCCGATTCTATCCAAAATATCCATCAATCCGTTGACTCTATGAGCGTTCCTACCTGGAATTGTGTCGGGGGTTTGCAATCGACTGAGCAGCTCGAGCGGCATGGTCGAATCAGGCCACATGATTCCCTCGCTCGTGTCTACATGGATGGGTGTGAGGATCCTCTCTTGATGAATGACACATGTACCTAGCGGTGATGACTGCGCGGTGCTCATGTCTTCAGAGGATGTACTTTCCATGGCGGCCTGGCATCTCTGGGCGCTGTCGAAGCGTTTCAAAAACTGCTTCAGATGAAACGTCCGAATTATCCGGATGATCGAACTCTTCGCGCGTTTTTCACTTTTCATTTTTGAATTTTGCACCGGAGGTCGAGAGCTCCCATCACCGACAGCCGACCGTCGTCCACTCAAGGAACGAAGATTACCGAGACCCCGATCATGGTATCATGATGCACGCCGATCAGAGCAACATCCACGTACTGTATATATGATTATCGTGCAAGTGAGTACAGTCAGTACATACATACTAGTAGCCATGAACGCGTTGTAATCGACGCTGTCCCCGATGGGGAGCAATACTCGCAACTAAAAGCCAAGGAAGGAAGTGCGAAACCCAGCGCTAAAACGTTTGTCAGGTGAGGTCGTACACTGGAAGATCGTTTTTCAAACTACCGGCAGTGATTTAGGCAGCACTGTTTGTACGTTGGCCGACATAGGCGAATACATGGCCAACCAACCAAACAATCAAAAACATTGCAATGCGCAATTGAAAGCGAGATGTGGACTGTTAGGTTCATACGATGGACAGGTCGAGAAGCAAAGCAATTCAAGCGACAATTGCCATGATGATACTGTACTATTGCGTCAACACTCCTCGACGCAAGAGCACGACTGTTTTAAGCAGGGTACTAGTATGCAGATTTGCCAACTCCCACACTCGTCATGAAACGTAATCGACGCTAGCAGTGTACTACTACTTCAGCCATGGATATGTCAATATGCTCAAGATAACTACTGTAGGGCGAAAGGATTATACTCAAGCAACTGTAAGTCCCGAAGTGCCTTCACTTATCCAAACGGAGTGATAGGGACGTTTTGAGTGGACATGCCTTCATCTTGCGAAAGTTCTAAGCATTGATGCTTCAGCGCGGCCAATTTGTCCTTGATAATGTCCAAAGCCCAGATCACCACTTCCTCGGGCTTCAATTGGCCTGTGGTCTACACGCTCCGTGAGCCCCAACAGCGCGAGGATCATCGTTGGCTTACCTCGACTGAGAAGATGAACTTGTCTTGGGTGGCTGTGACTGTGACAGCCATGTCATCTTCGGGGTTTTCTCGATAGCTGCTTGCTAGCTTGACACACTCGTCGCAGTACATGCATCGCATGTTGTCCTCCACTTGAAGCTGCGACAAATCCCTTGAGACTCAGCGCCATATTTCAAAACTATGACCTTACAGTGTCGTATGTGTCGTCGATCTCAAATACTCGGGTAGGACATGATTTGTACAGTTCCACTCGCTGTTCGCTGGTGTACGTGTTCAAGACATCTACATGACGAGAGTTAGCAGGCAGACAATGGCACTGATGGAAATCGCACTCTGGTTGAGGGTGATGATGGGTTCGAACATGTAGGTGGCGACTGCGACGGGAGACCACTTTGCATGTTCCTTGCCAATCCCCTACAAAATGCGAGTTATGCACCGACACAGCATGTCGTTCAGTTGGGACGTACCAACTTCGCAATCGCGTTCAGCTTCAGGCGCTGCCCGGGTCCCAACTTGGCAATGATCACCCCCGTGTCTTGTGTGTTGTTCGCTTCTTCTTCCGAGCTAAAGTGAACTGGTTTGATGTACGGATCTAGCGATCGCAGCGAATCCGACGTGACCGTTTGCGTCCCGCTTTCGGCGCGAACGTCCAATTCAAATTCGACACTGCAATTGGGACAATGTTCGTCACAGTCGCAGTCTGCCGAGTACACGAAGCGCTTCTTGAACGCTTCCAAGCCTCCTTCCAAGCGCAGAGGAATCATACCCAAACGATGCGCGAGGAACTCGTCCGTGATGACACTGGTGTTGACTTCAATGCTCACGAGGTCAATCGCGAGGGTAGGGACTTCGGCGATCATCACGCGGCGAATCGCATTGGCCACGCTAGTGTCTGTCTCGCTCAGCTCGAACTTGATGAAGTCATCTCGAATCTCCTGCAGGTCGATCTTGGGAAACCGCGTGTTTGGCATCGTGCGCTCCGCTCAAATTCGACGACTGATGGAAGGGAGTCTGCAAACTCAAGTGTGTGCCCCGGGGTACAATTTAATAAACATACCAGGGAAATTAAAAATAACGTTTTTGATTTGCATTGAGCTGGTAGTAGTAAAAGCCACTGTAATAGATTCGTCCATGTGTTGTAAGTACTGTAGTATTTGAGGTATTAGTACTGTAGTACTTATTAATACTAGTACTAGTACCTCAAAGACTACAACACTTACTGTACAACCAATAAATCGCCCGTTGAATACCGGTATGTTGCCATGATCAATTGAAGTACATACTACCGGTAGTTTTTTAAATGCTTCCTGTTTTTAGCACCCTTCATTAAGGTACTTACTTGGGAGTACTTTCAAACTTCCATATTGCACCATTCAAAAAACGATGATGACCATTGCCGCGGAAACGGTGGAATTTGGCGACGCGGGTACGTATTCGTTCTACCAATATGGGTCTGCCAACTACAACCAAATGTGCCTGACCAGCAATTCGGACAATCAAGACTCGACGGGTCTGCGAGTCTATTCCGGTGCGCATGTTATGGCCCGGTTCCTCGCGTCCACGGATGGGTTGGCATTGCTGGACGGGAAACGCGTCGTTGAGGCAACTATGAACGCGGACAGTCCACGCTAATGAACTTGTAGTTGGGATGCGGCACAGGGGTCATTGGTTGCGTGGCTGCTGTTCAAGGAAACGTGTCGGACTTGGTGCTTACAGACGGCGACGAGCGCGCATGTGAGTTGGCCCGACGCAACTTGGATCATGTGGTGCATCCCATCAAGCCCGAGCTCTCCACGGCTTGCCATCAATTGTACTGGGGCGCTGCGTATCCGCCGCCATCAGACCATTTCGACGTCGTCTTGGGCTGCGACTTGATGTACTACCAAACGAGCGTCGAGGATCTGATGTGGACGGTCGAGGCGTTGGCGCCGTCTGGCCTGTTTCTGCATGTACACATCTTCCGCAAAGACGAACATGGAGACACCATGCTGAAAGTACTGGCCACGTCGAACCGAACGACGCTTGTGGTGCCGATCCCTCATTTTATTCCACTCGCCGAAGTGTCCAACTGGCCGTCGTGGCTCAACGTGTGCTGTTTGGTGTCCGGCCCCACAGACCAGATCGAGGCGCTCCTCAAGTCGCACCCCACTTGGTCTGTCTTTGCCACGGTGGAAGCGACACAGAACGAGAATTTCCTGGCCACAGAAGACGCCCATGACGATCTTGACCAGTACAGTGCACTGCAATAAACGATCTGAAACACTGTCACATTATTCTAGTGTATGGAAGCAACTACATGACACTTTACTACATATTATGTACATTATTGATCTGCGGAAATAACTGATTAAGCAACGTGTAAATGGACATGGATGCATTCAATGGGTTCAAATCGTTATTTGCAGCACCCCCCCCAAGGTAGGTAGAGCCTAGTCGCGACCCAACGTACGCCCACCACCCCAGTTGTAGCGGGATGGTCCCGTGGCGGCAGCAGCTTGACGCGGCGCGGCAGCACCCGTCACGGGGCGGTTGTTGTCGGAGGGAAAGAAGTTGACCCTACGAAGGATGGAGATCATGACTATAGCATCATGCACAAGATGGATACGTGAGACATACAAGAATTGAGGGGTTTGCAGCAGGTTGATGTTCTTGGTGTTGGGGAGGATTTCCAACAGAAAGTAATACACGTGCCCAGCAAACACCCCCGCGAGTTCCGGAATGGGGTCGCCGCCTGTGAGCAGCGTGAACCCAATCATGGCCCACGGAAAGTACAGCGCCTTGAACTTGAAGCCTGCAGGTCACAAGGTGCATGAGAGATGAAAGCAGATTGGGAATGAAGGGCTCACCCCAGAAGGACACGATCTGTTCCGTGTGCTTGCGGCTCCACACGTATAGGATCATGAAGATCAACGGGACTCCCAAAAACGGATAGCCCAAAATGAAGCCAATGATCTAGGAACAATGCACGTGAGCCATGGAATACAATCGTCGAGGATAAATGAGGCAGTACGCTGAGAACGCTGCCACCGAAGAGCAACATGAAGGCGAAGTCTGCGGACGGCCCCCCGCCGGCGACAAACGGGTCGTTTTCCAACACGCTTCCATATTGGCCCCTGTTCAATATAATAGCATGAGATGATTCATAGTAGATCATCCACGAGATCGCGACAACGTACAATATCAAGAGGCATACGAGAAAGTTGAAGCTGAACTTGCCCACAAAGAGGAAACTCGTGACCAAGCGCCAAAAGTTGAAATGAAAGAACACCAAGTCAAAGTCCAGGTAGATGGTCTTGGGGCTGAGGAGTCCAAACTGCGTCATGCACGTCGTGGCAAAGCACAGCGTCATGTACGTGCGAGTGATCTTGGGAAGGTTGTTGAACCACGCATCGGGGGTCGACATGTTGCTGTCGCTGCGAAAATGGGATGAAACCAATCTGGGACTTCCGGATACAGTCCTTTCGCCACGTAGGTGTCCGCCGGATAAAAACACGTCTGCGAACCTCACATGAATATTTGACATTTTCTGTATTTCACCACAAAATATGATAGTTTTTTCGAGATTATTTTGAGTATTTGGTTGACTGTGAATGAAAAACTACATCCTCTCGTAGAAATATATTTTCAACAGCAAGAAAAAATTATTTCAAGTATTACTATTATTGATATTTGAGGTGTGAAATTTCGAAGCCGTTTCGTGGAACCGCCACGATCTTCGGACAAGCGCCGTCGGTCGTCGTCGTCGTTGTTGGGGCACGTTGTGGAGTGTCTACCTCCATGGAGGCATCTCGTCGACGGAAGAAGAAGCGGAGTCATGCGGCGATCACGATGATGGATGTGATTAAAGCCAACGGAATGCGTGTCGTTGAGGGTACCAAGTTGAACTTGGTGGCGAAAGGCATCGACATCATTGGGACTGTCGTGCATGCGATTGCTCAAAGCACCACGTGCTTGTATTTGAGCCAGAACAACATTGCATCCTTGGACGGTCTCGCCCAATTCACCCATCTGAAGGTCCTCAGTCTTGGCGGCAACCTCCTTGCACGATTCGACGCCTTTGACAAGTTGGCCCCACATCTGGCATCCCTCCGAACCCTGCATCTCTCTGGAAACCCATTGTGCGACGCACCCAACTACCGCTTCCGTCTCATTTACGTGTTGCCCATGGTGCACATCCTCGACGGCGCCGACGTGACGGCGAAAGAGCGGGAAATCGCGCCGTTTCTGGTCGCCCAGGACGCCAGTTTGCGCCACGTTGTGTTTGAAAACCACGCGGACATTTCAAAGTTGGAGTGGATTGTGTTGCTCATTCAAATGCACAAGGAATTCTACCAAGTCGTGTATGGCATCGGCTCGCCCCTTCGGTACGTCCATCGCGTCTGGCATGTCTCTCATACTCGACTACATAGATGCAATGCCCGTATGCCACATCTAGAAAAGATGGCCGTGGACGTTGCGCTTCTGCTTCGGCTATGGAAGCAAGCCGACTCTACCACGAACTCTTCTGTCGACCACAGTCTCGTCGAAGGGCAACTGCAGCGAGTGGTCGTGCGTGCCCACCACCACCTGCAGCAACACCCCCTTCGTAAAGCCAAACAACTGTTGCAAAAGTTTGGCAGCCAGCGCCTCAAAGGACTCGAGCCTCCGTCGCCACCGACGTGGGAAGAAGCGTACGCGAGTGTGATTTCGCTCCAACAGAACACCATCGCCAAGCTACGGGGCCTCTGCGAACGCAACCGCCGGGACCTTATCGACGCTCTGAAGTCGCTGCTCATTCGGGACCCAGGCCACCGACTGCAACAAGCGCGCTTGGACGACGAACAGCGGCGACACGACTTGGCCCTCGATCGGGAACTACTCCTGCGAGAGTATCAAGGCCACTCGGGTACGCCCCACAACAACAACGACGTGTGTTTCCACCCGGGGCTGCCCCCCCAGCAACCGGATCCGGACGGTGATGCCGTCGCGACTCGACGGCAGCCGTCGAAGTCGAGATCCGTGCCAAGGGCGGTGCCAACGTACAGTGATCGACCTACATCATCTGCATCTACACATCGAAGCAGTGCGACGCCGTTCCCTCGGCACCGACACACACCGCCGCCGCCACCACCGCCTCGATCACCTGTCTCTGAAGCACCTAGAAGGTCCAGTCGCCTCGGGAATCATCGAATACACGAGAATTTAATTGCGAAAGTAGCGCAGCCTGACCAAGGCTATGTGGCATGTCCACCGACGATGGAGGACGAGTCTGTTATTCCTGGGGTAGCAAGTGCTCAGGGACGCGACTCGATGGACGGGGCTTTGCAACGGCAGCTGGAGCTAGTGGAGAAGCGTCTGGCGGACTTGAACATGGGGCAAGACGAAGAGCGCCGCGTTCGACGGGAAGAAACTGCCGCCCTGGAACAAAAGCTGCGCGACATGCACTACGCTCCCCATGTCATCATCCCCGCAACGACCGACCTCCCCGTGATGGATTTGAATGCGACACCGTGCAATCACCTACGTCCAAATTCACACACAGTGTCACATCCTCACGCGGCCAACGCACCGGCGCAGACGAGTGAATTGCATGGCCAGGCAAATGCAACCGCTTTAGGTGCACACCCAACCACTCACGACCCGCCATCTGTGCCATCCACACGCTTAAGCAGGAGACCTGCGACAGCACCCGTAGACGACCGACCATCACGGGACAGAGCCCCAACAACAACCCGTGGACGTATCACCCCTGCCCCCGTGGCATCTGTCCATGCAACTTCAGCCTCGTCGCCTCGTCGCTGTCCTCCGTTGATTCCAAGCGGTGCTCCATTTGCCCCCCCAAGACTTCAACTGTCCAGCTTGAGTTTGTGGCGATGCAAACTCGGACGACTCTTTCGCGCGTGGAGGCTGTACGTTCAACTTCACCACAACCTGCACTTGCTGCACTTTCAACGCGCCCGCCGCCACGCCCGCCTCATGCTGGCGCTGTGGCGCCAATACTGCGAGCGGCAGTTCCACGTCCGCCTCTTTGCCGCGTCTCGTGACCACAACGGACTGGTGCGGTGCTTTCACAAGTGGGCCAACGCCAGTCGCTTCCACGCGATCACCGCGTTTGCGGCCGGACGTCGGGCACGCGACCGCCTCGTCACCGTCGTCCACGGGTGGAGGCGATGGAGCCGACAAGCCAATCGCATTCGACTTGCCCAAGCCCGCCAACAGCATCGGCGTGATTCTAACACGTTGCATGGCGTGGTGGCTGCGTGGCGACAGCACACCTACATGCGCTCGGTGCGGCGCATCCACGAGAAACAGCTGCACCGGGTGCACGCCAAGTTTACCCTGCACATAGCGTTTCAAGGGTGGCGTCGGTGGTTGGACCTCCACGTCCAGCCTCGCCAGCACCTCGAACGCACCGTCCAATCGGCGCGGGGGCGGCGGAACGTTCGCGGAGCATTCCGTGCGTGGAAAGCGCTGGTCGCGGCCACGCGTCGGTTCTGCAAACGAGTGTGTCGGGGTGTGTGGCACCAGTGGCAGGTAGATTCAAACGACTCTAGTCGTGCAAGTGATTGGCCTGCTATACCTCTACGTAGCGGCGGATCGAAGCGAGTCGACACAAGGCCCGGACGACGCGCAAGATGGACCGGTTCGTGGCCAAGAAGGCCCTTTCGTGGTGGGCAGATGCAACTCAAGCCAGGAAACACTGTGCGCGCATGGAAGCCATCACCAAGCGGCAGTGGATGGCGCGCCGCCTTCGCCATGTGTGGCGACACTGGACAACGTACAAAAGCATGCGGCGCAAGTACGTCCAGGGGTGTCTGAAAGCGTTCAAGCACTGCCGGATCAAGTTGGAGCGGCGGGTGTGGCACGCGTGGGCCACGGCCACCGCCGCCCACTCGGTCGTTCGAAAGCAGCACAAACGGTCGGCATTGACGCTAGCGTTTCACTCGTTTCGCGTCGCGGTGCGAAAGCAAAGCGCGCGGCGCCACGTCCTCCGGCGCACCGACCACTTGGTCACGAGGCAAGCCCTGCACTGGGTGCAGCAGTGCATGACCAGGTAGGTACTACATTCCAGCCACGAGTAGTATACAACATTGTGTGAACGACCATGTATATGTAGATGGAGGGTGTATGCCTTGCAGCGTCGAAAACCCGTCGGACTCTTGCGTTTTGTCCGTGCACAGCAACGCCATGGGATGATGAGTCGACTGTGGTCGTGTTGGCGCCAGCAATGCTATCAACGGCTTGAGAAGCGCGTGGAAACCGCCGAGGACGCGGCGACGTACAGCGAAGCCGAGCGGACGCGCGTCGTGTCGGAAATGCTGCAGCTCAATGACACGACGATCCAGCTCGCCGAGCAAGTGGCGACGTGGAAGGACGCGTGCAAGGAAAAGGATGACGCGGTCCGGGCGTGGCAGCAGTCGTGCCATGAGATGGACCGTGCCAAAGCGGCGCTGCAGCAGCAAGTGGAGGCGCTGAATCAACGAATGGTCGAGATGGACCAAGCCAGGCGCGACCAAGACCGGCTGGCTCAAGCCGACACGACGCAGGTCCTCCAGCAACTCGCGGCCGCGGAAGATTCGAACGAAGGGTTGCGGCGGCAGTTGCGCGACGGCCACGATGCGTTGCTCCAGGTGCAGCAGCAACTCTTGAAGGAACGCGAGAAACTGCAGCGGCACAGCGACGACAGACGCAAGACGCAGCACCAGTTGGACCTGAAACACGAGGTAGGTACGTCACTAGCCAACAACGTCAGCCATGTCCATGGTGCATATGTATGTATATAACTTATATCGTACCAGGAAGTGACGGCGTTGCAGCAATCATTGCAAGCGGTGCAGCAGACACTGGCGATCGAGCGAGCCGAGCGACGAGATGCCGCGGCCCGCTGCAAAGACTACGAGACGCGACTGGCCGACACCGTCCGCGCCATCCACGAGCATGAAGCGGACATGGACAGCCAGCTCCGTCATACTCACGACGTGGCGCTGGACATGGAGCGGCGATGGAAAGAGTCCGAGGTGAAGAATGCCGAGCTGGTCAAGCTGCTGCAGGAAAAGAACAACTGCGTGGCTGCACTCACGAGCCAGGTGCACACCCATCGGTCGGTCGAGGCGCACCGCGTGAGTGCGTTGCTGGAAGAGGTGCAGGCCAACATTCAAAAGAACACCCCCCCTCCGGACGTCGACTACCCCCGCTCGTCGCCGTCAGCGGTGGAAATCGACGACTTGAACACCCACACGGCCAGCATTCACGACGATATCAAGGCGCTGCAGAACCGCATCATGCTCCGGCTGCAGCAGTCGCCGGTAGATGCAGCGGCCCCGCTCATCCCATCCTCTCGTATAAGCAAGCCCCAGGGCAGTGCCCCCAAAGGCAAGCAACGAGGAGGCAAACTACCCACTCAGAAACCACCCGTGTCCAAACCCAAACCAAAGTAGTCGACGTACTTAGTACATGGCGTCATGAAGAATATTATTTATTATCGAATGATAGATTATATATATATACATATATTGGTGTTTCTACGACGGTGCAAACTGGGATGATGATCGAAACGAAGGGCGGGATTCAATCACATTCCATTCCGACAGATTCTACACACATCATCATCATCATCATCATCGCCGTGAATTGAGTCAATAGACACGGAAGTCCACGCACCGACGCGGCCGGACGGGAGGCGGCGGTCATGTCGTTTGGATTGTACTCGGACAAGATACGTAGACTGGATGCCATGGCCACAAGGGGAAGTCCTCCCGAGGCGGCCGTCGCTTCCGCCATCACTTGATGCAACCTAACAAGCCATGTTTCATCCCGAAATGCAACACCATGCTGGCATCATACCGCTCCATGCTCGCTTTGTGCGGCGCACATGATCCCAGTGTCGGGCTTTCTGCGAGTCGCGCCAAGTTCCCCAGACTATCTGCTTCATGCAACTCGTCCAACGACATGCCCTGCGATATGCACAGGTACGCGACGTTCTGCCACAACATCGCGACGCCGCGGGCGAACCCCATGCTGCCGTCCGGGTACAGCGTGTGACACGCTGCGCCTTCGCCGCTCTGCTCGCCGATGGTGGAGAAGGAACCGTTGAAGATCATGGGATGGGGGTATACGAGGGGGCTAAGGTACTTTGGCAAGAGGAGGAGCAGGTGAATCATGCGTCCGAGCGCAGCCGACACCACTTCGGGGGGGACGTGGTCGGTGGTGTCGTAGTGGCCAGAGGAGGGCAGCGGAAGCTTGGTGATTGTGCGAAAGTAGTGCATTGGAGGAGCGGGAATCAACTGGAGCAGCTGGAACAGCTGCAGCACTTTAGTTCGGCGCATGGCCGAGAGATTCTACACGACATGGTCAAGTCGATGCTCAGTAGGTCGTGCGCACCTGCTCATTCCAACGGACAACCCGACGAAGGCCTTCCATGACGTAATCGCTTCCATCGTCACCCTCTTCCGTGGAGGTAGCATGTAGGCGCGACTTGGCGGCCAGGAGTTCTCCTTGGCGCTCGGCAATGTGATGCTTCAACTTGGCCAGCGCGATGCGATCTAATCTCGACATCTTACGTCGCACTCGCCGCGCATATTGAACATAAAAGGAATACCTCTATCAAGCACGGCTTGACAGCGTTCTCGTTCTCGTTGCAGGTCGTCCAGCGCTAGCAACTCGTTCGGGTCCACGCTGGCCGAGTCTTTGCCATCAAGGGTATGGGCTGCTTTCTCCCTCAGGACAGCCACGTCTGCCCAAAGTGCCATGAGAATGTTTCTCTTCTGCTGGATGGTGCTCCCAGTGCAGTTTGCACACAGCATGTTGATATGCTCCGACGACTTGGCGCATCCGCCGCATTGCATCGTTGTTGAAGATTTTCTTCACGCTAATCCGGATAGTATTAGAGAATATCCGGATACACGAGCTGATTGACCAGTAGTCAACCAGTGTTGAAATCTTGAATGTCGGGACGAGGACGTGGACGATCGAATGCTGGTAGTCGTGCCGGCGGTCGCACTGGCAGACGAGAAGGCGGTCACAAGCGTGAACATGCTGAAGCCAGGAAAGAGGGAAATGTCATTGGATTCCTGAACAAACCCCTGTCGGAACGATTTGCGTCCTTGCATGCAACGACGTCCGCCCCGGCAGTGAAGAAATCTGTTGCCGCGTTGACCAAGCATGTGGCTACACGCGTTCAAGCTGTTCAGAAGTCGAAACGCCAAACGAATGTGAATGCCCGTCGAGGCATTGCGCCTCCACCTCCCGTCGTCCACAAGCCCGTGGTGGCAAAACAAAAAACGAAATTGGCGCGGACGCCTGCACATGTTCGAGGGGTCAGCAACACCCGCGGGCGAGGTGGACGAGGCGGTCGTGGAGGACGGGGAGGTCGCGGCCAACCCCCTTCCACGAACCCCCAAGACTTGGATCTGGATATGGACACGTATTGGCACGCGGGCGGCAAGGGTCCCGACCCGAAGCAGGCGCAGCTGGATCGCCAAATGGATGAATACTGGGCCGAGAAACCGGAGCGAGAGATTCCCCCCGACTGGTCGTCCTAATAACTACCCATCCGTCGATACGTGTACTGTGTTGATGAACTTTATTAGCATTAGTCGTACAGCGCTGCGTCGTACTTGACGCCGTCCAGCTGCTTCTTCCACGTCGACCACTCGACTGCTGTCAGTAGCGGCGTCAACACCATCATCGAGTCCCGCGCGATTTGCTGGTACGCCTACGAAACATGCAGTTTAAGCATGTCGCCAAGGATGGTTAGTAGGATGATGGGGCACTAGGCACTAAGTAGATCATAGACCTTGGCGTTGAAATGGAACCCGTCAAACGCTTTGGCATCGCTGCGACGGACCACGGGCGTGGATAGGTCGGGAGTGATTTTGACGGGGAAGGCGTCGGTGGCCGTCCTACATGTGTGCTTGAGATGCATGTCAAAGGGGGACAGGCACGAACGATGCGCAAAAGTCCACAAGCGCCTGGTTGATGCTGCGATGGCCATCGCACTCGGTCACGACGTCCGAGTGGCAAAGCGATCCGACGCACACGCGCTTGCCTTTCTTGCGCAATGCGTCGCAGATGGCTTGGATGTTGCGGAGCGTCTGGTCGGGGGAAATGGAAGGGGTCTTGCGTCTAAGATGGTCATCATGACGAACGACCACAAGCGGAACAAAGATGTTTTTGGATACCGAGCGTCCATGGAGCCGACGACCACGAGTACGACGTCGGCGTCGCGCAGTTGAGGTGTTGACATCACGCTTTGGAAGTACTAACAGGATGCAATAGTTCCTCAGTTAAATGAATGAAGGAAGAGGCTAATGGAGTGCATGTCTACCTTGGTGGACGATGTGGGGTGCCACTGCGACGAATCTGTGTCGACGATGCCTCGGTTGATGACTTGCCACTTGTGTCGGATCTGCACATACCATTGATAAGAAGTCGAGCTTGAACAACTTATCGTACCTTGTCTTCCTTGCTGATTTCGTGGGCAATGTACTCGGACAACCCGCCGGACGAGGCCATGGTGATCCAGTCTCCAAACCCTGCCGCGAACCCGTCTCCAATGATTACGATCTTGTGATAGTACTCATTTGATTTCAGGACTAGACGGAGAGGTTGCGCACACCATCGACAGAACCTCAACCACAGCCAAGCTATGAACGTCCGCACCGCGACGTACAACCCAATCATGCTAGCCGCCGCCCTCTTTCAATCTTTGTTTCCACAACAATCATAAAAATCAACCGAACCCTTGAAAATGTATCTATTTGGCACGTAACCTCTCTTGTTTTATCATAATGAACGAGCCAATCAAATCCTATAGGGAGGAGTCCCTTTTAGCCAATGGCATCACATGCCTATTTATAACATATCTCCCAATTATAAAAAATTGTAAAGTAGTAGTACGAAGTAGTTATACCACGTATTATTAATAATAGTACTATTATTTTAATACCTTACTATTAAAATAGTAAGTTACCCAATAAACTGTTGCGAACTTACGCGGAGAGCACATCCAAATCCAAAAGGCAATCGACAAAATCCATGGACCAAAGCAGCAACAGCGACGACCGCCTGCACCAAGTAGCTGCGTGCATTCCCATTGTCCCGTTCAAGGGCGTCAGTTTCTACGATATAGGGGGACTTCTGGCTCATCCAGTCGAGTTTGCCATGTGCATCGACCTTCTCGTGGCGTACTGCGAACCCTTCGCCGACCGCATTTCATCGATCGGGTGCTTTGACGCGCGAGGGTTTTTGCTGGGCCCGATACTTGCCGTGCGGTTGAAGAAAAAGGTGTTTATGCTCCGCAAGCCCGACAAGATGCCTCGCGTATCCCATAGCGTCCGATACGGAAAGGAATACGTCGGCGACGACCCGACCGTGGGGGACGACGGCCTTTGCATTCAGGAAGGCGCAGTAGTTGCGGGGGACAAAGTGCTTCTCATTGACGACTTGCTGGCAACGGGAGGCACCATGGAAGCGGGCCTGGACCTGGTCAAGCAATGCGGAGGCGAGGTGCTGTCGTGCATCTGCCTCATCGAACTCGATGCCCTCCGAGGACGACAACGTATCGCGAGCCGACACCCCGACACGACCTTTTTTCACCTCCTTTCAGAACATCTTTGGGCAAAGACATCATAGATTCACCGTTTCGTGCCATTTCCTTGTGCAATACAGCGACGGTAGTTGGGAAATTGCACTCGAGAATTCACAACAGTACGTTATCTCGCTGGCAAGTGCAGGATCAATCAATGACGAACGTGGCAAAGGGTAACGTTAGCCCAACCATCTTTCATTCGCCGATAAAACAGCTTTCCTTCGGCGACACCGTACAGGTCCTGGTTGCCGAACCTTCACGTTCACGCTTTAGGCCCTGGTCGCAGTGCTTGCTGCAACGCATGGTCGGCGATGCTAGCAACGTTATGTAGGTCGAAATCCTCGGTAGTAAGCCTTAGTAGTCGCTCCCGTTGTGATGCATGTGAAGGCAGGCATGCATGAGGAACTGCTATAAACGTGAGTAAGTGGATGACCATTCCACAGTGTGCTCAGGGTGTGTGCCTGGTTGCTTGGCGTCAATCTACTGGCTAAAATGATTCGAATAATGATAATTGATTGGGTATAATTGAAGATTAAGCCCCTCAAAACAGAGGTGCAGGCATCTTTGGATCTCGCCACCTTCGTCTTAAGTGACTTGTTCCCATCACCAGCGCGATGTCGGGCAGCCATCTCTCCAAGGATTTCTTTGAGCTCGTCAAGAGCATCGGCGAATCCAAGTCGAAGCAGGAAGAGGACCGCATCATCGTCTCCGAAGTTGCGCAACTGAAGCGCAAGATGACCGAGTTGAGCCAAGCGTCCAACTCGCAGGCCGCGCAGGCGAACAAGAAGAAGCAAAAGGAGTTCTTGATTCGACTCATGTACGTGGAAATGCTCGGACACGATGCTTCCTTCGGGTACATCAAGGCCGTGGAAATGACTGCGTCCACAAACCTTATCCAGAAGCGCGTGGGGTACCTCACGTGCTCGTTGACGCTGTCCCCGACCCACGAGTTCCGGTTCATGATCATCAACCAACTGCAGCGCGACCTCCAGTCCGCGAACCACCTCGAAGTGTGCTCAGCCCTCATGGCCGTGTGCAAGCTCGTGACCACGGAGATGATTCCTGCTGTGCAGCCTATGATCATCGAGTCCCTTCGCCACGACATTGAACTCGTCCGGAAGAAGGCCGTGATGGCGCTCCATCGATTCCATCAACTCAATCCCGATAGCGTGGCCGGCCTCGGCGACAGTCTGCGCCGCACCCTATGCGACCGCGACCCAAGTGTCATGGGTGCCGCGCTCTGCCTGCTGCACGACGTGGCCGTGATCACCCCCTCGGCATACAAAGACCTCGTTCCTAGCTACGTAAGCATTCTGAAGCAGATCACCGAGCACCGGTTGCCGCGCGAGTTCGACTACCACCGCATCCCCGCGCCGTGGATCCAGATCCGACTGCTCAAGATCCTGGCGCTGCTCGGCCAGGCCGACCAAGCCACGAGCGAAGGCATGTACGAAGTTCTCCACGATGTCATGCGCCGCGCCGACACTGGCATCAACGTGGGCTACGCCATCATCTACGAATGCGTGCGCACTGTCACGACCATTTACCCCAACTCGACGCTGCTGGACGCGGCCGCCGCCAGCATTTCCCGCTTTATCTCGAGCGACAACCACAACTTGAAATACTTGGGCGTCACGGGCTTGGCGGCCATTGTCAAGGACCACCCTCGGTATTCTCGATTGTCACGATATGTCTGTGACACAAGGTGGTGATGATGGGTAGGTATGCCGCCGCGCATCAAATGGCCGTGATCGACTGCTTGGAAGACCCCGATGAGACGTTGAAGCGCAAGACACTGGACCTGCTCTACCGCATGACCAACCCCGTCAACGTCGAGTTTATCGTGGCCAAGCTCACGACATTTCTCCGCGAAGCCACGGATGTGTTTTTGCGTACAGAGTTGGTCTCTCGCATCACGCAATGCGCCGAACGGTACGATATCATTTATTGAATCATTTATTATTTATATAAATGAATATCATCATGTTTGTGTTTTTGGGGTGTAGGTTTGCCCCAAGCAACGCATGGTACATTCAAACCATGACCAACGTGTTCGAGCTGGGCGGGGACCTGGTCAAGGTGGAAGTCGCGCACAACCTCATGCGCCTCATTGCCGAAGGCAGCGGCGACGACGAAGACCAGGACGCGGAGCTGCGCCGCGATGCCGTCGACACGTACTTGGAGTTGCTGGAAAAGCCTGTGCTGCCAGACATCCTGGTCTGCACCATGGCGTGGGTGCTGGGCGAGTACGGGTACCTCTCGGAAGCGATGCACGTGGACGAGATCGCCGAGCGGCTGTGTGAGCTGATCGACCGTCCATTCGACAACGAAGACGTGACCCGCAGCTACATTGTGTCGGCCGTGACCAAACTGCTGGCGCAGTTGGAAGGCGGCACGGGACTGCCCGTCGCCGAGGCGATGATGCACAAGTACAAGACGTCTCGGCACATTGACCTACAGCAGCGCTGCCTCGAGTACTTAGCGCTCAAGCCGTACCCGCAGCTGGTGGCCCGCACTCATCCCGTGGACGCCAGCTGCGAAGACCTGGACGTGGACGTCAACTTGTCGTTTTTGCAGGCATTTGTCGACACGGCGTTGGCCAAAGGCGCGCCCCGGTACGACCCCCCCGACGACTTGGACGACGACGACGGCTTTGGCGGCCGCCGAGACCACGTCCAGCTCAACATTGAAGCGTACAAGAAGCCCGAGTTGCCGTACTCTGGTGTCAAACTTCAAAGCAACGATCCGTTGGGGGCGGGCGTCCCGTGGGCCCCTCCTGGCGGCGGCGGTCCGACCTCGACGTACCCTGCTGCGGGTCCGGCGTCGACGTATGGAGGGGCGGCTGGTGCCCCCCCGGTGGTGGCTGGAGCTGGTTGGGGAAGCCAACAAAAGTCGGTGCGAAATGTATGGGGCCCCACCGGCATCAACGCGAACGAGCCGCCCCCACAACAGCACCAACCTCAACCGTACGGCAGCAACCAACCCCCGTATGGCGGAGGCTACCCCCAGCACCAGCAGCCGCCCCAAGGGCCCCCTCCTTCCCAATACGGAGGCGGTCCGTCGTCCACGTACCATTCCGAGTACCGCCCCGACGACGAAGACACGGACGACGAACCTGTGGTCGACGAGCGAGCTGTCATGGCAGCGTCGTTGTTTGGGGGTGTGCCGGGCGCCGCCCCCCCCGCGGCGAAGCGGGGCTCTGTCAAGGCGGACGTCCCCAGCTCGCTGTCCCGCAAATCGACTGTGAAGAAGACGATCAAGCGCAAGTCCGCCAAGGCCGAATCGGATCAAGGAGGGTTCCTCAACGCCCCCCCGGCCCCCCAGCAACAGCAACAACAACAGCAACCCGCGCACGTCGATTTACTCGACATTTCGTTCGACTCGAACTACGCAAGCAATCCGTTGCCGTCGACCAACAACTACTTGGACCCGTTCGCCCCGCAACCGGCCGCGGCTGCTACCGTGATTTCCCCGTCACAAGCGCGGGAAGTGCCGCTGGATCCGTTTCAAATGAGCGGACTCATCTCGTCGATTGTGCCCGACTCCACCAAATTCCAGCATCAAGGGCGGGCGTTGGAGCCGTGGCTGATTTCCACGCAAGAGTTTGGCGGACGATGGGGCTCGTGCCCGTGTGAAGTCAAGTCGAACGTGGCGACCACGACGATCCGCACTCTGGACGACTTTTGCCACCGCATCCATGCTTCCGACATCAACCCCGTGGAAGCGATTCCGCAAAGTAAGTTGATTGGGAGTTGTGTTTATGAGTCAATATTGTATGGACTCTAAATGGGTTGTGCTTTTCTTTTGTAGCGAGCGAAGTGATTGCGGCCGGGCGGGTTCAAAACCCTGAGAGTGTGGCGTTGATTCACTGCAAAGTGCGACAGGGAGGGTTGGACCTGACGGTGCGAACAGCGGACCCAGCCTTCTCGAATAGCCTGAGCGCGTTCCTCGGCCAAATTTTGAAGTAATCGACACGACGGACGCGTGCTGTTTAAAGTGCCATATCCAAATATATGCTATCGAGTTGTGCGGGAGATGTGACTTCGTTTATAATAATCAGAGAAAAACTTCGACCCGTACTATGAATATCATCGATAAATATAGGCTCTTTGAGTAAATTGAATTTGTACGTAATAAGCAACTGATAGAATTTACTACAGTAAGTACTACTGGTACGTACTTCGAAGCAGTACTTTTTTAATCCTTCTCAAGTATGGACATGTTAAACCAACATTTGTTTTGGTTTTTTGGATATTCTGTAGTTATACAGTGCTGGAAAAAACATTAGCACATGAGTTTTTTTTTGTTTACTCAATCTGCACGAACATCTAGCATCATTCACAACACTTAAAATGACATTACACTGCAATTGAAGTCAATCTCGAAGTCGTACAAACTAAAAAAATTCCATTAATCGACAAAATTGATATTTGCACCTGGAAGAAAGAAGAGCACAACGATGTAAAATGTATTGTTACGAAATCAAAAACTTCAATCGAGTTGAACTAATACTTGGTCATGCCCCCACCCATCGCAATGACACTCGTGCACCGGCGTGGCATCGAATCCACCAAGTTTTTTATCGTCAAATCGTCGATATCAGCCCACGCACGCTTGATCGCAACCTTGAGGTCCACTACGTTGTCATATTGCTTGCCATTGCTGTAAACGATACGTACAATCCGCCCCCAGAGATTCTCAATCGGATTGAGATCAGGGGACAGTGCAGGGTGATCGAAAACCGTGACTTTCTGCTCCTTCAAAAATTCCATTGTGGTCTTCGCACGATGGATGGAGGCGTTATCTTGTTGAAACAAGATCTCGTCGGCGTAGAATTAATGACCAAAGGGCATCAGGTAGTCTTGCAACGTCCAGACGTATTTGTCGGCGTCTTGATTGCCTTCCAGGAACGCTAGCTCGCTTACACCGGACGACGAAAACGCCCCCCAAATCATCAAACTTTTGCCACCAAACTTGCGTGACATGTACGTCTCGTAGTCGTACCGCAAGTCTCTCCAGTAGCACTTAAGTCAATCTGGCCCGTCGAGATTGAATTTCTTCTCGTCGGACCAAATGATCTTGTGCCATTGGGGTGGTTTGTGGAGGTGCTCCAATGCTAAATTCAGCCTCACATTCTTGTGCTTCTCAGTGAGCGCTGGCGCCGAGTTGCGTTTAACATACTTGAAAATCGTGTTGGAGGACAACTTGTATCGTACGGCACGAGAGGTGATGGGTAGGTCCAATTGAGCAACGATCTTGGACGACGACAAACCCGTTTTCGAGACCTCGCGGAACATGAGTCGGAGGGTGGTATCGCTGAGTTTAGGAGGCCTTCCGCCTTTAAAGCGTTTTCCATAGGCTTGGGGGTCCTTCAGGTAGTTGGCATTGGCCTTGCACGACTTCCCCAAGCTCTTGGACATGAACAGTACAGATTTTCCGCTGGCCTTCCAGACTGAAATTTGGCCGCGCTGATACTCGTCGAGTTGCAATCCTCGGCCCATGCTGTTTAGGTGTGGTGGGGTGTCGATGGTTGTTTGATATGTGTTTAAAATTGCAGGTTGCTAGGCTGAGAACTGTTCAAGTTGCATGCAGTTAAGGGAGAGTCGGCTATTCTTACTTCCATCCCGTGTTTTCGTAGCCACGTCATAAAAACCTCTAGCGTCCTCGGTTGGACTTGTAGTGCGTTTTATAGCTGTGCCCAATCATAATAGTTCGACTGGTATGGTTTTGTATTTACAAAAATAGCTTTTTCGCTCGGTAGCTCGAAAAAACACACATGTGCTAATGTTTTTCCAGCACTGTACTTATAGTATGTTTGGGCGAAACGGCTCCCAAGAAAATGAAGGATGCTACTCCGCCAAATCTCAGTATTTTCTCAAACGGAATAGCCCACAGCATCCACCGGAGTCTGTTGCATGCTGTGGGCTTGATCGCATTCCAATACGTCGAGTATTGCATGAGGAGTAGCTTCCTTCACTGTTGCCTTACGTTTTTCTATTTAACCTATATGTTTGCTTGGGTTTGATGTGTGGCACGCACCTCTCGATTATGATTGGTCAAATGCGTATTCTAGTACTACGTAGTATGTGTTATAGTATCGTAAGTACTATAATACGTATTAATATTAATACGTATTATAGTACTACTAGTATTATTAATAGTAGTACCAGTAGTATACAGTATACTATTAATATGAACACACCGAACTATTTTTGGTATATTTTGACAATCACTACTCGAGTGCCCGATATAATTACACTGTAGCCGTGTGCCCAAGTAATTGGTCATCTGCCCGATGAATTACAGTAGTATATATATTTCATTGAATGCAAATCAGTTTTGGTGGATGGTTGAAGTTCGGAGGAAAACGCGCGAAGGCAAGAATTCGAAATTTATACTTGAATAAAGTATTGTTTAAGTTCATGCTTTCCTCCAACATTTTGAATGCTAATTATTCAAATCGGCAAGGAACGCACAGCATAGACGTCGCTGCACCCCCACGAATAACTCTGGTAATAATAATGTCAATTGAAGTATTGCCCCTATACTTCAACGTTCCGTCCATACTTCAACTCCCGACAAAACTTGAATCTGTCGCGCGCAGACCTCACTTTTCGCTTTACCTCAAGGTACGCACCCTCGATGAACGCGCGGAGGATATGGGCAACATGAGCGTTGGTACACGTCACAGCAACGATGCTGCATGTGTCGTTTAACGACCATTTCTATATTGAATTGACTTTTTATTGCCATTTTCATCGGGCACACGACATAATTCTTAACGTTACAAAAATTAGGACAAAGAAACGATCTATAGATTGGCGAATCAACACAAAAGTCCAAATTTTGGGTAAAAGGACAATACAACCAGTAACTCGGCTGCTGGGACGCGATCTATCCGGATAAACTTGAATCTACCAATCGGTGACGTGTACTTTCAAACTAGCCAATCAACATCAGATCCCAAATTTCTTGAAAATGTCCATTTCATTTCCAAATCGATGTTTGCAAATGAGAGGAAGACGAAACCACGCATCGACTTCGGTGGCAGTATCAGACATCCATCAACGCGATCCACGACACAGGACACAGACTTGGTACCAGCAGAATCGCAAAATGCACTGCGACGAAAACAACTCATCCACGTGTCAGATTGTGACGAGGCAAAGAAGAAACTGCAAGCCATCTGGGACGACCCACCCGCCAACGCGCCAAACATCGATGACGATGGCGATGCTTCTTGGGGACCTGTCGTTCTGTGTGCTGCCATCACGTGGGACGATTTCCAAGGATGGCTCAACCGTAACGAAGGGCGAGTGAGACGATGGGTCTTTGAGCCCCTTGCAGATGGAACGGGGAAAGGACAAGTGGTCTTGTACAGCATCCCGTCCTTCGTTCACTCTGAAACGGCAGGACAAATCAGTTACTCTATCATCGAGCAAATCCAAGCGGCAGGGAACGACATCTGGCTTGGAAGGACAGTTAAACTTGCAACCGATCCAACATGCCGCACTTGAAATCATGGTCAAGTACCAGACTGTTGTCTTACTCCTGCGGGGCTGACAGTTGGAGGAGCGGTGCTGGAGGCTGCAGACAACCATGCATACCCCAATGTCATTGTTGAGATCGCCTACAAGAATGACGACCTGGGTCGACTCCGTGCGAAACTTGGGCGTTGGATGCACAATACTTCTGTCCAGGTGGCGATTGGAATCAAAATCAATGCTATCAACGCCAATCGAACGGCAATCTTGTGCCAGCGTGGCCAGCCCAATCAAGAAGTGGCGTTTGGTCCTCCTAGTTTGCCTCCACTTGCGATTTCGTTTCCACTTGCTCTTATCTACACTGGTGTTGCAATGCCACCAGCTTTGGCAGCCCTCGCGAATCCCCAGATTTCCATTGACCTGATTGCCTTGCGGACGTTTATTGATGGAATCCTCTTAGAGGAAGCTGCAGCACACTAGCCGTACAGAAGCCCAAGCTCCTGCGACAGATTGATTTATTTTAACGATAACAGTCTTGGTTTTTCGTGTCTTTTAGGGCGGGTCTGGCTGCCATCAATTTTGGGATATTTTCACCTAGATTAAAAAATATCGTGGTATTCGAAAAACGGCTCTGGCTGCCAATTTTGGATAAAAATTATCAAGATATTCGGGCCGAAATACACAACAAAACACGATAAAAAATATTCAAGTATTGACAAGATACTCCGAGTATGTATAGGAGTCCTTCCCATACCGGTATGTCATGTACTGTTTCAAAATGTGCATAAATCGCCTGTATCACTTCGTAACTTGTACGATTTGGGTTGAGAATAGCCAAATAAATCGCAAAGATGTTTCATAATATGAGACATGTAATATACTTGAAGTAGTAGTAGTCGATTCGAATGGAGCTTACTGTTAATGGAATTCGCAAGGTGAGCTGCCTTGCTTCCTTTTAATATCCAATCAGAGTCCATCACACCTTGTTTCTTAACGTTACATAAGTTACTTACGATTGACTACTATAACACTGGCAGAAGAGGTTACAACTTTAAACTGTTTGGACGCTTGAAAGTGTGATACTGCTCCAGAGAATTGTGCACTGATGAGTTCACTCCAACTATATCCAATGTGGTTCTCCCCTTACAGCTAACATTATGTTGTGCGCTCGGTTGGGTCGCAATGCCGTGGTGGCTCTGGTGGGCCAACCAACGCGGTGGCGCAAGACGTCTTGGTTGCACCAATCGCAAGTTCTGAAATGGCGGCTTTAGCACTTGCGATGGGTGCCACCAAGACGTCTTGCGCCACCCGCCGACGCAACCACGTGATCACACCGGCAGGGAGGTGTACGGCACCGACAAGGGCTGGATGGTGGAATGAGGGATGACACATTCATTGGGTTAGTAGGCAAGTGGTGATGTGACTGAAGTCTAGACCTGTTCGAATTGACCGAGTCCTGAATACCACATCGCATGATCTTGCTCTCATACACAGCCTACATAATTATCTCAATGCATCAACCACCATCATAACGTTAAGAGTAGAAAATATCGCAACAGGGCGTGATGAATCTGCGCAGCGATTTTCGTGATTTCCCTGCATCTGATTGGACAATTTTGAATTCGCAAGGTTAACTGCCTTGCGAATTCCAAAAACAGACAGACACAGGAAAAATAAAAATCAAGAATACAAACTTAAAGATATATTTCATTGAAACTGTTTGTATATTATTTATATAAGTAAATTATTTATGGAATTCGCAAGGTGGTCCACCTTACCTTTTATACAAAATTGCAGATTTAACCATGTTTTTTCTGGATAATGTACTGTACTTCGAAGTATTTCCACTTTAACGTTACAATTAGTTAAAAAAACTATTTTTGGATTTATGGGCTGTCGAAAATCGAAGAAAGGTTGGAGAGAAATCTGAGTTTTTTCTAAAAATAGAAAAACGGTCGATTAACCATCCGACGTAACCGGAAAGGTCCAATTTCTGACAATAGCCGGATAAATTCCGGACACACCGGAAGATCTTGAGTCGGATCTTTTTTCACAATCCATTCCAGTGAAGGTGGCTGCTGCTTGATCAAGGGTCGCTTTGAAGGAAGCAAACCTTCCGTGAGTAGATTGAGCACCCAATTATCATGGGACAGTTGGCTGCAGACAAGGATCACAATGACGAGAACGAAGATGGCGGGAAAGAGGGCAAGGAAGCGTTGGCCCGTATCCTAGAACTCACTCCCGCGCTGACTCAACTCCCAGCCAAGTCCACCGACATCGATGGCTGCGGGGGATGGGGTGGCCAAGAGGCTCAGCAACTGGAAGCTGTCGTGGATTCCGTAGACACAATCAAAGGGCTCTTCCATCACATCTCCAGCCTCGCCAATGATGTGTATGGCACACAGAAGAAATCGCAGTCGACCATATCATCCGACCCTTCCCCAGACCTCGCGGCCGATTCATCGTCCGAATTTGACACGCGTGTGTCGGCGTATCTTCAAAATGTCCAAGCCTTGAATGCCATAACGAAGAAGGAAAAACACAACTACGAGCAACGCCTCGTCGCTGTGCGGAATGCGACCAAGAGCCAACGCAAGGTGAGTCCGCCGCCGCTGCCGCTGCCCACTCAAAACTGCATGATACTGGGTTGGGACATGGCGATTCAATTGATGAAAGCCACTCGGAAGGAAGGCAACGGGGACACATACCTGCACGCGCTCCAGACCATTCAAGAGCACATGTCGACTCTCAAACCACTGGCGTACTTGGACGGCATGTACGTTAGTCCGAGCGCAAGCCAGTCGTTCGACCTTCTCTGCGACTTTCTCATCCAAGCCGCAGTGGTCATTCCTGGCCGCGATGTCACGGTTGAGGAGGAAATCGCGCGGCAGTCCATCTCAGTTCTCTGCGATTTGGCCCTCGCCCGAGGGTCCCTGTCGTACTTGTTGTCGTGTGTGCTATGGATGCTGTCTAGTCGTACAGAAACGCCTCTGCACTTGAATGCGCTGCTGACCAAAGTTGCTGCGATCAAGGAGCAATCGTTGTACGGGATTTGCGAAGCATCGGGGGAGCTGTACTGTTGCGGTCAGAACTCGTACGGCGAGCTAGGGGTCGGCGACGACATCGAGCGCCACCAGTTGACGTTTGTCCCATTTGGCGGGTGGGACGACGTCAAGCAAGTCGTAAGTGGTAACGAGATCCTCGCGATGCTGACCAACAGCGGCGTGGTGCTCACCGCGGGCCTCAACAAGAGCGGACAGTGCGGCCACGGCCACTTTGACGAGCGCGTGATGCTGCTGCGGCCAGTGGAAGCGCTGCGGTCCCAGAAGGTCACGTACATCGCCGCGAGCAACGGCTGCGAGCACATGATCGCCGTCACGGACACGGGGCTCGCGTATTCGTGGGGGTACAACGACCGCGGCCAGCTTGGCCACGAGAACATTACGACCAAGATCCACCAGCCCAAGCTTATCGAAAGCATCCGCGACAAGAAGATCGTGTTTGCCGCCGTGAGCTACCACCACAGCGCCATTGTGACGGACAAGGGCGACCTGTACACGTTTGGCATGAATGACTGTGGCCAGCTGGGCCAAGACACGACCACACACGTGTCCGAGCCCCAGCACGTCAAAGCGCTCGAAGGGTATATTGTATCGATGGTCAGCTGCGGCTTGTACCACACTGTCGCATGCACGTCCACGGGCGAGCTGTTTACGTTTGGCAAGAACGACTACGGTCAGTTGGGGGTAGGCCACAACCGCCAGAGCAAGACCCCGTGCTTGGTGGCGACCCCGAACGACCATATTTGCTTTGTCACGTGCGGGTACTACCACTCGGTGGCGGTGGCGACCAACGGGCGGTCGTTTTCGTTTGGGCGTAATGACTACGGCCAGCTAGGCATCGGCACCAAGGTGCATCAGAGCGTGCCGCACCTGATCACGGTCGGGCCTCGCATCACGCGCGCCGCGTGCGGCTGCTACCACACCGTTCTCTTGTCCGAGCAAGGGCTCGTGTACACGTTTGGAAGGAACAACAAGGGCCAGCTGGGCAACCGCGGCAACACGGACTCGCTCTTGCCCGTGCCTCTGCATGTCCGCCCCGAAAAGAGCGCGCGGCGGGTTCTGGACATCGCGGCGGGATTTTACACCACGTCGTTGATTGTCGAGCGCAAGAAGGATGGTGACGTGGCGACGGCCGACCAGAGCTTGGTGCTGCCTCTCTGCGGCCGCGTGGACATTGACCGGAGCGGCGAGATTGAAGGCTTGAGTAACTTTGGGAGCATCAGCGCCGTGGGCGTGAGCTTGTATCGCGGCAAGTGGTTCTACGAAGTCGAGGTCGTCACGTCCGGGCTGATTCAAATCGGATGGATCGACGGGTACTTTCAAGGGTCATCCGACCAGGGTGAAGGCGTAGGCGACCACGCGCACTCGTGGTCCTACGATGGCAACCGGCAGAGACGGTGGAACTCGGGATCGTCAGCGTACGGCGACAAGTGGAAAGCCGGCGACGTCATCGGGTGTCTGCTCAACCTGGACGACCTCGAAATGCGCTTCTTCCGTAACGGCGTAGACCTTGGCATCGCGTATGCGGACCTGGCGCTGAACGCATCGGACGCTCGCGCCGGACTCATGCCTGGAATCAGCCTCGAGCGAGGCGAAATCATCCGCCTCAACCTCGGCCACCGCCCGTTTGCGTTTCCCGTCAACGGCATCGACGGCATCGCGCGAGCCATCGTGTCGCCCTCGTCGCAAGTGGTGCTGCAGACCGTGGCAATCGCGACGACGGCCACCGCCCCCGAGGCCCTAGAAGGATCGGCGCGGATTCTCATGGGGGATAAGCTGTTTGTGATCGGCGGAATGCTCTCAGGCCCTACAGGAAGCACTGGCGTGTCCACCAACAAGGTGTGGGTGTACTCTCAGTCGGATAAGGCATGGGGCCGGTGGAGCGACCTCCCCATCGGGCTTCGGTACCACCAAGTGGTAGCCATCGACGACCACACGCTGCTCGTGATTGGCGGTGAGCACGACGGCCCCGTATCTCGCCACCTCGACCTCTACCGCGTCTCGACGATCGCCAACGCCGATGGGTCCTTCCCGCCCTGGGAACTCGTCCAAGGCAACGCGGCGACGTCGGCTCTGCCACTTCCCCGCGCCCACCACGCGGCCGCCGCCATTCGCATTCGTCTGGAAACTCTCGTGCTCCTCTACGGTGGCAAATCCAACGACGATGCATTACTAGGCGACACGTGGTTCCTCTCTCTGGAAGACTACTCGTGGGCCAAGCTGCCGTCATCGGTGGCGCTGGATCCAGGCCCGCGCTTTGGGTGCTCGTTATGCGTGGTAGGGGAAAGCGTCTACATCTTTGGGGGATTGGACAAGGAAGACCGGTACCGTGCCGACCTATGGCGGTACAACACGTTTGATCGTGTGTGGCATTTGTGTCACGACGATTACATTCACACTCCACGGCCATCGTCAACCGACAAGGAATTCAATCCGCCAATGCCGCCCCCCCGGACCTACTACAGCATGGCGTCGGACCTCGGGCATGTATGGATCTACGGGGGTGAGAACCGTAAAGGCGATGTGCTCGGAGACCTCTGGGGATTTTCCCTGACAAAGACCACATGGACGCAAGTGGAAGTCACGACCGACGACGGCGTCAGTGGCGTGGGTCGTGCCGCGCTGTTCATCGAAGCTGGCAGCGTGTGTGCGTTCGACCCGCTGCAGCCGTCGACGTGCTTGTTGTACGGAGGCCGGGCGAGTCGCATTGCTGCTGGAGGAGCGACGACGATGACGAAATGGGAAACCACGATCCGATACCTGTCTCCCACGTCGAGTTCGAAGCTGCCGTCCTCGGGCATGACCTCCTTGACAGCGTCGTCGTCAACGGCGTCGCTGGGCAAAGCGTCGACGGTGTTGGCGCACTTACGGTCCAAGCGCGCGCCGCTGCTGTGTCCGCCCACCGCAGGCGACACGGCGATCTGTTTGTTGTCACATTTGGACCGGTTGATTGGCGGCGACGTCGCGCTCGTTGAGGCGGACTCGATCCAGCCGTCTCGGTGCAGCTATCGGTCGCTGTGCATCGATGCAAAGGAGTCGTCGTTTGCTGTGCTGCTGCAGCTTCTGTCGCGGCTGTCGACGTCGGTTTTGGCCCCCAACGTTGACTCGACCACGGACTTGTACCCGCTCGTGGTGGTGTTGCGGCTGGTGAAATTCAACTTTTTTGAGGTAGGCGATAGCCAGCAAACCAGTGGTTTAGCGTGATATGTGTGTTGTAGCTGTCGACTTCGTGCATGGACGTGGACGACATGGGGTTTGCCGCGTCGTCGACGGAACGTGGCGGGACACTGTTCCAACTGCGCGAGCTGCTATTTCAGCTCGCCGACGTGCCGTGGACGCCGACAGCGTCCGCCGAGGTCGACTGGTTTGGCCACGTCATCCAGCGCGAGACGGTGGCGACAATCAACGCGGGGTTCTCGGTCATGTTTCCGTCGCTACTCGACCGCCTCGCGGTCCTCACAAGACTCCTGCACGACGACAAGAAGGTCTCCAACCTCCTCGTGCCGATGCTCGTGCCGAACTTTGCCTCGGCCAAAGCACTTTTCGCACTAATGTCTGAAGAATCCACGCTCGTGGCCGAAGGCGACCGGTGTCACAACGTTGTGACGATGTTCGCCGACAAGTTGCTGCAATCTCTGTGGCTTAAGTCGACGTCGTTAGGGATGCTCTCAGCCAATGTGGACACGACCATGGAGTTTCAGTGTTTGAACGTCCTCCTTCGAGCGACGGTATTCTGGTCGTCCATGAACCAAGGATGGACCATCGCCAAGCACATCTGCATCCGACTGGTGCACTATATGCAGCTTCTCCTGGACACCGCCGCCGCCGCGCCCTTGTCCCCCGTCGCTGTGGCGGCGTTGCTGTCGACCAGTTTCCCAGGCAAACTTCTGCCGTTCCTCCTCCTCAACATGACCAGTTTACCGTCCATTCAGCAGAACTTTTCGTCGGCGATGGCGGACCTGTGGCCAAACTTGGAGATGCTGCTGCATAACATCCACATGTTCATGGCAACAAGCGACGGATCGGCCAAGTCGTTTGAAGGAAGCTCGTCGGGGTTGCCTGGTGGCACGACTGTGTCGACTCCTCTGCTATCGTTGGACAACGACACGTTGTTGCAGCATCCTGTAGTGCTCAGTGCTCGGATGCAGGGCCTCTTGCAGATTCCACCCACGACTGCACCCCGTGCGTCCATGCCGGGTGCCGAGTTTGCTACCCGATTCTGGGAAGTCATCCGCACCACGAGCTCCGCATTTCACCGGATCAACGTCATATCAAGGGATTACGACTTGTACCGAGTGGTGTTGGCTCCGTCTGCTGCCGCCGTGTTGCAGCAGCGGTCGCTCGTGGTGGGGTTCCGAGGGGGTACGGACGACCATCTGGCCAAGACGCCGTACGACAGCGCCAAAGTCAGTTTGACCTTTTCATGGGATGTATTGACCACGCACATTCAAGCAGGCGCTTTGAGTTCCAAGTCCCCCTTCTCCACGATGGCATCGTCGTCGCCGACGACGTCCGCGCCTGCGACACTGGGTGGAGATGGCGATGGGGCGTGTATCGAATGGCTGCACGATTTCCAGAACCTGCTGTCGTACCTGGGCAGTCATTACGCGTCGTCGCTGATTCTTGCGACAGAGTCGACAGCTGTACCGTCGGCCGGATTGGAGCGATGGCTGCAGTCGCCCTTGTTCCGAGGCGGGTTGGAGGAGGAGCAGCCATCGTCCCCTACAACAGACAGCGACGACCACCCTAAAGCAACCCGCAACGCACACATTTTACAGCAAATACTGGACAACGAAGGGGCCGGGGCGAAACTCGTGGAGAAGGTCAAGACGGCGCTCGATCCGGACGCGGCCTCGGCGCACGCGAACCCCAAGCTCCGTGCAGCATCAACTCGCATGAAACGCATCGATAGTGTCGAGCGGACGCTGGAGAAGAGCGGGGGCTTCGAAGCGGTGGACCGAGCGGTGCGCTCGACGTTTGCCGTTCTCCTCAAGCACACACATGTAGCGTACACGAGTAACCCTGTGACACGGGATGGCATGCCCGGGGAGGCCCTTCTCGACGCCTGGAGAGCCGCGCTGCAGCTTCGACGATGGTACGTAGCTAACTATACACTATGCAATGTCAAGGCACTGATGACGTGGCAGGATTGTACGAGAGCAACAAAAGCTGGCCGTGAGTTCGAGGTACGAAATGTAGATTGAAAACTCCATTTTATAACGTCTTGATGGGTTTTGAACGTCTGTTTCTAGCGACGGCAAAGTGAACGACGACGAAGACAACGAGTTGGCCAAGGAGCGTCAACAGTCGCTATACAAGCAAGTGTGCGACCCAATCGTTGCGCGCGCTCGGCTTTTGCTGCAGCTCGCGGCGGTGCCAGTGCTGACGACCCAGGAAGATGCTAGCCATTCCCCGTTCAAGATCCTCCCTGGCATCTCCAACACCCCGTTTGGTATGGCAGATTGTTAACGTTATAACATTCTGCTCATGCATGGTGTAGATTTTGCCAAGTTGTCGTCGTCGACGGTGGCGCGCGTGGCGCCGGAAGATGGAGCCGGCCACCAAGGATGGCTGCAACAACTCAATCGGCTCATGGAAACAAAGTCCATGGACACGATCGAAGAAGAAGATGAAAGGATTCAGACGGATATCTTTGCCTTTATTCAGCAAACGTCCGACTCAAGTGTTGAAACGCCCATGAAAGCCCTCCTCGAGGACCACCAACGTCGCGCGGGTCGACGACTGCAAGGCCTCGAGATTTTCTTCACGTTGCTCAGCAGCACGGCGTCCATCCCGGCCGCCCGATTCCACATTCTGCCCGTCCTCGCAAAGTCGTTTCGCGCCTCCCGCGGTGTGGCCGGCAGCGACAAAGTGCACTACTCGCACCAGTTGGAGTTGGCTGGCCGTTCGAAGATCCAAGCGATTGGTCGGCAGTTCTTTGCTCTCGTGTCGCACCTGCTGGATCATTCGTCGTCGCATCTGTTATCCCTGAAACAAAAGTACTGCAGCGGCAGCACGGACAAGTCCAACAAGCCCAGTGTCCAGACCATGCACCAACACGTCCACGCCATGCTGTTGGCGCTGGACGTGTGCAGCATTCCGTACACCGCCGACGACTGGGTCCACTTGTCGGCCACGAGGCTGCCTTCGTTCTTGACCGAAACGACGAGTTGGGCGAGCTGGAAGCAAGTGTTTGCCATCGAAGACGTTGACGAGGCCACGACCATCAGCGAATCCGCATCCCACCAGAAGCCGCCGATTCTGCCGGCGGGGGTCGGCTGGAGCGGACTGACCTTTTTGCACGGACAGTCGCTGGTCGTCGAGCCTGAAACGCACATTGTCACCAGTGTCGCAAGACCTGTTCAAGCGGGAGACTCCGCCGTGGATCCCATCGTTGCCGACGACGCTGCCGGTGGGTTGGTGGTCGCGGCTCGACCGTTGGCCAAAGGTCGCTGGTACTGGGAAATCGTGTGGCGGCACCAAGGCACGTTTCCCATCTTTGTTGGCGTCTCAAACGGGTGTGCCAATGTAAACCACGCGTTTGGCAGTACTCCCAGCGATGACAGCAATGGCACGGTGGGGGTGCTTCTATGTAAGGACAAGCTGACGTATCCTTCGTACCCGACGTTGTCGTCGTACCACGTATGGGCGAGACTGCAGCCTATCGGAGTGTTGTTGGACTGTGACGCCAAGACGCTCGACATCTTCTGTGGGGTGAAACGGGTCCAGTCGTTGAATTTGGCCCATGTGACCACTGCCGCCTACTTTCCTGCCGTTGGCGTCGTGGACGGTGAAATCCAATGGGACATGTACGCCCCTGTCCCCGCCCGCATCTGGGCGACGCCCCCCAAGTTCACGTTTGTGTCTGGGGGGCTTGTGGCAGACTCGTTTGGCGGCAACGCGTTGAGTTGGAGCGGTCGTGTGAAAGGCCCAAATGTCCATCTCGCTGCGGATTGTTCGACCCTCGTAGCCGGGGACTGTCTGCTCGCGACCCCCCAAATAGAGACGGTTGTGACCAACAAGTCGTTTTTGGATGGGCAATTGTACGTGGAATTGAGTGTGCTAGCGTCCCGCCATTGTGCCCACTTTGTGCTGGGGGTGGTGGACTCGACGTTCGTCGCTGCAGACCAAACGATCGATGGATTACACCTTGAGTATGACGACATTGAACAAGACCACGACGGACTCCTCGGAGTTCTCTTTGACTTTAGCGAAGGCAAACTCACCGTGTACCAGAAACGCAAAGAAGCCATCGTGCACTCGGTCGACTTGTCGGGACTGACGCCGCCGTACGTGCCCGCCCTATCGGTGTTGTGCAACGGAGCGATTCTCTTTACCAACTTTCATCCGCACGCGCGACCGCAGCTCCCCCCGTCGTCCATTTACCCCCTCGCCAAGAGCTCCGTGGCATCGTCGTCCGCGACGGAAAAACAAGTGGGCAAAGTGCTCGAGTTCCAAGTCCTCACGTGCGACGGCGGCGAATTCAGCGCGTCGCACGCCGTGACCAACCTCCTCGTGGACGACTCCACCGTGTACAGCTCGGCCGGGTCGCAGAACATTTCCCTGGTACTCAAGCACACGTCGGACACGCCGTTCTGCATCACGTACGCCATGGTCCGCGGTCCCGGAGCTGGCTACACGGCGCCGCTGCAGCACGCGGTGGTGTTCGTCATGAGTGCGCCTCCGGAATTGGACGAGTTGGAGCAGTACAACGGTCTGACGCCGGAAGAATTTGCGGGACTGCCGACCGCCCCAACGGATGCCCACGTTAAGCGCGACGAAAGCATCCCCGTGTTGTACTTTGTTCTGGACGGCAATTGCTCTTCCGTTTCGAAACGACTCACGAGTCCGGTCGCAGGACGTTATGTCGTGGTGAAGCTGCTGCGCCCGACCAGCGGCGGCAACATCGACGTGGGGTACCTTGGCTTCTGCGGTGCGTTCGACAAGGAAAATGGACCTGCGTACAGCGACTTGTACTGGGACGACTACTTGTGCACGGAATGCCACTTGTGTCCGATTCCAGGCATCTGCTACGTCAGCGACGAAGACGATCAAGTCAAGATGTGCTCGAGTTGTTACGATGACCAGCGCGGCAGCTTGACTACATCGTTTTACGCGTGCGTGCCGTCTGACGGCGAAGATCGAGGCGACGCGTCCACGTCTGTACTTTGCGCACCACGGAAAGCATGGATCGAGTATGTGCAGGCTTTGTACGAATCGACGAAACCTTCGACTTCCAGCTTGGGCGATCGCGGCGGTTCCGCCAGTCCCGCCAAAGCCTCGATGCCAGACGACCTGTTTGACGACGTCGAGTTGTTTGCGTGCGGTCAAAACAACTATGGCGAGCTGTGTCTTGGCCACTGCAATTCCACAAGCAAATTGGAGCACGTGCCGCTGTTCACGGCGAAAAGCGTCAAGCAAATGACGGGCGGCAACGAAGTGCTTGCCGTGGTCATGCGAGACGGCGGCGTGTACACGTGCGGACTTAACAAGAGTGGGCAGTGTGGTAACGGCACATTTGAGGAGCGCGTGGTGCTGGCGACCCCCGTGCGTGCGCTCTCTGGCGTCCCCATCGTCATGGTGGCGGCCGCCAACGGGTGCGAGCACATGATCGCGGTGGCGCAGGATGGGTCGGCGTACTCGTGGGGGTACAACGACCGAGGCCAGCTCGGCCTGGGCTCGACCATCTCCAAGAGTCACACGCCCAAGCTGATCGAGTCGCTCCATGAAAAGTACGTGGTGGTGTCGGCGGGTGTGAGCTACCACCACAGCGCCGTCGTCACAAGCAACGGCGAGCTGTTGACGTTTGGGATGAACGACTGTGGCCAGCTGGGTCTCGACCACACGCAGCACCAGCACACCCCTCAGATTGTAGACGCCTTGGCGAGCCAAGTGGTCACCAACGTGTCGTGCGGTCTGTACCATACGGCTGTCGTCACTGCCGGCGGAGACGTGTACACGTGTGGAAAGAACGACTATGGCCAGCTTGGACTGGGCCATTCTCGAAGCGTCAAAGTGCCGACGCACATGAAATTGACCGACGCGGACGACAAAGCTATCATGGGATGGAGTGGGTACTACCATACCGCTGTGGTCACGGACAAAGGCAAGTTGATCACGTTTGGGCGCAACGACTATGGCCAGCTTGGAATTGGCAGCAAAGAGCACCGAAACACACCGCAGACGGTGCCGCTGCCGGCCGGGTCCAAGGTCATGTCGGCCGCGTGTGGCTGCTACCACTCGCTCATTCTTCTCGCGAACGGACGGGTCATGGTGTTTGGTCGCAACAACAAGGGCCAACTGGGCGCCGGGGCTCGGACGTTGCCGTCCGCCGACCTCCCGCTGCCGATTCCGTCGGGCACTCTCGCAAACGACGACGTGGTCGCGATCGCCGCGGGGTTCTACAGCTCGTACATTCTCACGGGCCGCAAGTCTGACAGCACCAGCAAGAAGACGGGAACGTCCGCACGAGATGAACTCAAGGACATCCATGCCCCCGACCACCAAAGTGTGAGTTCTGACGCGCTCTTTGAATCGCTCATGCGCGAGATGGACCGAAATGCACTGAGCGACACCCTCAACGATACGTCGCCGCTGTCTCTCAAGCGAAGCAACACGTCCAAGAAGCTGCCGCTGCTAAAACTGCTGTCGGGAACGTGGGCCGTGGCCCGCACGCTCATGTACCAGTCCCTTCAGTCCAAGAAACCCACGGAACTCCTCAAATCGTTCATCTTGTCCATGTTGGACAACCTTGCCGAGTCGTCGAAACATGTCGACGCCACATCGCATGACCTGCCAACCGGCGACGACGAGTTTTTCAACCTCTCGGACGCGTGTGTGGGCCTGATCAAGTACTGCGCCTCGGGCAAATCCAAGGCGGACGGCCTGAGTGTGTTATCGCAGTTGTTTGGTAACCAAGTGTTGTGGGTACTCCTAGCGTGCGGGTCCGTCCATGCCGACGTGTGCTCGGTGATTGCGTCGTCGCCCGTCGTGCTCCACCAACTCATCCGGGGCATGTTGTCGTCGACGCTGTCCTCGTCTATCATTTGCATGCGGCTCGGCATGCTCATCTTCCCCCTGCAGTCCGTCTCGGCCGTGAACAAGGTGTACAAATCCATTGCCACGCATCCATCTGACATTATGACGTTTTTGTTCCTTGTTGTGGGGTACCCGCTGATGTTGCGGCCGCCGCTCTGCAAGCACGAGCTTGGCATCGAGTGTGCCACGACGTCGTTGTGCAAGTACTTCAACTGCACCAAGGGTGTGGCGGTCGACGCCCCCATCTCCGCTGCGCTGTCGGCGATGGTCGACAAGCATCACATCCGTCACGCGAAGTCGTGCGAGGCCGTGTCGCTTGTCCGGTACCTGACGCTGTTTCCAACGTGGAACAAGGCGGCCGGGGCCACGATCACCCGTGCGCTGGAAAAGACAGACGTCGTGGACGATCTCTTGGCCACGATCTGCAAGTTCTACGAACATTTTAGCACTGGCGACAGTTTGCCAGGAGATGACTTTGTGCATGACGACGACGTAGTGGTGCGGCAGCCAGAAAACACGTCGCCCGAGCTGGATGACCCGTCGTCGCCGTCGGCGGCGGCGCTCGACGGTTCTACCGACAAGGAAAAGAACATTGACGTGATTTCCGAGTCGCTTTCGTTCGACAAGAAGGCGGCGGCGCTTCGGAAAAAGGCCAAGGACGCATTGGATCATGCGACGCTCCTGTTGGCGTCCATTGGTATTTTGGGCGGCCACACGGAACTGCTTCGAGAAGGCGGACACGTTCTGTTTGAAGACTTTGAAATGTGCGGGCGGTTCAAAGGCGGGGTGCTCGTCGGCCTCAAGCGCAATGCGCGGGGCGGCATCGACGGTCACATTTCCGTGGCGGACGTCGCTGCACCGTGTACGTCCACGACAAGCAAAGCCGACCACGTCGACACGTTGGTGGTGCCGCTCAAGAATTTGCATGCCGTCGAGCGCATCCCTGCGATTCCTCAGATGTTTGACGACAACCTGAGCGACGCCCTCCAAGCGCTGTCCAAGCTCATCGTGCCCGCTTCGTCGTTTGCGTCCAAGCCTCAGTCGTTCCACCCGGTCGTGCACTCGATAGTTGGTGTGGTGCTAAAGTCGTTCAAAAACCAGATTCGGTGGCGGTCCACCAAGGCACTGGCGTCGGTGCTCAAGCAACTGCCGTCCCTGGACACGTCCACGAGCAACAACTTGGACGTGTCGATCGTGTCCAACATTGCGTCGCTCTTGGCGTCGGAAAGCAACAGTAGTACCACCCCCCGACAACAAACGTGTACTGACGACGACAAGTTGCCGTTTCTGCACGCCAAGTGGTGCGCCCTCAAGGAACATCAAGCGTATTTGGCCGCGGAAAATGTGATCGACTCGGCGTTGGACGCGAGCGAAAGCCATGTCCGCGACGAAGTCGTGCAGCGTCTCGGGAACGAGAACGCGCTCTCTTGGGGCATCGATGCGATTCAAAGCCCCAAGAAACGTCAGTCTAGTGTCGTGGCCAAGGCCAACGTCAAGCAGCACCAGCCGTCATCGCTAGAGTACTCGGCGTCGGCGGTCCCGACGGGAGTGTGGGGGATGTTGTGCCCCGTCCAAGTGGCCGACACGGAGCGAGACCATTCGTTCAACTCGAACTTTCACCTGCGCTCGCCTGTCGTCCGCGTCGGTCGCGCCACCGACTCGTGCGACATTGTTATCAATGACCGCAGTGTCTCGGGGCGCCATTTCCACCTCCGGCGGGTACGGCAGGACACGGTCGGCACGGACGAGTACTTTGAGCTGCAAGACTTTTCAAAGAACGGCACCATCGTCAACGGTGTACGCGTTCACGGAGCTAGTATCCGCGTGGCCCATAGCGCACGCATCTCACTCATCCTGTCTCGAGGAGGTATGATCACGTACGAGTTTCACGTGATTCCGCAGCACCCGTCGACGTCGCTCCTGGCCTCGGAGCCTCTGTCACTGCTGCCCAGTGCCGCAGCAATGTCGGCTGGAAACGAACCGCAGCAGCAAACCCAGCAGTCCGAGCTGCACGAGCCTCGAAGTCCCGCCGAAGTGCAAAATCGAGCCTTGTCATCAGTCGCCTCGAGCAGCTTGATGATGGGCAACATTCGTGCACGCTTGGGACCTCAAGGCCTACGGTTGATCACCACGATCGGGGAAGGCGACGTACCCCGCGCCCTCATTTCGCCGAATCCGGCCGTAGACTCGCCCCGCGTCGGGGGGAATCATCCGACGAACCCGCCCCCCATCGCCATATCCATCCACTCCCCCCGTACGCCAGCGGTCGGGTCGCCCCTGGCGTATCCGTCGTCCGGCGTGTTGTCCCCCGCGTCGTTTCAACAACGGGAAAGCCACGCTCCGTTGGCACCCTCATCTCTTGCTCCAAATGCGATGCCGCATGGGGAAATGGCCGTGTCGGAGGCCCTTCGCATCGCCCTCGGCCGAGAGAGTTTGAACCGAGACCGGCTCGATCCGGACCTACTGACTCGAACTCGCGTCATGTCCGGGACAGGGGAAGTCTCGTTCGCCAAGAAAGCGCCATCGACGACGTCCTCCTCCGTACGACTTCGTTTCTCCATCTGTCCGCCATGTAATTCGTTCGTTTTCGTCGTAGAAACCCGACGACAAAGGCGGTTCGCCGTTCAGCGATCTGGCCAAGGACTTGTGTACCCGCGTGCGTGACTTGGGGGGGCATGGGGTCGAGGTCGAAATGTGCGAAAAGGCTCTCCAGCTGCACCAAGGCGACGTCGTGCGGGCTCTCAAGTACGTGCAGGAAACCATCGGGAAGGCCCAGGTACGCCTACCGATGCTTGAACAAGTTCATTCTAAACAGAGACGGGCAGAGCATGGGGTTGAGTCCTCAGCACCATTTGGCGGCGAGAAGCTTGTCGCACATCCTAGGCCGCAGCGTGTCGGTATGTTCGCACGCGTTGAAGCAGTCGCGGGACAACATTGGTGTCGCCCTACGCGCGCTCTTGTTCTCGCCATCAACCCCCTCGTCGTTGTCGGACGTTGTTGGAACCACCCGCGGCGACGACGACGACGACCAAGACCACCGGGACGACCTGGTATCGCAACAATTTGACAAGTTTGTGTCCCAGGCAGTGGACCAGCTCAGTACGTCGGCCGACATGAACGACGCGGAAAACCCAAGTTATTCGCTGCTGGACACGTCAGTGTCTGCGTCCCCTCGCCGAGCGAGTCGACCGATTGCCAGTCCTGTGCGAAGTGCCAAAGATGGCAAGGGAAAGAAACCCGACGGCTCCGACGCCGCGGTCGTGCCGTGGAGTGTGTGCAATGCCCACGTCGAAGACCGCATCAAGGGGCTGAATTGGCGGGATGTGGACGCCGAAGAGGACAGCGTGAGCCAGCTTTTGAGCGCCGTGCATGCGCGCAAACTGCTCCTACAGGTCATTCGACTTCTGCAACCGGTACGTCAGGATCCGTCCTCGAAGAAGTGTCATCGAATATATGTTCTTATAGCATCAAAACAAGTCGGCCGAGGGCAGTCCACTGTGTAGTTTTGGCGACCGATCTACATTGCGTCAGCTGGTCTTGTTCTCCGAGCCGGTGGACGGCGACGCTGAGACGGTGGCCGCACCGTCGACGTCCAATGGCCGCATCCAGCAGATTCTGGCGCGGATTTCGCAGGACGTGCTGAGTGCGTCGGCATCGCGAACGCTGGAGCACAACATGCGCACGTTCCAGAACATCTCGACGCTGGTGAGCAGCATTGACGAGAACGACGGCCGTCCTCCGCAGTCGTCGAGCGATGCCCAGCACAACACGGCGCAGGCGGTGGTGCGGGCGCTCTTAAGCTCCACCGACGACAACGACCACGAGTTCAAGACGGCGATTTGTGAGGACTTGGTCATGGACACGATGATGCACGTGATTTCCAAGACGTTTTCATCCAAGGGGATGCTAGACTTTGACGCCAAGAAGGAGTCCGAGTACCCCAAGGGGCCGTTCCTGCTCTCCAGCGGCCTCGAAGTCGCCGTCGTCGCAACGTTCGAGAGGGTGTGGGGCGTGCCGTACCCCGATCCGCTGCTCAACTACCGCCACAAGTGGCGCAAGAAAACCAGTACCGGCCTCGACGGTGGTCCATCTGCGTCCACTGCGCGCGCGACATACGACTGCAGCGTCACGCTGTGGAAACCCGTGCTGCCTTCGTCATTCCAAACGACTTTGGTCGCCCCCGACAAGTGGTTTGCGCTCAGCGTCGTGGCCAAGACCGGCAACGACACCCCCACGTCCCCGCTGGTGCTGGTGCGAGACAACCAAGACGGGTGTCTAGCACGACCCCTGCGTTTTGACTGCGTCGACGTGAGCGGCAAAGGACTGCCCAAGAACTCAGACCTGGACTTGGAGTTTGAACGCAAGCAGTTGCGGACCGTGTGGTGGCCTGTGGCCCCGCCGGGGTACGTCGCGTTGGGGTGTGTCGCCGGCACCAAGGACGCGCCGTTCGATGCCCCAAGCGTCGACAGCTACCGGTGTGTCCGTGCGGATTTGGTGCAGGCGTTGGACGGCCCCGCGAGCTGCATTTGGCAGGCGCCGACAGTGTCTTTGTGGACGGCAGCATCCGACTACTCGCAGCATTTGATCCCCACGACGGGCGCCAGTACGGACGAGACTGTCGTGCACGTGCTTCAAATGTCCGAAGACGACCGGGTCCTATGCGCGCCAATCACGATTGCGGTCGTGCTGCGGTTTGTGAAAGTGCTTTTGCACGTTCAAACGTACATGGGGAAGCAGATTCTGGCGCCAGAACTCACGTCGGCCCTGTTTGTGCTCGTCAAGCAGGCGCTCGGGGACAAGCGGAGTCACCCTGTGAGTGTGGAGCTCGTGCGTGCACTCACGACGGTCATTCGGGCGGGGTGCCCGTGGAAGGACAAGGAAGGGGTGCTGTACTGCCGGTCCAAAATCATGTTTTTGTACCAAGATCAAGAAGGCAGCCTCATGTTGAGCTCGCTCTTGCAGGCCCTCGTGGAGCTGTTGCTCGTGGTGGACAGCCACCACCGCGACCACACGTTGGCGACGTTTGCGACCCTTCCAGCGTACGACGTGTCGTCGACGTTGCCCTATCGATTCGCAGTGCCCGAACATCCCCATGTGCATGCTGTCCACTCGTTGGCCAAGGTGGCCGTGACCAAAGCCAGTTCCGACTACAAGTTCGCGGTTGGGTTTAACGACAAGCCCGCATCAGTTGCCGCCGACGCTATAGGAGGGGGCACTACGGTGACCGATCCGACGTTTGCGTCCGTCCGGTTCGAAGACGTGGCCCCCGTCCAAGTGTTTATGGAGACGCAGACAGTTGCGATGCTCGTGTACTTTGAAGTGCACGTCGACGACATCAAAGTCGGCAGCAGCGGCACCAAACCGCTCGGGTTTTCGTTGGGGTTTTCTATCCGCGACTTCAACGTGGACGACGGCGTGTGCGTCGGTCACGCCAGCAAAACGTACTCGTTCACACCCGCGACGGGCAAAATTCAGTGCGGCGACCCGTTGGTGGATGTGTGGCCGTGGTCAGACTCGGCGCACGCCGTCGGTCGCGGCGATGTGTTTGGGTGTGGGCTGCGGCTCGACAGCCACGAGATTTTCTTCACCAAGAATGGTCGGTGGCTCGGCACGGCATTCTCGTCCATCATTGGCGACATGCAGTTGCATCCGACGGTGTCAGTGGACGCCGACATGTCTGTGGATGTGGTGCTGAGTCACGCGACGGAGAAGCATCTGTTCCCGCTGGACACGACCGACTGGGACAGCCCCATGCACGGGTTCGAGTGGTTTGATTACCTGCGCCAAGTGTACAGCATCATGCAGTCCCTCGTGGAGCGCAAGCCGCTGCCGGACGAGTTTCTCCTGAGTGCGGACAACTTTTTGTCGACGATATCCACCGACGTGTGCCAGAGCTTTGCATCGGTCCATCCGTACGAGTTGGACTTGCAAGAGGCGACGATCCACATTGCGCTGGCCACGTCCATGCGCATCAAACTGGATCCGCAGTGCGAAACCGCGGGGTCGCATTGCCTTCAAATCGTCCAGGGGAGCAGCAGCGACGACGCCGCCGAGTCCGAGGTCCGGACGTTCACGGGGTCCTGCGGCGGCCAGGAGATTACCGTCGATGGCAACGAGTTCACGTGGCGCTTTCCTGTCCAATCCAACTTTCAATGCCGGATCGATCGAGTGCGCAAAGGACCGTACATCAAGCTCGAGAACCGCGACACCCGTATGAGCCTGACCCGCGACAAGGGGTGGCAGACCGCCGTGGGCGTCGCGCGCTTCGACTCGGGCGTGCACACGTGGGAAGTGAAGATCGCCATGGTGACCGCCAGCTCCAACGTATTTCTCGGTATTGCTCGAAAGGACGTCCGGTTCGACTCGTATCTGGGCAAGGACAACCGCGGGTGGGGGTGGATTGGCAACCGCGCGCTGTGGCACAACGGGTCCAAGCAGCGCGGGACGTACGGCGAAAAGTTCAAGACGGGCGACGTGATACGCATGGTGCTCGACTTGAAGCGCGGCACGCTGAGTTATGCCTTGAACGGGAAGGACTTGGGCGTGGCGTTCGGGCCTGGCGGCACTGGCCCAAAGCTAGAAGGGTCGTTCTACCCCGGGTTTGCACTGTACAATCAGAGAGATGTGGTCGAACTTATTGGGGGGCACCGCTTAGAAGACAGCGACGCTACATCCGCGGTGGCGAACGTCGGTGGACATGTAGACGACAGCGCCGTCTACGCGAGCGACGACGAAGAAGACGCGGAAATCAACGCCGAGTCCGTCCCGAGCTATCGCGTCGAACTCGCGACGGTGTTGAGTCAGATGGGGTTTCCCATGGACTGGTGTGTGTATGCGTTGAAACATTGCGACGACGACGCTGAGCAGGCCGCGGACTTTATCTTGGGCAACATGCACGCCATGGAAGCGCTGGTTCGCGAAGAGGCCGAGGCGTACAGCCGATCGCACGTGGCTCGCGAAGACTGCCCAGCCCCCTTGTCGTCGGACGATAGTCTCGACGTGGGGTCGGCATCTGTTGTGCTTAGTTCGGACGAAATGATGTCGACGTCAGAGGCAGACACCGCGGTGGGGCTGTCGATGGCGGCAGGGGATGCCACGACGGCGACGACGAATGAAAAGTGGGGTGTGGCGTTCACAGTCGTGCCAGAGTTTTCTGTGGCGGGGCGCCAACTCCTCGCCCTTCGGTATGCCCCCGCGCTGAAAGAGCTGCATGCGACGCTCGCCGTGTTTGAATTGGAGCACGACGAAGCCATTGTGACGCTGGTCAATGCGTACTGCGAAGCCAAGGCGGAGGCGAGCGTTCCATGCGACCCCCTCCGACTCCGTCCGGACGAGTTCCACCCGACGGACGACGACTTGACCGTCCACACGTGCTTGGGGGGCATCCCCCTGCCGACCCTCCAGGCGCGGTTTCTCATCTTGCGCAACTTCAACGCCCGACTGCAGCACGTGCTGTCGCTCATCGACTATTCTGCGACAGAGTCGGCGCTGACACGATGCATCCGCGCGCTACGGGGATGCGTGTTCCAGACGGTGAAACTGAACTGGTGGTTTAGTATCCTCAAGGAACAGCAGACCCCCGCGGCGGCGCGGCCAGAGATCGAAGTGGACCGGCTCAAGGCGGCCGAGTCGACCAACGGCGTCCTCCACTCAGTGTATGCGCAGTCGTTTGCCCAGCTGCATCCGCTGCAAGGGTCGCTTCTGCGGGGCCACGACCGCGCGTTCAAGTGTCAGTTTGTCGGCGAGTTTGGCGACGACTTTGGAGGTCTGTACCGTGAGATTCTGGCGCAAATGAGTACCGAGCTGCAGACGCCCAAGGTGCTGCCGCTGCTCGTGCCATGCCCGAACGAAATCAACAAAGTCGGCGAGAACCGAGAGCTGTTTGTGCCCAACATCCACCTCCGCAACGACCCCAAGCTCGTGCACATGGCCGAGTTTCTCGGCAAGTTGATGGGCATAGCCATACGAAGCAAGACGCCGCTCGACTTGAACTTGCCCCCCGTCGTGTGGAAGTACCTGGTTGACCAACCCGTCGTCCGGAGCGATATTGAGTCGATTCACCAAGGCTGCTTTCAGGTAAAACATTGCATCTTTCTCGTCCAAATTGAACGGATTCTAAGGTGTTCACCATGTGTACGAAAATATGATGTAGGTGGTGGACACGATCAACAACATCACCAAGCACGGCATCACGCCCAACATGTTTGACGATCTCATTGACGCGTCGTTCACGGTGCTGTCCAGCGACAAGCAAGAAGTCGAGCTGGTTCCTGGCGGCAAGCAAGTGCGCGTGACCTGGGACGACAAGGTACCCCCCCACCCATCGCACGTACTTTCGTGGTGTAAGGCTGACTTTTGTTTGCAGGAGGAGTACGCCCAAGCGGCGGAAGCGTATCGACTGTCCGAGTTCAAGCCCGTGTGCCAAGACGTGGCCCGGGGCATCGCTACGATCTTGCCACTGCCGACGCTGGGTCTGTTGACGTGGAAGGACTTGGCAACGCTCACGTGCGGCAAGTACACGGTCGACATTGACCTGCTCAAGCGACGGACAACGTACGGCGACGGATGTTCGGGCACGGACCCGCACATTGCGTACTTCTGGGACGTACTGCGGGAGTTCACGGATGCGCAGCGGTCGTCGTTTCTTCGGTTCGTGTGGGGGCGGTCCCGCCTCCCGACCCACGCGGCCGACTTTACGCAGGACTTCAAGATCTCCGGCATGCCCAAAGCCGTGGGCAAGGCCGACAGCTACTTGCCCCTCGCCCATACTTGTACGATTTCTTGTCGTGATCATCCAGTTTGACGATCGAAAAGTCGACGTTAGTCATGTGTGTGTTTTATGTAGGCTTCTTCTCAATCGACATGCCGGCCTACTCGTCCAAAGCAGTGATGCGGGACAAACTTGTGTACGCCATCACACATTGCTCATCGATTGACGCGGACAACACGACTGTGGCCCAGCGGGCTGGCCAAGGCATCAACTGGACCCGCGCGGCCACCGGCGACACGTAGTCGACGACGATATCTCAGTGTTCTTACGATACTTCACACATGTATATATATATATATATATATATTATATATATATATGGGTTCTACTGGAATGGAATGCATTGTAGTATCATCGAGTAAAAGGCAACTAAAACAGTAGAAACGACTAGTATGTTTGTCTTATGTTGGCCAAACAAACTAGTAGGTTGAGGTCGTCGCGAGGTTGATCTGAATGGGGGTGGACGAGATTTTGATGTTGCGGGTGCCTTTGGCAGAGGTCGGAGGATGTAACGACATGCCAGAGTACGCGCCATGAAGGGGCAACGGCACAGTCGTTGCTGTCGGAGGTTGAAGCTGCGATGGCTAATGCAAAGTGAGGGGGATATGCAACAATATAGAGGGAGACGGACGTGGTGATTGGGATACAACCGAATGTTCTCGGCTGTGAGTTGATGCTCCACGGGCGGAAGGCGGACGCCGTATTCGCTCGGAATGGGTGGCAAAGGCAACGCGTTGCGCTTCTCCGCGAGTTCCATCATCAACTGGCAACAAAAGGTTGAGATATAATGAGTTCCAGAGGGTGAACACATATACCTCGCGGGATGGAATTTGGGCGTATGTGTGTTTGAGTCGCGACGCGGCCGCGAGACGAATGTCGTCGGCATCGATGGCAGGCTTATTGGCGAACGTCGAGTACTCCTGCGCATCCACGAGGATTTCAGACGTATACCCTGGAGAACGATGAGATTACAAGCAGGAAGCATAGTAGATGGCGTACGATGCACAAACTCGAGCAATTGCGGGATCACGCGAGGCTCGTACTTGTCCACTCCCATTGACCCCAAGATCCACTTGAGCACGGCGACATCTTCAGGCTCCTGTGTGTCCTTGGCCATGGCGTGCATGTCATACACTTCCTCATCGGTCGTCGCTGATCCTGAAGCAGCAGCTGTCGACGCCGCATTATTCGACGTCTTCTGCTTCTTCGGCGTCTTCTCCCTAGGCACCTCCTTCGGGTCGCTCATGGTGTTTTGATTATCCGGATCGGGCCAACTACCGTTTTTCGGATAAGAATTATCCGTAATTTGAAGTGCAGATCAAAACCAGGAAATTTATCGACTAACTTTTTGTAACGTTATACAGTTCATAGTGAATGGCATACAGTAGTTAAGCTGTTACGTACTGTAATCCGCAGCTGACTGGCAACCACCTTATGCTGGTTTACAATGGCACTTGGATTCACGTCGGATTCATATCGTAGGTTTTCTCATCAAAGAGATTCGCTTTTCGGAATCTCGAAATGACGGACCATCTTGACGTTGTTCACCAGCCAAGGGTAAACCCACAGTCGAACGCCAGGTAATCCCTGCACAGCTTCGGCATCGACAACAACGCGACTAACATGGATTGTGTCTGCATCCGAAGTGACTCGATGGCGTCCAGAGAATGTAGCGCGACCGGTCCCATCGAATGCACGCACATTAATGTCAAACCAAATGTCATAGTGCCCTTGAAAAGTGAATCTGCATCAGTTCTGGGGCGAATGGTCAATTGAATCTTCATCTGTTTCGAAAAAGGTGCCGATGATAACACGGGGTTCGTCGTTGATTGGACACTTCCCGAATGGTCGACGGGGCATTCTGAAATGAGGTGTATTTTCAATTAGGAAATAGCTACGAACAATGGCTTGACGCCTCCACGACCACATCATTGCTCCATAGCTCAAGTCACACCCCCGCAAGTCCTTCGGATGCCAGTCGTGCAAGGAATTCCATCCCGGTTGACGTCAGTTTGTAGGTATAAGTGATTTTGTTTCTGTGAAATACCAGCAGCTGTAGGGTGTTGGTGGCGGAGTTCGATGGGAGCTAGTGGAAGCGAAGTGGTGTTGAAGGGTCATGGTGTCATCGGTCTGTGCACTGACCTTGTGGTTTTCGCCTACATGTATTGAAGCGGATGGAACAGCGATCTTCAGGATGTGAACAACCCCTTATGTTGGATGTAGGGTTCTTTTTTTTTAAGATTCATATCACATTGCCTGGGAATCTCGCGAGAAGTTGCAGTTTTCAAGCTGGATAGTTTTCCACCCAATCAGAAGGATGCAAAAACGGGAGATTCGACAGTATCCTTTAAGCTATATGATGGAATCTAATAGAGCCGTTGTGGCTTTGAATGGATGCGTCCAAGCTGGAATATATTTTCTCACTACCACTGAATATTTGTATGGAACATCAAAATATTCTACTCCATTGTATTAATATTATACCCGAACAATTGTTTGCCCAAGATGAAAAAAGAATGCACTGCGTATTTCACCAGAATCAAATTTGCTGACTCGTTCACAGGTCGCGTAATGTTGGCGACTCAGACACAACCGATGCTGCATCATCACGCGTTCATGCATGGGCATGTACAATCACCAGGTCCGATTGACAGCCCCTCTCGGCTCCATGACATCAGCGTCGAAATGAGTCTGTCGATCGCAGCGTCAAAGGGGTTCCCCATCCCCATGCAAATGGAAGCGTGTAAGCGCGGGTGGGTTGCGCCATTTCTGCTCCACCTGCATCAAATGTTGCGACGCGAATCGCCCCAGATCGTTCGATGGACGCCCGACGGCAAGGCGTTCGAGATCATAGACAAGGCTACGATGACCGAGAAGATTCTACCCAAGTACTTTCGCAACAAGAACTTCGCCAGCTTTCAACGCCAACTCAACTACTTTGGCTTCCGGAAGTGGTCCAAGTCCCGCGCCATGCACTCTACGTACAGTCGCGACCACTTTACACGCGACAACTTCGACGAGCTTGTCTTTGTCAAGCGTCAGAGCAAGCGAAAGGGCGGGAACGACTCGAGCGACAAGAGCGACATCGACATGGACGAGAGCGTCACTGACGTCGGGGCTCTGACCTCGTCGCCGACGAAGTCCCCTGTTGTATCGTCGCCTCTGTTGATGTCGTCTCTCCTAAGTCCCGAAGTCGACGCAACCCATAGCCATCCTGCCCAAGCGCTTGTGGACATGCATCAAGGGTTCAGTGCCGCGGCCAGCGAGATGCCAACCCCTTCGATGGCCAACTCCGCGCTATCCATCAATGCGCGATTCAGCCTTCCTGCACTGTCGGAACTGCGTCAAATCTCACCCAATGGCAGAATGCGCCTGCCATCGCTGTATCAGATCGTGCCGTCTATGCAAGGGTCGTGTATGTGGCCGGTGGATGGAGCTCGTGGAGCTACGGAGGAATCCAACTCACCAACGTCTACCCAGAACAGCGCACAGTCTACGACGAAGATCGAGTACAACGTCAAGGAACTGATGGGGTTGAGTGCAGCACGCTTCATCCGTGGCCTCTACGACATGATCTCGTCGGACGAAGGCGACTGCATTCGATGGAGTGACGACGGCGCGTCCTTCGTCGTGACCAACTCGTCCAAACTGGCGTGGAAGTCCCTGCCCAAGTACTTCAAGCACAACAAGTTTCGCAGCTTCCAGCAGCAACTGAACATGTACGGCTTCCACAAGTGGTCCAAGGCCCGCGCGTCGGCGTGCACGTACAGCCATCCGTTGTTTCGCCGCGGATGCTTCACCGACTTGTGCCGCATCGCGCGCAAGACCAGTCTGGCGTAGGCCATTGCCTGCCCTGTCTACGTTGTCGTCTAGCTATTTATGCCCCCCCACCTTCGTAAGAAGTGTGTATAACTTATTCATCCATACATGAACCTGTGGAGTCGATCGGTGCAGCGCGTGGCAAATGTGAGGCCAGAGGGTTGGGACCGACCACTCAAATGTTATCATTTATCCACACATTTCATTTAATTCAGTCAATAGAAATCATAAGATATTTTCTTGGTTTAGATAATGGATAAATGGTTCTTGCTGTAGAAATGATAGGTGCTTAATTAAGGTCTTCAAATTATGATAGATGAATCTGATTTGCAATCGATCTTATTTGACAGTGAAACGGATACTAATGGAGGGATACTTGAATCATCTATTATTGAATAAAGGATGGTTTAAATAATGATGCTAGGTTGTATTTGGATTTTGTATGCAATAGTGTGAACTGGGTGGGAAAAGCCAGAGGATTATTCGGCTATCATCCGGTTAACATGATCCGAAATGACTGAAATACCCTACGGTGGCATTTTGACCATTATTCTGCAACATTTGAGCATTACGCCGCCCTCGGTGGAGTCGTTGATCGGGCCACCGCCTTCGTAGCGACATGGGGAATGAAGCATCTCTAATGGGGGGGTCCAGCTTGGACATGTCGTCGCGCAACATGAGCAGCAACTCCCTGGCGGACCTTGGCATCGAATCGATGAACGGACGCGAGAGGTACCCAACATCGTCGGACGCCAACGACAAGCTTGAGTCCCTCGACTTGCAAGCAGGACTGGACTGGGAAGGGTTTGTACAGAAGAAAGGGCATCTTGTGCGCAACTGGAAGGTCCGATACTTCACTCTGGAAGGCAATCTTCTGTCGTACTACGAAACGAAGGAAGACGCGCGGAAGCGGCGGTTCTTGAAAGGCCGCGTGCATGTGACCACGGTCGTGCTGGTCGAGGGTCGGAGCCACCACGGGTACGACTTGACGTTCACGACGCAAGAGAGCAAGCCTTTCCATGTGTCGACCACGACGGAACTGGAGCAGATCGCGTGGGTGAAAGCCATGGAGGTACGTACGTCGTCCTCTCCGTCGTGTCCAGGTTCTCATGCGTATGGTAGGCGGGTATTGACTTTTACGCGCTCAACAACTACGGACACTCTGTGTATGGGAGTACATTGCTGTCCAAGGCGAGTCCGTGCAACGCCGAGACCATCTACTCGTTGTATCGGCGGTTGCTTGCGAACGAGTTGACATTGTTTGACGAGTTCATTTCGTACTTCAACAAAGGTACATCTCTTCATCTCTTTTGCTTCGTCGTCACCTCCACGTAGACTTGGTGTTTTCGTCGTATTACCCGCGCAAGTTTCCATTCCACGGCGACTTTTTCGGCCGCGAGGGGCTGCTCGTGTACTTGAGTTGTTTCCGGGAGAACATTGAGCTCGTTGAGTTTACGATCAGCGACGTCCAGGTCGACCGCGACGGCAAGGCGGCCACGATCAAGGGCCATGAGAAGATTCGATCCAAAGCCAACGGCGTCGACATTGTCCAGCCGTGGGTGCACCGCATCCGGTTTGGTCCGTACGGCAAGATTCTGCGCCTCAAGATTGAGATCGACACGAAAATGGCCAAGGGCAACTGGAATAGCCTCAACGTCGTGCCCGTGTACTCGGACGAGACGCTCACGGCCATGCGCTCGACGCGCGCGCTCAGCATCTCCATGCAGGACTTCACCGTGTACAACGTGATCGGCAAGGGGGGCTTTGGCACGGTGGGTGGGTAGACGACGAGGACGAGGCTTCTTTGTGTCTTGGTGGTTCTTGGCATCTATCGCTCTTAACCTTTTACCCGAAATTTGGTAGACTTTTGTGCTGAATCTTTGCCAAATCCATCGATCCATTCTTTGTACTGACTTTTGTATGTAAAACTCGAGCAGTGTCACATGAAATGAAGCTAATTCCGTGTTGACTGGTTCGAAGAGACGATGATTTGATTGGCTACTTGATATTCGTGGGTTTTGATTGGTCGTATATCGAATTGGTTCTTCTGCTCGATCGATTGAGACCACCCAAACACTCGAATTTCGAATATATCGACTTGACAATATTATTGTGCTTTCCAGTGAAACTTCGTGTTGTGGTTTCTCGTTGGAATTTAAATCGATTTGATTGGCTACCTCAGAGGACCTAAAAAAATTATTAACCAATCAAAACCTTTTCAATGAAATTCAACCAATCAGATCGATTGTGGATCGGTTTGGTCGGCGCAAAGATTCGATTGCACCCCGTCCCCAAATTTGTATATCAAATCGACAATACAGTTTCCTACTTTTTTATGGAATTGTTTGTATTCAAATATATTTATTATTATTATTTATGATCAAACATGCATTCTCCAAAAGCGATGTTGGAGGAATGGACGCCTATGTGTTTATTTATTTTTATTTCTATTTTTTATTTAAAATTCATATTCTACTGTATCCCATGGACGAAATCGAATGTGAATTCTTGTTGTCGGCACTTTGTGTGTTCTTGTCGTGGGGTTGGAATTCATATCGGTTGACAGTTGTGTTAGGTGGTGAGCGCCGTGAAAAAGAGCGATGGCCAGATCTACGCGCTCAAGATTCTCGAAAAAGGCAAAATGACCAAGTACGACATTGAGTCGTCGTTCACGGAGATGCGCGTGGCGCAGAACATCCACCACCCGTTCATCGCGGGCCTGCGAATCGCGTTCCAGTCGACAACCAAGCTGTTCCTGGGCATGCACTACTACAACGGCGGCGACCTGTTCCACCACATGAGCAAGGGCGCGACGTCCCGGATTTCTCCGCCGCGCGCCAAATTTTACACGGCCGAGTTGGTGCTCGGTATCCACCATTTGCACAAACACGATATTTTGTACCGGTGGGTTATATATATATATGTATAAATGTGTATATTTATTTGTTGGCTGTGGGACGTCTATATATATTATGTTTGATTTTATTTGGATATATATCTCTTGATTGGACATGATTGGAGTTTGATATATAATTTTTTGATGTAGGGACATCAAGCCGGAAAACGTCATGATTGACGCGGACGGACACATTGCACTGGTGGATTTTGGATTGGCCAAGTTGCACGTGAGCGAGTTTAAAGGTGCGAAAACGATGGCCGGGTCTCCGCAGTACACGGCGCCAGAGCTGCTGCTGCCCAAGGCCAAGCGAAGCTACGGCAAGGCGGCAGACTGGTGGAGTTTGGGCATCTTGCTGTACGAAATGAGCATTGGCAAGTCGCCGTTTTTCGACTCGAACATTGAAAAGATGTACCACAAGATCCAAAACGACCCGCTCGCGTTCCCAGCCAACCCAGAGACGTCGCCAGAGTTGCAAGACTTGTTGCTTGGGGTACAAACAAACTCGATCATATCGTGGATGGTATTGACAATGGCGCGTACACGTAGCTGCTGCGCAAGGATCCTCACCAACGGTACGGCACAAACTCGATCTCGGACATTCTGGACCACCCGTTCTTTGCCGGCATGGACTGGGACCTGCTGCTGCAAAAGAAGATTGACGCGCCGTGGAAACCCCACTTGACGTCGACGCTGGACGTCAAGTACGTGGACACGGAGTTCACCGACCTGGACGTGAGCGACGAGGTGCTCAGTCCCACGGACAAAGCGTCCAAGGGCGGATTGCTGTTTGAAAAGATTGAAAAGATGTTTGTGCCTCGGAATGCGAAAAAGGCGGCGGGGCCGGTGCAGGACCCGACGTTCAAGGACTTCACCTACTACTGCCAGGACCCGAATTCGCTCGTGGATGCCACATCACTAGTCGACGAGCTGCACAAACCAAACGCGATGGACGCTGGTGGCGATTGTGACGGCACGGCCAACGGCACCCCCCTCAGCTCGTTCATCGCGAACGAGTCGACGTCGGACAGCCGCCTCGGCCGGTCCCCCGACATCTTTCCCGTCGATCCGCGCTTGAACCCGCCGTATAATTCGAAAATGCCCCTCGAAGTCGAAGAGCGCAAGAAGACACCGCCGCCGCCTCCCCTCTACGTCCCCCCTCCCCGGAACCCCCTACCCCCCAAGCCCGCGGTCCGGACGCCGTCCCCCAACGCGTCGACCGACTCGACGACGGAAGAAAAGGACGACGCGGTCCGGCGCAACGCCGCCACGGCACCCGTGTTCTTTCGCAATTCGTTTCGCCATTCGTTCCGCGCGCCATCCGACTAGTCGTACAGTATATATAAAACACAGCACAATATATACACACCGTTTATTACAATGCAGTGTTAAAACTCGTCAAAGTCGTCGAAACTGTCGGCCGACGTTAACGGTCGCAACGGGGTCGAGTCGCCAAACGTCAGCGCGTGGAGCCCGCGGACCAACATGGCGAACCCGCCGCTCGAATACATGCGAAAGAGCACCCACAGCCCCACGAGCGCAAAGATGTGGCGCATGGACCGACTGGTCGTCTTGTCCGAGGCGGCGGCGGTATCCTCGTCGCCGGGGCGAGGCATGTCGCGCAGCTTGGTGGCCAGCACATTCCGCACCATTTCCTACGACCCATATACAAGATGGAGGCGGTCTGTCCATATCTTGTAGTGATGCGCTGTACAGTACATTCAACATGTCCTTGTCCGTGATCGAATGAAAGTCGATGCCTTCGGACTGGAGCAGTTGCGAGATTTCTTGGTTGGTCATTGTCTTCAAGATCTCGTCCGCTTCACCGAGTGCTTCTTGAAACTTGGTCGCCCCTACAACCCATGTACAACGAACATGTGGATATCAACTATAATCGGTGCCACATTTCGACTAAACTGATGGCGGGGGGCTTCTGTACCCGATGGCGGCGGCGTCGCAGATTGTTTCGGGGTCGTGCCATTCGCCAAGTGCTCGTCTTGGAGATCGGCGAGCATTTGCTGCACTCGTTTATCGGTCAAGTCAATCCTGCGCATTATCATTGTCAAATCCTACAGTACCGCAATGATAAGAGATGATCGTACCCGTTCTTCTTGCCGTCTTCAATCATTTCGGGGGTCGGGTGCATAAAGTCGACGCGGGGCGGGGTCGCCCTTGTGGCCGCCTTGGCCTGGTCGATTTTCTGCCTCAACTCGCTTGCTTCCTGCAGTTTCCCGCTTTGTTCGTACATGTGGGCGATGGCTTCTGCATCTTCGACCTGAACATGATCAAGACCAGCAAAAATATATCCTCCTGCTCCTGCGATTTATATATATATATATATATGTCGACCTCCTTTTGAAGTCGCTTTTCATTCGCCCGCGCCTTGTCTGGAGCAGTTACCTCGACGACGTTGGTGTCGTCGACGACTGTGCCGCGGTTAAACATGCCACTGAACGTGCGTTTGTCGAGTTTGCGCTGTTGGGCGTGTTCGAGTCGAAGCCGCCGGTACAAGTTTCTAAGCAACGCCAAGAGCGTCACCCTAGACAACAGTGTATCGATCGTGCCTGCATTCCACATTGTCGGGGTCGTGGTGGCAAGCCGTTTCCAGGTCGACGAGCGCTTTTTCAAATTCCACGGCGCCACACGACAGCGGCGTGATCAACGCTTGTGCTCGCCTAGCTCAAAGTAAGTCGGCAACGAAAAATTCATCCGCAGCAAACGCGTACCGATAGTACGCCTTGGCGTTGGTCGGGTCAATCGCCAACACGTCGCCACAGGCGGAAATGGCCAACGCAAACTCTTTCAATTTGAGTTTGCATACTACCAAGAACGATATGTTGAACGAGTTTACGATAACGTTAGGGCACAAGTACGTACCGCTTATGTTGAGGTACAAAGTCACTTTCAGAGTGTCCAGCTGGCTCTGGTCGTGGACGTTGTCGGGTTTGTAGTCGACGACGTAGATGTCGTCGTCCCGAATGCCCTTCTTCTTCCAGTCGGGGTCTGTGTTTTCGCAGTACTTGAACAGCGCCAACGCCTTTTCGTACTGCGCCACGGCCTCTTCAAACTCGCCTTTGGCAAAGTGAACATTGCCTTGGACCTTGATCTCCGTCGCCAGGCGCAGTCGCTCGTCGAACGGTTTCTCTCGACCACTCACGATCGGGTCTTGCATGAACATCGAGTGCTGAAAGTACTGCGGCCACGAGTCCCACACGGGTCGCAGTGTCGCCTGTTGGGCTCCTTTCAGCTTGACAGCTTCAGCCATCAAGTTGCCGAACGGAGTGCCCTGCGCCATCATTTGAACCGCTAGTAGAATGGACAACTACTTGCTTGGAAATTCGAAGATCCGGTTTTCGGCCAAAGGTCACACCCGAGGATTCAACTCCTTGAATAGTGTGTGACCTCCAGATAAGTACGTTAGTTACTGTGATTTCACCAAATATAGTGTGTGATTGAAGGTTTTACTTCGTATTATTGTTAACAATTTTCGGTTAACGTTATTACTATTAATAGTAGAAATTGCAAAGCACGTTTATGGATTAGAGGATAAATTAATACACGGACACGCGCTCGAGCCGACATCGCGGCAGACTCGCAGGTCGGTCGTGAACGTCGACTTGGGTTGATTTTTACAGTTGAAACGGGCGCTGTCCATCGTTGATTCTTTGGGGTGAGTTGCCCCCTGTTAGTTGCGGTACTTGCGTTGGGGCGTGGGGCTACAAGGACGAATTCCATCGCATCAGTCGTCATCGAACGTCAACCCTGCGTACACATACGTACCATGCAAGATAGTCCAAGCGCAGTTCGGTCCGCTCCTCTTGCACGTGCAGGCCACCAAATTGGGCATCGAGATGATCCACGGCGACTACATCACATACGTGTGTGTGAGAGTTGGTTTGGCAAACAAATGCAAGACAGACATCCAACCTGGTTTGAGAGGTTTCACGGGGCGAAATTCGGCGCATTGAGACCGCAACTTCTTGCGCATGGTCTCTTGGTCCACGTCGGGGCATTCCGTGCCTCGAACGTGCACTGGGATCTGAGGCCTGTCGCTGTCCAGGTTGTACACAACTTCTTCGCGGCACAGGGGACACGTCACGTGATTCCACAGCCATTTGTCCACGCACAGGGCGCTATGTGTTTATAAGACCACGAGTAAAACACGACGAATACACACGAGTGTCACGTACTGGAAGAAGTGATGGCACGGCGTTAACGTGACGATGTGCGAGCCAATTTCGTACGGCACTTGGCAAATCTACCATTTAAAAATACTTAAGATACATTCGTAAAGACAAGCAAATAAACTGGTCAATACAGATTAAAAAATGCACTGGTTTTGCTTGTTTATATATATAAATATATATTTCAGTCGTACGGTGCAATGTTTTTCGGTTTCGTTCACTGTGCCGTACGCAATGGGCAAGTTGTACCGAATTTCCTTGGACAATCCCCTATGAAACGGAGGTCAGATGTGGTGGATGGACATTTGGAAATGCTAACTTTTCTTCGAAATAGCTATCGCTCTCGGGGGAACTCGTCACCGTCATGCTGTCATGGCCATGGGTCGAGTCTTGACACATTTTGTTCAGGCATCCGTCCACGCGGCACTTGTCGTCCCAGACAAACGATGGCTCGAGCTTGTACAGTTGATTTAACTCGTCGTCACTGCGAAACCAGAGGAGATCTTAGCCCACAAGTCGAAAGGTAAACAACATACCTCGAGCTGCAGCTTAGCACGCCGCCGCCATCATCGTACAGAGGCATGCCGCGGCATGACTCCAGTTCCTTCGGTGACGTAAACGAACTGGAAATGGCCGATTGCGGCACCGTGCTTGTGTTGATCACTTTCTTGGCTTTGAACTGCTCCATGTTGCGCTTGTTGATGCAATCGGACAGCAGTGCTCGCGCCAGTCCTTCCACCGCATCTTTTCTGCGGGGTACGGTCGTTGCGCGGACAACCGCCGACGGGGCATCTCTTGAAACTTCCATGACGCGCACCGTCGTAAATGCGTCTTCGTCCCCACCAGCAAGTCCATTGGCCCAACTCGTGGGTTCGACGCTACCTGGAGCTTCGATGGAGGTGAAATGCTTCCCCTCGTGGCGTGAGGCCAACGTTTTCTTGTTGCGTGACTTCAACGCATGGATGTCATTTTGGGTGGTGTGGAAGGAGGCAAGACCGCCGCGGGGGGGGCGTGTGTGCCAATTTAACCCTGAACTAACAGGTAATGGAGCAGGAGACGCTGCGGACAAATTGGATTTTCTTGACGACAACCCAGACCGCACATTGGATGGGACGCGGGAAACCGCCGCCGGTGGATGCTTTGGTCGGGTTCGGGGTTTGGAGTTTGGGATGTCGATGTTTCGACTACGGCTTTGCAGTCCCCCTCGAAGTGTGGAGGACGACGATCCGGCCGCTTGTCCCGTCGAGTAGGTTGCACTGCTGCCTGTACTGCTTGACCCTCCTCCTCCAGTCCACTTGGCCACGGGGACGAGCAGCGAAGGTTGAGTAAGGTTCGAAGTGTCGAGGTGGTATATGGAGGGAATACTGTGCTTCTGATATCCACTCATTCAAGGCGCATCTAGCGGGCGCGGCTTCCTACGTTCGTCACTTGGGATAACAATAATGGAGCAATAGAAATTCCAACTGTTGGCTCATCCGGATAACTCGATTGACGTTACTTCAATTAAAATCCCTTCGAAATCCGCGATTCCGATCTTAACACAGCCCATTATTCTGGCGTCGGTTTTATAAAAATACTCTGGACACAGTACATTATCCGGACCCCATTTCCAGGGTCAAAACGTCTGCAATGCATCAACAGTAATAATAGTAAGTTAACGTTACTTTAGCGCTGCAGACAAAGTTAGGATTCCATCGTACCAATCGTATATGTACGTATAGTACGTACACAGTACTCATTTGAAACGGAAGCGCCGTAACTCGAGGCTTGTTCCACCTTGTGGGATGACTCACATGTCAGAGCTTCCACTTCCACTGGACGCTTCTGTGTGCAACAGTCAATGGTCAGGAGATCCCTCTCCTCGTGGGGAATATGGAAGCTACAATTAATTAATAATTACGTCACCCATTCAAAACCAAGTTGTGGGGCAATTGACTCTGTAACTTTGACATTTTATTTGCACTAACGTTATTAACCAAAATGCCATTTTCAAAATAGTGGTAAAAGGTCCATTTTGTAATATGGCGTTTTGAACCTCCTCAGGGAGTAAACCCCACTTGGAATTACTACATACCCTAGTACTATTGGATTTGGGTTAAAACTCTCCAAGCAAGACATGTTTCAATTTTGATAAGATTTGTTGAATTCCGATCCAAAAATGTCATTTAGGGCCAGAATATTGTAAAAGGATGTATGGTGCACGCCATCTATAAACTACCAACTTTTCACAAAAATGTCTGACTTCTATTTCATATTCATTACTCAAAATTTCAGCAAATTGAGACGTCGAATCGACAGATCTCAATGTAATGAAGAAATTCTACGTCTCAGATTCAAATTTGGTGTTGAATTGGTCCAGAAATAGATATTTAACCTAGCGGTATTTTTCATGGGCGCTTGGATATTTGGCCATAGGGGTGGCCGCTGAGATGTATCTTGATTTTTGTATGTGACTATTATCCGTATATAATATCCGGAGGCAGTTGGGACCTTTAACCTCCCACTGCAGTGATAAAACGCATGAAATCGGTATTTAACGTATTTTGTTTTTCGGTTTAACTACATTAATTGTACGTTAAATAATAAAACCTCCACTCCTCGATTTGGCCAGTTGGAAGTTTTTTGATGACGTGCCCCATACTGTAATACTATTACCCAGCAGGACCTGAATTTGGCCCCAAAATGGCGTTTTGGGCCAGAATATTGTTATATTTCAGGTTGCCAGTCGGGCCTTTACAATATAATGCACAATATTACTATTTACTACGTAGTACGTAGTAAATAGTAATATTGTGCATTTCACCCAATCAGAAATGCTGTCACACTAATTTATGTCATACACTAGTTAGGTGTTGATTGGACCCTATACTATTTCGGAGCAAATGATAAAACCTTAATCAAGGTTCAATACCCTATCGTGGCCACCAATCAAAATATGTTCAACATGCTCGTCTGCACTCGACAACTTCAATTCGAGCCCGATGCTGCGCCTGTTCTCGCGGTCGTTGCCGCTGCGGCAGACGTCCTTCCTTCACAAATCCATGTATTCTACGAAGAATACGCATGTGAGCGACATGCCCGTGACGTCCCTTCCGATCTCGAAATCAACGTTGCGCGCGCTGACTGAAGTCATGGGGTATGAGCTGCTGACCAAAGTCCAAGCGACGACGCTTCCTGTGATCTTGGAAGGCAAAGATGTTCTCGCCAAGTCCAAGACAGGCACGGGCAAGACCATGGCGTTCCTCATCCCGACCATCGAGACCCTTGCACACTCCCATCTGCACAAGAAGGATAAGAACAACATTTCCGCGCTCATTCTGTCGCCGTCGCGCGAGCTCGCGACGCAGATCGAAGTGGAGGCCAAGAAACTGTCGACATTTCATCCGATTCACATTGCTTGCGTGGTGGGGGGCGTGCCCATGAACAAGGACTTGCGGCGGTTGAGCCATCCCGACGGCATCGACCTCTTGGTCGCGACCCCCGGCCGCCTCCAGGACCATTTGAACAACGACCATGGCGACTTGGTTAAACGACTGGCAGGCATTCGCATCCTCGTGCTCGACGAAGCGGATCGATTGCTCGACATGGGGTTCCGTCGAGACATTGAAAAGTTGCTGCAGTATCTACCCGTGGCAAGGCGCCAAACGCTATTGTTTTCGGCCACGTTGCCGTCGTCGTTGGAGCAGATTCAGCGGCTGGCCCTCAAGACAAACCATGTGTTTATCGACACGGTGGGGGAGGACGAGGACCAGACGAACGTGCACGTCAAGCAGAGCGTGGTCACGTGTCCGTTCGGCGATCACATTGCCGCGCTGGACAAGCTTCTGGACGCGCACATTCAAAGCGCACCCGACGGGTACAAGATCATCGTGTTTTTTCCCACGGCCCGCGCCGCGGGGTTCATGGCGCAGCTGTTCCTGCATGCAGGGTACCCCGTCCTTGAAATGCATTCGCGCAAGTCGCAGCCGCATCGCACGAAAACGGCGGCGAACTTCCGCGCCAAGGACAACCAGATCTTGTTCTCGTCCGACGTGTCGGCCAGAGGCGTCGACTACCCCGGCGTCACCCTCGTGATCCAAGTGGGGCTCACGGAGAAGGAACAGTACATCCACCGTCTCGGACGCACCGGTCGCGCCGGCAAAGCTGGCGAAGGCGTGTTGCTGCTGTCGCCGTTTGAGACACCGTTTTTGAACGAGTTGAACGACCTTCCTCTGGCCAAGATGGCCCTTGCAAATGGAAAGCCGCCGCGAGTGGAAGAGTCCATGCGACGCGTGCAGTCCAACGCCGAGCTGCGCAAGGCCGCTGAGCAAGCGTACCAAGCGTGGTTGGGGTACTACAACTCGAACCTGAGACGGCTCAAGATGACCAAGGATCAGCTTGTGGACACGGCTGAGGAGTACAGTCGCATTGTGGGACTGGATGAAGTGCCCGCGTTGCAGAAGAGCACCATTTCCAAGATGGGATTGCAAGGTACAGGCCTCCGGGTCGATACGCGAAGCGGGGGCAGCGGACGTGGCCGTGCCAGCAATGGTGGACGTGGTGGCGCAAGTGGCGGTGGACGTGGACGTGCCAGTAGCAGTGGACGTGGAGGTGCCAGTAGCGGTGGCCGTGGTGGCGGCATTAGTGGCGGACGTGGAGGTGGACATTCGCCGCCACGACCAAGATGGTAGTTGTCCCTTGAGCAACGAAATAGTATCCCAGTAACACAACAATAAGCTTGTTGTACTTAAGTATCTTCCGTTCATTGCTTAGGGATATTCAAGTATTAGGGTTATTATTCGTGGAGGTTGCAGGGTGGAATTTAATTAGGGCAAGTGAAACCTGTTTTTGGTGTCGAATTTTAAAGCTTATTCAGGGTAATTCACTCGTTGGGACTAGGTGAAGTAAACAAGGGTTTTGTATGAGAATGGAGTATTAAATAGGGCTTTTTATGTAATAGGGAAGTTATGGATGGTGGGGCTACAACAGCTTCAACGCGGCTGCCAATGATCCCATTTCAACAAATCGACGCCATCACCGATGAGTCAACCCGGAGCATCCACTGGCGACGCTACCAAGTCCAAGCGCAACCGCAACCACTGGCGCAACAAGCGAAAGGAGAACAAGCTCGAAGGTGGTAATGGACAAGTCCACCAGGAAGTAGATTCAGCTGCCATCGGGCGGCTCTCGGTTACCGACGCACGTCCGTCGATCCCACATAAGATCCGTCGCACGGACAGCCAAGAGGGAGTCAAAGCTGTTCCCCCACCAGCCCCCCTTCAGCGCATCTCCGAGACCACGTCCGTGATGCACTTGAGTTCAGTACCCGTGTCGACGTTGGACATCTCGGACTCGTCCATGCGCGCGCTGACTCAAGTGATGAACTACGAATACCTGACCAAGGTGCAAGCCGCCACGTTGCCTGTGATTCTCGAAGGCAAGGACGTGCTGGCCAAGTCTAAGACGGGGACCGGCAAGACCATGGCGTTCCTGTTGCCGACGATCGAAGCGCTGCTTCGCGAAACGTCCACCCCCAAGACGAAGCGTGTGGTCTCTGCGCTCATTCTGTCCCCCACGCGCGAACTGGCGTCTCAAATCGACGTGGAAGCCAAGAAGCTGTCGACGTTCCATCCGTTCCGCGTGGCCTGCTTTGTCGGGGGCACGTCCATGAGCCAAGACCTGCGCCGCCTTCGCCACGCCGACGGCATCGACATCTTGGTGGCGACTCCCGGTCGGTTGCAAGACCACTTGACCAACAACAACGAGGACTTGGTCGCGCGCGTCGCCAACATCAAAGTGTTGGTGCTGGACGAAGCGGATCGGCTCTTGGACATGGGGTTCCGCCGCGACATCGAGAAACTGCTCGCGTTTTTGCCCACGAATCGCCAAACGCTGCTGTTTTCCGCGACGTTGCCCGACTCGTTGGAGCAGATCAAGCGGCTGGCGCTCAAGCCCGGCCACGTGTACATTGACACGGTGGGTGAGGAGGACCAGACCAACCTGCACGTCGACCAGAGCGTGGTCACGTGTCCGTTCGAGGACCACATCACCGTCCTGGACAAGCTCATGCACGCGCACATCCAAGGCTCCCCCAGTGGCTACAAGATCATTGCGTTCTTCCCCACGGCCCGCGCCGCCGGGTTCATGGCGCAACTGTTCTTGGCGGCCAAGTACCCGATCCTGGAGATGCATTCGCGCAAGTCGCAGGCGCATCGCACCAAGGCGGCCGACGTGTTCCGCACCCAAGACAATCAGATTTTGTTCTCGTCCGACGTGTCGGCCCGCGGCGTCGACTACCCCGGCGTTACCCTCGTGATCCAAGTCGGGCTCACGGACAAGGAGCAGTACATCCACCGTCTTGGACGCACCGGTCGCGCCGGCCGTGACGGCGAGGGCGTGCTGCTGCTGTCGCCGTTTGAGACGCCGTTTCTGAACGAGTTGAAGGACGTGCCGCTCACCGTGCAGACCCCCCCGGGGGGCGCCCCCCCCCGCATCGCGCCCATTCTCGCCCAAGTGCAGACCAAGCCGGACCTCCGACAAGCTGCCGAGCAGGCGTACCAGGCGTGGCTTGGTTTTTACAACTCAAACGTGCGTCGGCTGCGGATGGACAAGAACCAACTGGTCGCCATGGCCGCCGAGTACAGCCGCATCATCGGGCTAGCAGAAGTGCCGGCGCTGTTGAAGCGAACGATCGGCAAGATGGGGCTGCAAGGCATGGGCTTGAAGATCCAAACCGATACGGAGGCTTTCAACAAACCACGAGGAGGCAGCGCCGCTCCCGGCGGAGGTCGCGGAGGTCGCGGTGGTAGTGCCGGAGGTCGAGGCGGTGAAGGTGGTCGTGGCGGAGGTCGTGGCGGGGGTCGTGGGCCCCGGCGATAAGCGCTGCGTGGTGATTTGGATCAACGAGAGGTTGGTTCCATATTCGACTTTGATTATTCGCCCCCTAAGATATTGTACTACATCTACTCTACCGCTAACTCTTAATTCACGAAACGGATTTCTGTTGGTGGATGTTGTTGTACATCGACCAACCTACCGTACTCGTAGAATCATTGCGCAATAGGGACCTGTACTGTAACAATATAACTGCATTTACAGTACCATCCACGACCCTTTCTATTTTAGTAAAAGTATTAATTTGTTCTTACGGTTTTTATTTTAATGAAGCATTCTTTTACACTTAAGTTTTGTATCTGATTTGACCATTTTAAATCATTATGTAACCGTTACAACTCAAGGTTACAATATATAATGTTATGCGAGTTTTTTCATGCGACATTTGAAAGGTATTTCGACCTTTACTCGAAAAGTCAAGGGAATCAAGGTATTTTAATGCCAGGATCGAATTCACGGAGGATGCCTACTGAATTTCATATATTTTTTCTTAGAATCTCAAATACAAGCACAAAAAGGGTCGTGGATGCTCTCGACCACTGTTAACTGGATAATGCCACGACAGCCATCGCCATGGAGGGTAATAGCGTCAAGACAATAGAATGAACTGGTGACGCATTGGATGTCGGCACGGGCGTCGATCGCGAAGGCACGGACGTCGCGGGGGCGTCGGCATTGGGGGACGAACTGATCGAGGGGGGCGACGATCCCGACGAGGTCGATGCAGGGATGACACCGGGGGAGGACGGCGCGGCGGTGGTGGGCGCTTTCGTGGCGGCATCCTTGGCTTGCTGGGTACAATACACGTTGGCCCCAAACAGTAGTCGAATTTGATTGTTGAGGAGGTCCATGCCTTCCTCTTGGATGAACGCGGCGGCGGTCGCATTCAGTCCAGATTCCACGGTCTTGGTCACGTCAAACAACGTCGTGGGTTTACCGTTCACGGGGAACTGCAGCTCCACCGACGGATGGATGGCGATGTTGGTGAACGTAAAGTTGCGAAGAAACGGGTACGATTCACTGCACGCGACGTTGGCGGCGATCGCGACGGTCTTGGGGCCGCCGCAACATGCCGTGGTGCCGTCCGAGAACTTTGTGCATTTTCCGGCGAGACACGCATCGATGCGCAAGCTCAGCGGTAGGGATTCAAAGCCCAACACCACATTCAACGTCATGGCTCCAGTGGCGGCGTCCGCGACGTACTCGAGATTGCCCACCGTCATGCTGTTGATGCCGGTGATCCACCGCGCCTTGATGTCGTACAACGCGGACGTTTGAGCGAGGAGATATCCCGTGTCCAAGCACGGTGTGGGTGGGTTCGAGTCGGAACAGTTGCCCACCGTCGCGGGCAGTGTCTTCTTGGCAAAGTCGGCGAGGAGCGGCTTGTACGCTTCCAAGACGGTGCCCATGACCACGGGCAGGACAGGGACGTCGAGGACAATCGCATCATTCGGAGTGCATGAGACAAGAGATATGGTGGCCATCAATGCCGCGGTGGCAACCGCGAACGACAAGGATAGCCGCATGTATGTAGGACAGTGAGTGATGCCTCCCTCTACTGTACTTTTTCAATCTCGTCGTTGAATAAATTCAGTGCATGTCCTGGGGTTCAATATTGTACAGCCAATCCAATTATTCATGGGTGATTAGCTGAATCCAATGTCCCTTAAATCGTCCCATGTCTCTTAAATTGGAACTTTCTTGTCATGATGGTTAATTGAGTTTGGATTATCATTTTTAAGACATTCCTCCGCGAGGGCCGACACTAGAACCACATGTTATGGAACCGCTTCGCCAATTGTAACGCGCCTGCTGTACCGAAGATTACACACCGCCCCTGGTGTGTAATCTTCGGTTTTTACTTCGCTCAACGCTTCATACCTCGTGCTTCGACCGATCTTCTTCGAAGTTCGGTCCTCGTCTTCGTACGCAGCCCTTGTTATCCGGATTCCCCAGGGGAGGGACGGATAAATCCTTGCGGAAATAATCCGGGGAAGCCGGGGATCGAACCCACGACCTTTGAGTTAAGAAACCGATTTTCTTGTCATGATGGGTAACGTAACGTTAATGAAATGTCGTGTTGACAGTGAAATCACGTTACATCAAAAGTTTACGGTTAATTTCAGCTTATTTTCACAGTATTTCGAATACGTCAAACGCATGAATTGGTGCTACTAATACGTCCTTGAAATTTGAGTAGAAATATCTCTTTAAATGAATGTTCTCCTTGATCCCATGTGTTTTATATAAATCAATTGACCAAGTCGCTCTATAAATACATAACCTGTTGGGCTAGCATATGTACCTGGCAGGATATTATACATTAACCACAAAATATATATGCATGGATTAATACTACTATCAAGCTTAAAATATGTACGTTAAATTATCGCCTACTTTTGAGGTGTTTCTGCTTAGAAAATGGGATATTAGTATATGATACATACTGTGAAAATAGGTGTTTCAGTGCTTGTTGGAAAGACCTGTGTTTCCTGTTCAATTATCAGTTTTCAGAAGTCGAAACCCATTCCAATATGTCTCTTAAATTGGAACTCTACGTTACAGCAAACAGAAGCAAAACACGCGGTATTTACAGTTAGTTTACTGTTCCATGTATTAATAAGCCAAGTACTGTACTCTGGAACTTCGTTATCAACGCGGAGTTAACATTCATACAACAAGGCACATAAGGTCAGGACGATGACCGTTCCCGCCACATCGAGAAGGGATGCTGAACTGGGTGTGGGAGGTCGACTGGCGCGGGGCACGGGTGTCGCCGCAGGCTCTTGCGACGCAGGTGGGTTCGCGTCCAGCCATTTCTTCTGTGCTTCGGCAGTGCAGAAGACACGATCGCCATAGAGGTTCTTGAGTTGTTCATTGACAAGAGTCGCGCCTTGGGACGCCAGGATCGTCGAGCCTTGCTTTTTGAGCTCGCTCTCGACGGTGGTAGTTGCGTCAAACACTTTGGTGGACTTGCCAGACACATTGAGCATGATGTCGAGCGACGGAAGGATCTTGGCTTGGGTGATGGTCAAGTTGCGCAGGTACGGATACACTTCGCTGCACGTGGTGGTCACAGTCACGGCGACAGTCTTGGATGTGCCGCAGCAGGTGGAAGTGTCGTCTGCGATCTTGTTGCATCCGACGCCAGGCAAACATGCTTCGATCTTGAGACTCAACGGCAGGCTCTTGAAGCTGACGGCGCCGTCGATTGTGATTGTGCCGTTGGCGTCAGAAGTGAGGGTTAGTTTGTCCACGCTGAGCGTGTTCAGGCCAGAAATCCATCGGGCTTCAATGGTGTACAAACTGGATGTCGTATTGAAGAGGTTGCCGATGTTCGTGCAAGGCAGTGGAGCGTTTGCCGCCGAACAGTTCCCAACGGTTGCAGGAAGCGCCGTCGCAGAAAAGGTGGCAATGATCGGCTTGTACGTGTCTACCAGCGCGCTCAACGTTTGAGGCAGGACAGGGGGTTGGTTGGCTACTTGGGCGTTCACAAAGGCCGCGGCTCCCACGGCGGTCATGACGATAACCTTCATGTTGGACATAAAAAATTGCAACCGAGAAAAATGAGATTGATGTAGAGGTTCGAATATTATGAAAAACATACACATGGTTTAAAATACCGATGTTCGAGATCAATACAAATTATAGGTAATACTTCCGAGAATGAAAAATATTACAACCACAGGTATAAAATAAATACCTGTTGCGTCTCACATGCGATACATTTCAGCGTTGGACATTTTCATTTTCACTTTGGTGCCGTCGCTACGTCCTCCATGATGCGAGTCCTTGCTTCTATCGCACTTACCGCAGCGTTCATCCATGCCCAGGGCGGCATCGGCCTCGGTCCCCCGGTTCTACCTGATGTGCTATCTACGCTTCTAGAAGCGTACAAACCGCTCTTGACGGACTACGCCATGTCGGACCTCCCAGCGACCATTGGCAACTGCAACGAAGCGAACCCACCGCTTCCGTGCACTGAAACGGGCAATTTGTACGATACGCAGTCAACCTTCTACCAAGTTCGTGCCCGATGGGTGTCAGGGCTCAATACCATGCGCTTGACCGACTTGAAGATGACGTTCGACGACGCTGGTGCGATGACTTTGGCTCTTCAAGCCAACTTTGCTCAGTTACCAGTGAGTTTGCTGGTCAAGGGGTGCGGCGGGTTCCTTGGATGCGCCATGGTGCTGGACAACGCCAAGTCGTGCTGCGGCTCGGACAAGGCCGTCGCCATGGTCGCCACCGCCAAGTGCAGCGAAACATATCCGTTTATCACGGGGTTCGCACTGACCGAGGCAAAGATCACACCTGCGATCAACGTGGAGATTGACATCTTCGGGAAACCTTTCAAGGTGGCGGACGCCACCCCGTCGATCGAGACTGGACTCAAGGATGCCGCGGGCAAGTTCTTGGCCACCAAAGGCTTGGACCTGTTCAACAACCAAGTCAAGCAGTTGTTTGGCGACAAGATCTATTGCTCGCAGCGCTCCAAAGATGCCCAGACGACCACGGTGGCCCCCACGACCACCAAAGTCCCGACGACGACCGTTGCTACTACGACCAAGGCGCCCGCAACCACCGTCACCACGCCGCCAACAGTTACAGATGCGTCTTCCGCCGGCAACACCACCTCCCCTGGCCCCTCGCCGACTTCCACGGCTTTGAAGCCCGTCCCCACGTCCGCAGTGTCAATCGCTCTTCTAGCATCAACAGCATTAGCAGTTGCAGTGGTCGTCGCTAATGGCGTGTAGGCGTCATCATATCACGAAAACCATCATTTTAATGCACATTGATTTTGACCTTCTTCGAGCTTCGTATTGAAGCTGAATTGATGTTGCCATTTCAACGACGAATGTTTCAATAACGTAAAAGTCCAATTTAAGAACACTTTTTCTGAGACGCTGCTGTGGAAGCTGTGGAAGGCATGTAACTCGACTCGTAGGTATCGGATTATAATTCAAGATTATGTTACATGATGCCAAAATCCAGGCCTATGTGAGAGTTATGAATGCGATATAATTCCTGTTATAATTCATTAGCATTCACTTTGTCCAGAAACAGCTTAAAACAAGCGGTCCAATTTAAGGTGCACCATTTTAAGCTTATTCTTTGTAAACCCATTTGCATATTTTTTGGGCGGGTAGGTTAAAAACTGCCTTTGTAGGAATTGATTGGCTAATTCGAGTGCCCCTTAAATTGGACTTTTACGTTATTGTCCATCGTTACAGTACTGGTATGTAAAAACTCACACTTTCAAACTACAATTTGGTTCATGACTTCAACCTACCGTTTGAACATGGGAATGAAAGGTAAATTCTAACTTGCGCCCTTCCCCACGCAATGCTGATGCTGCGCACGATTGCTTCCGTCGGTGTCGCCTGGCTGGTCACTATGACCTCTGCACAGCTCGTGGACTTAGGCCCCCCTGTACTCCCGGATGTGTTGTCTGCGTTGCTGGATGCATACAAGCCGCTGCTGTCGGGCTTTGCCCAAGCCAATCTCCCCGCGACGATTGGCAACTGTAAGGAAGCAAACGCGCCGGCGAACTGCACGGATATTGGCAACTTGTACGACGTTAAGAATACGTTTTACCGCGTGAAGGTGCGGTGGATCTCTGGCATCAACACGATGTGGCTGGACGACATTGCGGTAAAGTTTGACGACAAGGATGGCTCCATGGCACTCACTGTGAAAGTGTATTTTGCAAAACTTCCAGCGAGTTTTCTTGTGGAAGCATGCGCAGGAGTCTTGGGTTGCTCTACCTTCCTTGACACGACCAAGAGTTGCTGTGGCACTTCCAAGACCGTCACAATGACGGCAACTGCCAAGTGCAGCGAACGGCCTCCATTCCTGCATTCGTTTGTCGTCGGCAACGCCACCATTTCACCGGGCATCGCGTTCACTATCGACGTCTTTGGCCACACGTTCAAAGTGGCAGACATTACGTCCTACATCATCCAAGGCGTCAAGGATTCGGCGGGGAAGTTCCTAGCTACACAGGGCTTGACCCTCGTGAATTCGCAACTTCAATCAATCTTTGGTGACAAAGTGTATTGCTCCCGCTCGTCTCGCGATGCCGACAAGCCCCCATTGAGTCCAGTGACGATGCCGCCTACCATGACGCCAGACGCCCCAGCTACCACTGGTCCACCGAACGCGTTGCAGACATTGAAACCCGGGACCCCCACCACCAAAGGTGCAACGAATAACGTCGTTGTAACCACGACTACTGCTGCCCCACCTTCGCCTAACGTTACGAACAATCTTGGTGGCGGCCCCCAATCCGACAAGTTTACAAATAGCCCAAGCCCCACGCGGCCTAGATCGTCGTCGGCCATCGCAATAGGACCCACCTGTCCACTGGTAGTAATAGTTGCATCTACCGTACTGATTGGCATGGGGATGCTGCATTAGGATTCCTCTACAAGTTCTTTCGTGTTTCTAACGTTATGACAATTTGAGATGGTGAATATAGTTTGGAGGGCAACGGGTAATGTCGATGCACAGCCAAATTATAATACTACAAACCTATTGATCGTACATAGTGCTTGTTGTCCACAGCCTGCCTGGATGGAGTGGGTCATTCATGAATGGTGCAGTGTTGCATCCTCTGGTGTCCCTGTATAATTCCATCTATCGCGCAGAGTCATGACCATGCCAGAGTTGATTACTTGTATTAATCATATACTCAATTCTCCACACCACCAGGGCACCATCCTAGTGATGAAAACACCTTGCAGTTCGATGGGGAGTTCCGATCCGCAAAGCCAACATACGGCCACAAGCACACGTCCTTGCATTTGGCGGCACAGACGTGGGGGGGCAGCGCAAGAGTGCGGACTCCCAAAGTGGCCATCGACACCGAGAGCACAAGAGCCATCACAACTACGCATTGCGTTTTGCTCACCATCGCGTTTTCGAGCTGGATCAACTTAGCTTGAACGTCACTCAACTTTGCATTCAACACGTCGAGACTGTCCACCGCCACTGGGGTCAAGCGAAATGCAAACCTCAACGACTGCGTATCAAACAACTTCGTGCGCATTTCCAACGTCATAGAGCCATCGTCTTCACACGTCAAGTCCACCACAACCGACGTGTTTTGTTGACCACCCTTGTGCCAGGCTTGGTGAAGCCAACCCTAAATCGTAACACTCGTAAAGACATGAAAACCGCATATACGATCCGAGTCTGACAACTCACGTTGAGTAGGACGACATAGTGCAGCGTAGAATGGTAGTACGAAGGCGGTTGCCCTTGCGCTTCCAAGGCAGCCTACAACCACCACAACCATTCTTATTGGAGTTCGTGAAAAAGAAGTATGCACCTTCAGATTCGATAAGACGAGATCCTGGGGCAGTTCTACGCCTTGAGGCAAGTAAGCCTTGGGGGAACTAAAGGTCCCTTGCCTATTTGTACAACAGTCAGCAACATACAGATGGCGCGGATTGCTCCGACACATCGACACTGACCACTTCGCCTTGAGGCGTTTGGATTGGAGCTCAAGGAGAACGTGTGGTGACTTCAGATCGTCGGCGGAATGGGTGACGCGAACGACGAATCCCCCGTCGAGGGGGTACGAGGGGAATCGAAGGTGAGGAAGGTTCAACTTGAAGTTTTCCTTCGCAGCAGGACCTGGGACGACGGTTGTTGTGGCAGCCATTTTTGCGAATGCATCAGTCAACCAATGGAACAAGTGGGACGTGGCACACGACCCCGAATCGAGTCAACGGCAAGATGGGTCGGGAATATGACAAAAATATGGGTCTTGACCATCCGATTGTAAACGAGGGTTTGACTAGCGAATCCCCACCTCGAAGGGGGTACCGGTATGAGGGCAGCTAAGTTTACAGTAGGTAGGTCTAACTTAACGTCATGGTAATATCACAACGAACACGTGGGGCAAAGCATAACGACTTGGCATCGCCCTAGTCTAAACAGAACGGCCATCGTACACTTGACAGTGCAATTTTGAATAGAAAAATCATGATTCTGATTGATGGGTAACCTCGTGGTTGTATTGCTCTTCGTCGAACGATCCATTCTCAAACATGCCTGCCACCACTACAGCCACCCCTGCTGCTGCTGCCAGCAATGACTTCATATTCGATCTTCCTCACCTTCGCTTCCCCTCGTACCCCCTCGAGGGGGGATTCGTTTTTCGTGTCACCCATTCCTTCGACGACCTGAGTTCACCATACGCTCCCCATGAGCCCGAAGGCGATCGACTCACTCCCAAACGGTCCGTTTGAAATCCAGTCGCGCCATGGACAGCTGCTGATCGTTGTACAAGTAGGCAAGGCCACCTTCACTACTATTCCCCGAATACTAGCCCCCAAAACGCCGGTGACCTTAAGTCATCTTACGTTGTGTTTGAGCTTGAATCCAAACGTCTCAAGACCAAATGGTGCGTCCACGAGACGACTCAATTAATCCCTAGGCTCACAATTGTGGGTGTAGGGAATGCAAGATCTTTTTCCCCGAGGACTATTCCCCTCAACGGGTGGAGCTGCCCCTCGGGCTTGTCTTATCTAACCTGAAGGTATATCCTTGTATATAATATGGTAGGGGGGTTACTTGGTTGCTCATTTATAGGCCGCATTGGAAGCGCAAGGGCAAGAGGCCACGTATTACGAATCCGTGATGGAATTTATCGCCCAGTCCAAGGTGCGAATCAGCTTACTGTCCATGTTGAAGTATTCCTCGCAAATGCTGCACCGTAGGAGTGGTTAAAGGGGGACAATGGCTCGGACGAGTACGAGGCAACTGTGGTTGACTTTACCAGTCAAGATGGTGATGGCTCTTTGACATTGCGCTTTTGCACCAAGTTATTTGGCAATTGGCCGTTGCCTTTTACGTTCCCTTTGGTCCCCGTGGCGGTGGACAATCTGGACGTGTTGGATTTGAAATTGAAGGACATCCAAGCCGAGCTAGTCCGCCTCGAAGATGAGACCGCAGACACGAAGCAAACTATCCTAGTGGTCGCGATGGCGTTGTTTCTCTGGCTGTCGATCAAGTATTTGGGCATCTTCTAACGGTGGCTTGTCAAAAGCGGAACTGACGACGATTGTGTTCAATGTAATATGTATGCACTTGAAGCAGCGTCGACTGTTAGAGTCGTAGCAACGACTCTAACAGTAGTAGTATATCGTTTATCTTATCCTCTTTATCTTATCCTGAAGTACACGGGTAAAATGTCGTGGCAGTTTCATAACTAGCCCCAACTTTGCGAATCGGTTGTACAGGGTACAGTATAAAATGTACAACATCATGACGCAGTCCACATTATTGTCCTAGCTGCTGTGTATGTTGCTCGTCCTTCTGTTCCAGTCGTCTCCATCACCTATACTTCCGACACCCGTACGGACCCCCTTCGCGCGTTTCTCGCGCCTATTATGCCGTACTTCAAAGATTCGGTGCCTCTCCTGCTGAACGGGACCATCCCCGCCACATACTAGTGCAAGCGAGCCCCCCAGTCCTGCGTGGGTACCTCGGACCTCATTGGATCCAATGACTTCTTTTATCCAATGGCTTCTTTTACGTCTGGACGAAATCCACTACGACAAGTTCCACGTCTGCTTCGATGCGGGGGCTCCACGCTGCTTACACTTGCGGTTCGATTTGACGCGCTTCCCATGAGTGTAGCCATGGTGTCTGTCTTGGTGAGTGCTACGCCACAGACTCGTGCTGTGGCACCAACAAGACCACGACTCTCACCATGCGCATTCCGTGCTGTACATCGTCTCCATTCCTCTGCCAATCAACCACGGTCGCATCCGTCGCAAAGTCGCCTCCTTTGAAGGCCGTAATGTCGTTCGGAATTGGCTCGCTGTCAACGAAAGTGGACGTGTGGGACTTAACGTGTACAGCGAGAGCGTGCTACACACTCAAACTCAAGTGCAGTGTGTACTTCTTGAACGAATCCTATCGAACATAAACGCTAAGTTGGCAGACACAATTGGCCATTCGGGTGTACGTGACGGTGGCGCTTGATGCAAACGACCCAGGTTCGATTCGTGTTATGAACCATCGAAGCGATACAGTAACGTTAATGGCCGAAGTTATTGAAATAACCGCGTGTGCAGCAACGGGGTATTGTAGTGTTGAGGGTGCCCGCGGACAATACAGTACCGGTAGTCGCGGGGACACCTGTAGTGTGTAGCTTCGGTCTATTATTAATAATTGACACACCAGAATAAATGTTAATGTGAGTACTCGCTGTTGCAACTATGGACTAGGCTAACTTTGTGCAGGATTTCTAAGCACGTGCTAGGTAGCGATGGAAGCAATCTCCTGCCAGCATACGTAGCGACAGAGATTTTGGATGTGACGAGGTATTTCGTCGTTCGAATCACGCGTCGAGCGGAGAGAAACTTGCACCGTTGACAGGCAACAAGCAAGCGGGTCGAAGGAGTCAGTTCGAATTGCTCTGCAAAATAGGTATTGGGTTCCGAGCAGGTTTGAATATGACTGCGGGGTGTCGCCTTAGAAATCCCCGCCAGAACCCTTGACTCGGTCTATGGTCGGGGCAGTTGGCAAACGGGTTGGGGCGGTCGCGTCGGGTGAGCTGGACCACCATTAGGTTAGACGCCTCGGCCTTGGTCAAATGCACGCCGTGGTTTTCTTGCTGCATGATCCACTGCTGCGCCACCAATGCTTCTTCAAACGCAGACAACTTCAGCTTCGCCCCCGGTTTGCCACGACGACGCGGAGACTGCAGGTGTTGGAAGACTGTGGCGTGGGGAATGCTGTTCATGGGGAGTTTGAAGTGCAGTTCAGCCGCGCGAGCGGCGCGTCGACATCCGCATCCGTGCTCGGAGGCATATTGAACTGCAAACTGCAAGTGCAATTTCGTATACAGCACCGTCTCATGGTGGCTATGGGTTGATTGCGGCGTCGCAAGCGAAGAGACGATTCGATGCCACCGCGCCAGGCGAGTTAACTTGGATCGATCCACTTGACACTGAGCTGCCGCGTCGGCAATGGTTGCCCCATTAATGGCAATTTGTGTCCAGGCATCCATGAAGGGTTCGCCCAACACACAGGGAAGGCATGTCCAGCCCTTGGCCTTGATTGGATACGGCAAGGTATTGCAGATGGCCACGGGTATCACCTGGGCACAGGCAGCGCATATCAAAGACGACTTGGCTGTTTCATGCATTGGCATGCCCACGCGAATGGCTGCAAGGACATCTTTATCCGGATCTTTCAAGGACAGCATGCGTATAATATATTAATAATAGACATAATTAATCCAAGAATGAATGTTCAATTTTATTTACAGTTAGTGCTATTTTGAAATAATATTTTCAGAGGTAGTTTTAAAATGCAGTGGACGACAGAGAACGCTGCCCTACGAATAAATCAAACTTGATTAATATAGAAAAGACGTATGACGATTTTATTATCCGGATACTCAGGAAGCGAAGTGGCGAATTTTATTTTGCGACTCGTCAATCATGGAACTCGTCTTGTCAGGTGACCGCGAATTCGTGGACGCTGCCCGTGCGACGGCCCTGTTGGCGTCGTACCCTCACTTCTCGTCGTTCACGCGGATCTCTCTCCGCAACAAGAGCTACTCCTTGGAAGCGGCGCAAGTGCTTGCCACGTTTCTCAAGACCATCCCCGCTGGGTTGGCTGTCGCTGACCTGGCTGACATGATTGCCGGCCGTCCAGAAGATGAGGCACTGTTGGTGCTGGAGCACGTGTGCCAATCGTTGTCGAGTCACGCGTTCGTCGAAGTCGACTTGAGCGACAACGCTCTCGGGGAAAAGGGCGTCCGTGCGTCGTTCGGCGTGCTCGAACGTCAAGTCAACCTCGAGCGCTTGTACTTGTGCAACAACGGCCTCTCTGCCGAGTCGGCGCAAGTGATCGCCGACGTGCTGCTCTTCCGTGGCGCCAACGTTCCCACGAAGCTCAAGACGTTCCACTTTTACAACAACATGAGCGGCGACGGCGGGGCCAAGGCGTTGGCGACGTTGTTTCCGTCCACACCCCTCTTGGAAGACCTTCGTTTCTCCACGACGCGGTCTCAACGAGAAGGCTGCCGCGTGTTCGCGCATGCATTGAGCACGCTCTCGAACTTGAAGTTCGTGGACTTGAGCGACAACACGTTTGGCGCGGAAGGCGCGATGGTCCTGGCGGTGGCCTTGGCCAAGCAGTCCAAGCTGGAAGTGCTCAACTTGCGCGACGCGTCCATTGGCGACGAAGGTCTAATCGCCATCGCGAATGCGTTGGTGGCTCAACGCGTGACTTCGCTGCGTGTGTTGGACGTGTCCGGAAACGACTTGACGGAAGAATCCATGACTGCTTTGGCGAAGTTGCTCAAGACATTGCCGTTGCTAGAGGAGTTGCGCGTGGAAGAGAACGAGATCGGCTCTGGCGGAGCGTCCATTTTGGCCGCCGTGCTGCAAAAGAAGTCGGTGACGCCCTTGCTTCGAGTGTTTCAGTCCAACTCGAACGAACTGGCGAGCACGGGGGGCTACCGCTTGGCCGTGGCGCTGGCCAAGAAGCCACAGTTGGCGTCGGTGGAATTGGACGGCAACATGTTCTCGGACGACGCGGTCGCCAAGATCACCGCCGCGCTTCCGTCGAACGTCCTCGGGTCCCTCGAAGACAACATGGAGGACGACGACGGAGATGATTTCTCTGACGAGATCGACGACTGGAGCGACGACGACGAGGTCAAAGCCGAGGACAACGATGTCGACGAGCTCGCAGCCTCCTTGTCCCAGGTGACGTTGGGTAAGTGTATGTATCGAGTGCATGCATTCAGCATGACACCTGACAACATGAGCTCTATGGACTGATGTACACATGTGTATTAGATGTGCTTCGTTTTGATCCGGTTCGAGAAGTGGTGGACGCGGCGCGTGCCAAGGAACTGCTGGCGCCGTTTCAAGGGCGATCGACGTTTCACACGATTTCCCTGCGTGGAAAGAGCTACACGCAAGCGGGTGCCGCGGTCGTCGCGGACTTTCTGCGCACCTTGCGTGGAATCAAAGTGGCCGACTTGGCCGATATCATTGCCGGTCGACCAGAAGACGAAGCGCTCGTGGTGCTTACGACCATCAGCAAGGCGTTGGTGGGCCACGTCCTCGATGAAATCGACCTGAGCGACAACGCGTTGGGGGAGAAGGGCGTCCGCGCATGCTTTGCCGTGCTCATCCCGCAGCCGACGCTGAAGCGGCTATCGTTCTGCAATAACGGCATCTCCGCCGCCGCGTCTGCCGTGATTGCGAAGGAAGTGGTGCTCCAACAAGACGGTGTCGCCAAGTCGCTGGAAACGTTCCACTTTTTCAACAACATGAGCGGCCACGAGGGCTGCCTGGCTGTTGCGTCCATGTTGTCTGGATGCCCAAACCTCACGTCGTTCCGGTTCGCCAGTGCCCGTGCGGGGGCCGCTGCCAGTTTGCAGTTGGCCCAAAGCATCGGCCAACACGTGCGCCACCTCACGTCCCTTGATCTGAGCGACTGCAGCTTTGACGACCAAGGCGCGGTCGCGTTGGCGGCGGCCATCTCCAAGCAGACCCGCCTCAAGGTGCTCAAGCTTCGCGACGCTTCGCTCGGCCCCGAAGGTAAGACCATTTGCCCACGTGTATTTGGTGTTGATGACTCACTGGTATATGGTTGCAGGTGCCAAGCTGGTTGTGGCCGCGCTCGCGACGGCTGGCATCCAGTTGGAGAGCTTGGATTTGTCGGGCAATGAACTGGAAGACCAAGGCATTGCCAACTTGATCGGTGGGGGTAGCTGTGGCCGACTGCTGGATAGCCAAGTGGGGCTCAAGGTGTTGCGTCTGGACGAGAACGAAGTCACGTCTAAAGGGTTGGCCGTGCTGGCCGACTCGCTGCACGGTGAGCTCTCGTGGGCCTCCGCGTTAGAAGAACTCAGCTTGTACGGCAACGAAATCACCGCGAGTGGCGCGATGTCGATCGTCAAGGCCGTCTCGAACAAGGCGTTTCTGAAACTGGTTCAGTTGGACAGCAACATGATTTCGTCAGTTGGACTTGTCAAGTTGCGGGCGGCGCTCGTCACGGCGGGCAAGGCACATGTGCTGGGGTCCATGGAAGATAACGACGAAGACGCCGAGAGCGACGACGGGTCCGACGGGGACGACGACGACGAGGCGGAATAAGTAGGACGAATAAATAGATGATCCGTAGAGAAGTTGTTGTTTTGCATCACCACAAGGGGTTGTTCGAATACATCGGTAGTTGAGGTTGAATATTTATTTAGATGCACGGGGCTATTCCTCAGCACATGACGTCGTCGAGCAAGTCTTGAAGCATCGAGTCGTGCGCGGCCGTGTCGACATCGTCGGCATCTTCCGGGTCCCGCTTCGGATTTGCATCCGTGATGGTTTTGCGGCGGGTGTTGGGGCTAAGCTGCTGTTTTCGGATTGGGGCACATCCAGATGCCACCGGTGGTTGGTTCACTTTGCCTTTGCAGTCGTTGTCCGAGTCCCACAAGGGGGTTGTCGCAGACGGCTTCTTGCGCTGTGCGGCTTCCAAGGTGGAGTCCTTTTTGTCTTCTTTGGCCATCGTCGGGGGTGCAGTTTGCTTGGCATCCGGCGCCCCAGACCGCGCTGTGACGGGCATGAAGAAGCGATACTGCAGTGCCTGCGCAGCTGTGGGGCGGCGCGTCGAGTCGTACTGGAGCAAGTCGACCATCAGTTGAATGGCGGCGGGGCTGGCGTTCGGAATCGCCATCTTGAGTGGCACGGGGTTGCACTTTGGGAACTTGAACTGCATCTGCGACACCATCGTAACCCCCTCGGGCCAGCTTTCTTTCGTAGGGGTGCCGAGAATGCCGCAAATGCGACACATTTGATCCGCCTCGGATGATCCAGCGAAGAGCGGCTTGCCCAAGAACAGCTCGGCCATGATGCAGCCGCAGGCCCAGAGGTCGATCGGGGAATTGTACGTGGTGGAGCGAAGGAGCAGCTCCGGGCTGCGGTACCACCGCGTCGACACGTAGTCTGTGAACGGAGGTCGCGATCGTATCTCCCTCGCTTGGCCTAGATCCGCCACCTTGAGCACTTCAATACCACTGCTGCAAAGGCAGTTTTCAGGCTTGATGTCGCGGTGGAAGAATCCGTGCTTGTGCATGTAGGCAAGCCCAGAGAAGAGCTGGGACATGATGGTGCGGATCTGCGGCTCCTTGGCGTTGTTCTTGCGCATCCACGCGAACAGACTTGTGTCCATGTACTCAAAAACAAAGTACAACTCGGCCTTGTCTCGGATCACCTCTTTGAGCTGGATGATGTTGTCGTGGCGGAGCACCTTGAGCGACTTGAGCTCGCGCAACTGAAGACACTCTTCCCACGTCGGAAACAACATCTTAAGCTTCTTAATGGCCACCACCTCGTTCGTCTTGAGGTTGCGCGCTTTCAGAACTTCTCCATACGCGCCGTCCCCCAGCCGGTCCAGGATCTCGTACCGATTCATCCGTAACGTCACCGCTTGTATCTCCACAACTCTTTCTAATGAAACCGCCAGCTCAGCATGCATAACATAATACTTACTAGTAAGTGGCCAAATTCAATCGCTTACAGGTAGGTGCCTTGGATTGGACGTAGAGCAGTGGAATGCTTCGAAGAACTGTAATATCTTGTATTGTTGGACTTACAAGCAAGGTACAGAAGTGCATTATCTTTGGCTGGATCAGGATTTACAGTTTACTAGTAATGTTACTACGTAGTACTGGTATCTATTATTGTGACCTTTCGTGTCAACCGCCAAATACCATGCGTCGGGTGATTGTAATGTGTTGCATCATTTTATTGCCTTTTGGTCGATTTTACGAAAAGCAATTCCACGACCAATCGAATGGATCACCAAGTGGCCAATAATAAACCGTTTTGAATCCACCAATCGTGTGCAAGGAGAGCAATTTTACGGCTGTTGATTGGATACCGGTGTGGCAGGGCATCCATTCACAAACTTCACGTTGGCTTATCGTCAATTTTGTCCTAATCATGGCCGACAACCACCGTCATCGTTCGGGGCCGCTCAAGCAGAATAACAAGAAGCACAAAGCAGGTCGCCATGACACCAAGACGTTCTTGACCAAGAAGAGTGGGGGCAAAGTCGAACGTGCGCCCCTCAAATCCACCAAAGTGGCTGTAATGGGGACCAAGCAGCAACGCCTCCAGAAGGCCAAGCAGTGGAAACAAATGAAAAAGGAGGGCGTGTGGAACCGCAACCGTCACGGCGGCCTGGCAGGTGCTTCGAAAATTGTAGCGCTCGTGCCGCTTGGTCCGTCCGCAGACTTGGCTGCCGTGCGCACCGTGCTCGTCGAGTCTGCGACCACCGTCGAGTACTCGGACGACTCGAAGCAGATCGGCCGCCACACAAACGCGTTCTTTGCCACGCACAAACAAAAGTTGACGATCATTGAAAGCGGCCATGACCTTGTGGGCATTCTCGACATGGCCAAGGTAACCAACCTTTCTCAACACGTCGTTAATGTGATCGATGGCGTCGTGGTTGACATGGATCCTTCCGTATGTGTAGGTGGCGGATGTCGTCGTGTTTGTCCTGCCCATGTTCGACGGGCCCGACGCTGCCGTGAGCGCCGATGGCGACGCCGTCCTCTCTGCCCTCCGTGCTCAGGGCCTCGTCGCCACAGTCGGCGTGATCCAAGGACTCGAGAAATTCACCGGCAAGGTCGAATCTGACTACCGCAAGTACGGCAACCGGTTCTTCACGACCGAGTTTGGGGACTCGATCAAGATCGCCCAAGGCAACAGCACCGTTCAAGTGCTTCGCGCAGTGCTCACGGCGCAGCCCAAGCTGCTCCACTGGCGGGAAATCCGGTCGTACATGCACGCGATGGACGTGACGTACGTCCCCGAGACCCAAGTGATGCACGTGTCGGGGTACATTCGTGGCCGCCCGTTGTCGGTCAACCAGCTGCTGCACCTAACAGACATCGGCACGTTTCAAATGAGTCACATCTTGGCCGCGGCTGAAAACGGAAACGAACCGGTGGTGCTGGCGACGGCAGACCCGACCAAGCGCGAGGACTTGCAGTACGAGGCCGACGTGGACACGTTCGCGGCCGAGCAGACGTGGCCCACGGATGAAGAGCTCAACGAAGCGGCGGCCAACCGCACCGAGGCCGAGTTTGTCAATGGCATGTCCACGTACCAATCGGCGTGGAACGTCGAGGACGACGAGGACGATGCCGCCATGGATGCTGACGACGATGACGAGGATGACCTCCCCGACCAAGCGTTTTGCAAAGTCGGCGACGGCGCCACGACTGAAGCCGGCGGGGACGACGACGACGATGACGATGACATGTCGTTGGCGGACGACGACGACGCCGAGACCCGTCAGGCGCAGCTCGAAGCGTTGCAGGCCGAGCACCAAATGTTTCCCGATGAAGTGGACGTCCCGGCCGACAGCACGGGGAAGGATCGGTTTGCCCGGTACCGAGGCATGAAGAGCTTCCGCACGAGTCCGTGGGATGCCAAGGAGTCCCTTCCGATGGACTACGCGCGCCTGTTCCAGTTCAACTCGTTCAACGCGACCCAAAAGCGCGTGCTGGACGAAGGCAAGGCGGCCGAAGACCTCTGGAAACAGACCCGAGCCACCGTGCTCCTCGACGGCGAGTACGTTGCCAGCGGCACATTCGTGACCCTCGTGCTCATCAACGTGCCCGCAGCCGCCGTCGCCACCCGCGCCGCCATCAACCGCGTGTGCGTGTTGAGTTCCCTGCTACGCCACGAGAACCGTCTGTCCGTGCTCAACTTTTCACTGCAGCGCCACGGCCCGGCGGCCGACGTGCCGTTGAAATCGAAGGACCACATGTCGTTCCACTGCGGGTTCCGCCGCTTCGACGGGTGCCCCATCTTCTCGGACCAGAACCTCAAGGCCGACAAGCACAAATTCCAGCGCTTCTTCCCCACGAACGGGTGGTCCGTAGCGTCCGTGTACGGCCCCGCGACGTTCCAGCCTGCGTCCGTGCTCGTGGTGTTTCAGAACGCGCTGGTTGCGTCCGGCACGCTACTGAACGTCGACCCCGACCGCATCGTGCTCAAGCGAGTCGTGATCACGGGCACCCCCGTCCGCGTGAAGCGCCGAAAGGCCGTCATCCGGTACATGTTTCACTCGCCAGAGGACGTGCGCTGGTTCAAGCCCGTGGAATTGACCACCAAGCACGGCATGACGGGCCACATCAAGGAATCGCTCGGCACCCACGGCGACTTCAAGGCTATTTTCAACAAACCCATCAAAAACCACGACACTGTGTGCTTGAACCTGTACAAGCGCGTGTACCCCAAGCGAGTCGTGGCCGCATAAGTATATTTTTAATCCAAGACACTCGTTTGGATGGAGGGCGGGAGGAATTCCGTTAGAAGAGATATACAGGATTCAGGATTGTAAACGAGGTAGCTATCTCTCACCAAGGTGTTGTGGCTTTCCAGGGACGAGGCTTCAAGCAGCAACATTCCTCATAGATGGAGCGATCATGGTTATGTACTGTATGTATATCGCGGCAGGTAAGCTTTGAGATGCCATGAAAGGTGCAATGTAGTCGTCGAGCCATACGTACAAATGAGGGAATTGCTCCTTGCCTCTACGGTAGTATCCGGATGAACTTTCGGGAATTTCGCGTGGGATAAACCAGTGACTGTGGGACATTCGTGAATTTCCAGCGTGGACTGCGGTCTCGATGGCGTCCGGTGGCGAGAGTAGCAACCCAAGTCAAGGCAACAGCTCCGAGCAGGGAGGGCCGACGTCGTCTGTTGCCACAACGCTAGGTTCTGGTGTTGTTCAAATGGCGATTGACGTCTCGGAAGTCGCGGCGACGGGAACGGCCTCCACATTGATCGACCTCAATGTGAAGACCGTTGACCAGCGCCAGTTTCAGATCAACTTGCTCGCGTCGTCGTCGGTGCCGCAATTGAAGAGCAAGATTGAGCTCGAAACAGGTGTTGTCACGGATAGGCAACGACTCATTTTCCGTGGGAAGGTGCTGAAGAACGAAAACAACTTGGCGCATTACGCGTTGGAAAACGGCCACACGTTGCATCTTGTGATTCGTCCAGCTGACGCGAGTCCGACAGTCGCAAGCAGTGCTTCCTCCGTTACCGCTCCACTGCGCGAAGGGGATTCTGCTTCCACTTCGTCCCGTCCAGCACGCATCATCTCGGGTCTTCGCCCCGGCGAATCCCCGTCCCAATCTCGATCCAACGACGACCCCGACCCTTCCTTAATGCATGGTGATGGAAGCAACCAAAATGGAATTCCCCGTGTGTTGGCGACATTCGCTGTTCCAGAAGGCGCTCAAGGCATGCCGTTTCTGCAGTCGTTACTGTCCACCATCATGAACTCCGTCCAGGGCGTCAGTGAAGGACAGCCAGCGTCCACCACAGGTTCTGCGGACACGACCAACTCCCCTGCAGCATCGTCTATTGCCCCCCTTCGCACGGACGCGTCAGGTCCGTCCACCCGGAACATCCCCATGGAACGGGTGATGCTGCGAGCGAACGCCAATTCTCGTCACGACCGCGCGGGGCGAGTGAACGCGCTGCTCGATTCCCTCATGCGGGGGCTGGATCGACCAGGTCCGTCCTGTTGTTGTCACCGACCCCTCCTCAGTCAACTCGTAACATGATGTAGACTCGGACTTTCCGCCCTCCATCCGTGACCTCACACATGCATCGTACGAAGCCGACGTCCAAGTGCTTCGCAACAACATCGAGACGCTGGTTCTGTTAACAACCGACCTCCAACCTCGATTCGAACGGCTTTCAGTGGCGTTGCAAGAATTGCACGTGCGACGCGGCAACCGGGCGCTGCAAATGGAGTTGGTGAGCCCCATCTTCCGGACGATTGAGGCGCTGCAGTCGTCGGGGGATGTCGCGGGGCTGCTCGCACGGATCAGTCGGCGTCTGTTTTTGCGATACAACGGCGGACCGCCGACCCCAGAGGCCCCTGCCGACCTAATCGCGTCATCCCTGTCGCAACCAGGGGCATCTTCTCGGTCTGTCCAACCTTTCCCGTCTTTACTCGAGGCGCGTTTACCACCAACCAGCACGACCCCCTCGACTTCGTCGTCGTCCGCTGGGCTCCTCGTGGATCTCCAAGGTCAACAATATCGACGAACGGACGCTTTCAACGCCATGGTGCAGGGCATGCGAGAGGCCGCCACGTCATCCACTGCATCGCGCACCACCGAGGCCAACAACAGCTCGATGTTTGAATTTGAAGCACGGATTCCAATCATTGTCTTCCCAACCCAAGAATCGTCGTCCCAACAGTCGCCAGCCGCCCCACCCCAGCGGCGGTGGAATTTCGCTTCGTTTGCACGACGCGTGATGCAGACGCTGTCGGCCGGGGACGTGTTTGGCGTGCTCGGCGGCTCCCGCGACGCTCTGCTCAGTGTCATCCAACACGTGGGCATGCAACTAATCGAAGGCAACGACTTTCCCCCCATGTCTCCGGGCACGAACCGGGACTGGAGCGTCGACATGATCGCCGCCCTCCGCGACCACGTCGACACGCTGCCCCGCTTCCACCACCCCCTGCTGCCCCCCGCGTCGCCGAACCTCGCGGGTCACATCGTGCAATCCGTGTCGCCGTTCGCGCCTGAACTCATAGTGGCTTTGATCCGGGGGACCAACGTCGAGCCCGCCAATGCGTCGTCGTTCCTGGACAGCGTGTGCCCCTTTTTCGGCCACATGGCTCGGCAAGTCGTGTCGGACATCCTCGCGCAGCTCTCGGACCATCCGTCGGCCCTGACAAGCGTGCTGGAAGACCTGCTTGTGCACTTTGGAGTCGCCCGTCACATTGCCGTGTTTGTCGTCCAAACGTTTCAGACCATGCCAGACGTCCAACACGCGTTGCGACCGACAACCCCCCCCCGTGTGGCGTCGACTCGGCCTCGCGACGACACTGCCGATGGCGACGTGCCGAAGCGGGCTCGGTTGGAGTAGAGCAGAGCATGTTATATGATGAAGCTCGCTCTCGAGTAGATGATATATAGATATAGTCGTGGTTACAGATAATAATTTATTTTGATTGTCGACTCTGATCATACAGTAGCGCTACGTTTGATGAAAGTCGGCGGCGTCGCAGGCCATGTCATCGTACAGCCGTTCAAATTGGACAGCAGAGAAGGGTGTGAACGTGGCTGCATGCGTCCACAGACACGTGGCCAGCTCGTCGCCGTGGTCGCCATCATCCGCCGCCACCACTTGGTCGATGCCAGCGCCGATTTCGCAAATGTACTTGGCCACCTTTTCCAGCACGACGTTGTCGTCCGCCTGGCTCTGGGCCCACGCGGCGATGCGGCGCACCTTCTTGAGCGTCGTCCGAATGTGTTTGAGCCGGTCCTTGGGGCCCCACTTGGCCTCGAGCTGCTCTTGGGTCAAGAGGACGATCGTCGGTTTCTTTGAGGACGAGGCCTTTCCATCGCGCTTTTTTGGCTTGGGGATGCGAATGTCCTTGCCGCCATATCGCAGTTGCTCCGTCGCAGGAGGACGGGATAACGCGGAAGCAGTTTGGTTGTCGTCGCTTTCCTTGTCGCTGCGAACTTCTCCTTCCTCGTCGTCGCTCGCAACACGCGTGACCAGCTGCAACTGCTTACCGCCAAACCTGCTCTGCACATGGCCTCGCCGGATCGAGTCGGCGTGCGGCGGTGGTGAGCTCGACGTCGGCAGCTCTTCGGCCTTTCGCTTGGCTCGCTCCGCCGCCCGATCCATCATCGTACTCGGCCCCCCGCCCGCCACCTTGACGTGCGCCGGCGACGGCAGTTTTTTTAGCAGATTCTCGGCGCGAGTCTTAAGTCGACTGCCTTTGAGCGCACGTTGCTTCTCGAGGGGCAACTGCGGATCCGATAGGATTTCTTCCCACGCACTAAACCTAGTTTATATACACGTATCTGTCAACACCGAGTGGCAAAACACTTGCCCACAAAGAAGTACAGATACTATTGTTGCATGATCTAAGGGTACCCGTGAATGTACACGCCAAGCAGCAACGCGCGGTCCTTCTCGACGTTCCACCCGTTTTCGTCCTCGGCACTTTTCCAAATGGCCATTTGGTCGATGCCAAAGTCGGACAACGTCGTGGCGGAGGGGGCCAGGACGAGGGCGTGCGGTAGCCCTCTACATATTCTTCCGTCACATTTCGGCGGCCGCTAACACCTTACCCGGGTTTGAACTTTGCAGCTGCCATCGCTCGCTGCACCGCCACACGGAGCTTGAGATTGTCGTACAGGCGCTCGACAAACTGGCTCGGTTTGATGTCCACGTCTGCGTACTTGACGTTTTCTTCCTTTTGCGCCGACGCCGCATCACATTGCACAATGATCTCCTTGGCAATCGACGCGAGCGTGTCCTCGGACACTTTCAGATGCGACGCCAACTTGGCCCGCACCAAGAAGCTAGGCTGTTTGTACTCGTCGCAGAACGTGGATTGGTGCTCCTTGTACAAGTTACCGTCCATGAGGTCTCCGTATCGCTGCAAGGCTTTGACAATCGTGCGGACCACCTTGGAATTGGACCTCGGATCTACCCAAAGATGAGGCTATGTGCAACAGTGCCTGCGATACTGTACCTTCAACGAGATCGGTTTGAATGGGGGACGTTTCGGGTGGCGTGGTCTGGCTGCTTGTCAACAACAACGTCGCCGACCGACTGATGTTTGTGACCGCCGACGTCGTCGGTTGTGTCTTGGACGCCGCCGCGGTGGCTTTCGGGACGGTTTTCCCGCGGGCTCCGGCGCCACGCCCGGCCAATTTCGACTCCAATCGACCTTTGACTGTCTTGCTGTTGCCCTTGGCTTTCACCGACATGTCCAAGGATGGGACTGAAGTTGATTCGGCCACCGGCGGCTGAGCCGGCGATACGGTGGCCGTCGTGGGTCGTCTTGACGATACTCGGTTAGCGTTCCCGGGATTTGCAGCAGCAGCACCCCTCTTGATCCGTAGGTCCGACTGGATTTGCTCGATTGTGCGTCGGTCGCGCTTCTGAGTGTTGAGCGCCATTAGGCCCGTTCCGGTGGATTCCTTGAGTCGGGCCGCGGCGCGAGTCGGGTTCGGATCCAGCGGCTTTGTCAGACTCTCTTTATCCTCGCTACTCAGTGGAAGTGATTGGCTGTTCGCGTTGTCATCCTTGGCAGTGTCGTTGTCCGAATCGGAGTCCGACGACGACGACGAGCTGCCACCGCTCGACGAACTGTCATCGCTGTTGTCTGAGCTGTTGCTAGCATCCGAGCTGTTCTTCCTGGGTTTCTCGGGAGATGAAGAGGCCATTGGAGGTGGTCGGTCGTCGATTGATGATGGAAGGACAAGTGCCACCGCCGTTCCTCGCGTAGGTGTGTGGCAACCAGCCTGTTCCAAAATAAGCGAGGTGTTTCGGACGTTTATCCGGATACGAATACTGAAGTATCGGAAAAATCGACAAACTGTAAGGGCTGCCTGCCACAAGTGATATTCCGTCAGGAACTTATTGTAGATTATTCGGTATTATTCGGTACAAATATATCCAGACCCCTTCGAATCGAATCTCGCCATCGAATCGAATCACGATTTGACGTTATTGGATAATCCAAATTGGAGTGGATCTGATTGGCTCTTACAGAATGGACAAGTGTATGCAGCCAATTAGAAATTCCAGACTATAATACTAGTATTAATTAATACTGACAGCATTTTCTCTTTTCTACCAAAGTCATTCTGTACCTGGTATGTAAAAACTTGCACAAGAAGTTCGTCGTGAAATGGCTGGATGTCTCAAACAGTAAATTTTTCCTATAAAATCACATCCAACTCGACTGATGTACATCGGGGCCTCAAAGGCATGCATTCGTCAACAAGTTGGGCACCGAATGAGCCTCTACTACGAGGTAGTATGCACGATAATCCATGCATTTACAGCACTGGTAGATGCTGCCAAGACAAGCTGATGATTCACCACTACATTGTCATGCCCCGTGATAACCGAAGTAACGTAACACTTGAGGTTGGATCTTTAAACCGAAAGATCCCGTAATGCAACATCATAGCGCAGGTTAACTGCGTGGCACTGCTGGAAGCATGGGGAAAAGTGCAAAGTCGATGTCGATGGAGGCTTTCTTTGTGGTGCGACATAAAGTGGCTCTAAAAATAGTGTCCATGACGGTGATTGGCCCGAGTGACCTGTCGCAGTGTGCCGCTTCAAGTTTGGTTTGTGGCAGTTGCGACCATGTCAACAGGAGCCGCGGACAAGGCGAAGAGGCTGACGAAGCGATCCAGTACAAAGGAGAAGAAGATCAAGATCAACATGACTTTGGCCAAGTACGAAGTGATCAAGAAGATCGCTCGGGACCGAGGATGGAAGCAAATCACAGACGAGACGGACAAAGTGGGGTTGGCAGGCTGCAACCTCCACTGGATCGACGTCCCCGACTTTGTCAATACGTTTAAAACCATGCAGCCATTTCAAAAGGTCAACCACTTTCCCGGTGCGTCTGTCACTATTTCCCCCGACCCCCCCATCCCCCCATTCTCTAACCATGGCACGCAGGGATGTCAAACCTAGCCCGCAAGTCCAAGCTGGCCCGCAACTTTCAACGCATGATGAAGTTGTTCCCAAACGAGTACGACTTTTGTCCCAAGACGTGGATCCTTCCGTTCGATTACACGGACTTTGCACAGCAATTTAACTCGGACGGGACGTCGAACCGCGCGTTTATCATTAAACCCGACCACAGCTGTCAGGGGCGGGGCGTGTTTTTGACCAAAAATTTGAAAGAAGTCAACAAAACAGACATCTTTGTGGCCCAGCGATACGTGGCGCATCCGCTATTGCTGGGGGGGAAGAAATTCGACCTGCGCATTTACATCATGATTGCGTCGTGTGCGCCCCTGCGTGTGTATTTATTCCAAGACGGCCTCGTCCGCATGTGTACGGCAGCGTACACGCCCCCCAACGCCGACAACATGGAGCAGAAGTTCATGCACTTGACCAACTACGCGATCAACAAACTGAGCAACAACTTTGAAAAGAACAAGGACGAAGCCGCGGACGGCGAGGGCAGCAAGCGGTCGCTCAAGTGGTTCTTTACGTGGCTGCGAGACAAGTACGACGACGCGGCCGTGGACTTGCTGTGGCACCAAATCGGAGACATTTGCCTCAAGTCTATCTTGTCCGTGCAGCCCACCCTCAACCAGGAATACCAGAGCACGTTTGCCAAGTTTTCGAGGGGCAAACAGTCTAAAGGAGACAATGTGACCGGCGGTGCCGACGACGAAGGCACGACCAACCCCGGCAAGGCCTGCGCCAACTCGTCGTGCTTTGCCATCCTAGGCATGGACGTTCTCGTGGATGAGAACCTCAAGCCTTGGCTGCTGGAAGTAAATCACCTCCCTAGCTTTGGCTGCGACTCGCCCTTGGACTGGAATGTGAAGGAACGTTTGCTCAACCAAGCGCTGGACATCATGCAAATATCCGCGTCGGACAAGGACACGTACGATGCAGAACACACCAAAAACCTCCAGCGTCGACTGTATGGGGATCCGAAGCCAGCGACGGGGGCCGATGGCGAAGGCAACCAAGACGAGGGAAGCAGCGATGGTCCGGAAACCGACCCTGACGCGACGACGACAACGCAAAGTTGGCCCCAACTGTCCAAGGACGAACTCACGGCCACCCTGCTCAACTTCTACAGCCTCGTGAACCCAGAAAAACCAGCGACCGATATTGATGCGATCGTGGCCAAGTTCTTGGATAACCAAGATGAACTGCACAAGAGCTTGGTGGTCAAGTACGGTCGAGGAGTGTTTGATGAGGTGGCGGTGAATAATCCGAGCAGCAACAGCAGTACACCGATGGTGGACGATGGACTGGTGGACTTTGTGCGGCTGTATCCGCCGCCGGTCCCGACGTCCAAGAATGCCATTTACAAGCAAATCTTGGACGCGTGTCAGAGCAACATCGACGAGCAATTACTACGACTCACGGCCCCCCTCCACCAGAAGAAGGGTGAAGACTTGTCCAAGACGTCGCTGCCACCGCTCGTGAAAGGGGGCACGAAGAAGGACCTGGGGCGAGACTGCTTTGGGTTCACCGGCACCGACAAGGTGCAACAGCTGGAGCTCAAGGACAGAAAACCACTGGCGGTCCCTGGACCGGCGCAGTTGGCGGCAGCGTCACGCCTCATGATGGGTCACTCAAGTCAAAAGCTGTCGGTGCTCATCCCCACCCGCCCTGCATCCCAGAATTCCTCGACCAATCTGGTGAAGAAAGCACCAGTGCAGTACGGCCTCGAGTACCGAGAAAAGCTGGAAACCATGAAGAAGAAACCCACCATAGCAATGACCCAAATCACGTTTGGTGGGTTTGGCTAAACGTTGAACGGTTCGTGTAGCACTAGTGTACAAATACAATATTTTGAGTAGCTTCGCAGCTTTCGCTTCTAAGCTCACTGCAGTAATCTCTACTTCAGGAGTGCTGTAACTACTACTGTATTACAAACTTCAGTACTACTTCAAGGTAGTACATACCTGAAGTAGATAGGTACTGACGTGTCGTGTCGTTCGAATTGAATCGGTAGAGTTTGTGAAAAGTATCTTAAAGTGAGGATCACTGGACTGTACCTGTTCCTACCACAACTGTCAAACAGCACACGACACAGCTGCTTGTAAGCGAAATTGTTGCTACAAGTGGAGATTTGACCCTTCAATTTGTTTGAAGCTAGCCTTTTTACGCCGTCATTCACCAAGTTATGCTAACGCTAGCATAGCTGTCTCACCAGTTTGCTGCATCGTCTTTTCATCACGAAAAAATCCCATTGGATGGCTGGTGGTGCGCTCCCTGACATTCCTTTCGACTGTGGCCATCGTTGAAGTCGTTACGTGTGCTGTCGCTACTGGAGCTGGGGGTTGTCTACGTCCCGAAGAATGCCAAAGACTACAATTGAACACTGCAGCACATCAAGGTCAGCAGCGCTGACTGAAACGAGCCCATCCATTGTCGTGATTGCTGGAACACGCGCTGAGGTGTTGGAAGTCGTAAGGTTTGCCAATGTCTGACGCTTGAACCACGATCACGGCGTGAGTGATACACCACCGTCGGCCATCTTGTTTCACTTTCAGGAATGTGTGCTTGTCCCCGCATGTGTTTATAACAATTTCCAGGTAACATATGCCAAATGGCGTCGTGATTGTGCACACTTCAAATTTGCATTGCCAGGATGACACACGATTTATTTATCGAAAAGAAAGAGGTTTTACTCGCCATCCCACTGTTGGACTTGGAGGCGGATACTTCCACTTGTCCTGCATTTGTTCCAAGGGATGCATCATTATTGTCCGCACCTTGCCCAAGATCACTTTCGAACTGTGCCACAACAGCGACGACATCCACCTCCGACCACTTTGCAATAAATCACTTCGGAAGTCTTTCTACCCAGACTAAACAACATGAACTCATGGCCGTCCACACGTCAGCTGCGCGACGCCAAGCGTAGGCGACCGCAGGGCGATGCAGACAAAATTCGACAAGACTTGGTGTGCATTCGAGCTGACATGTCGTCCCTGCAAGCTCAAGTCGACGACCTTCAGTACACGCTGGCTATTTGGGTCAGGATGCGTCAAGCTGCCTCATACGGCCGTGTGAAGCGCCAACGCACATCCGCGACGATTGGTACCGCTACCCCCCCCAGCGACACAAGTTGTAAACATATATAAACGAGTTTTGGCTGTGGAAAGGGCTAACGATCGTAACGCAAGAAATGGATGGAATAAAAACCATTAGTTGTTCAATCAGTGCCAGTACAACCACGCCCATGGACAGGAACGCCGTTGCCCCTGGCGTCAGTTGGTTGTTTGACGGGGTAGTCATCATTTGACCTCTAGATAATGTCGGAGAAGGTATACCATCACCAGTGCGAGCCAAGGTCGCCTTGACGTTGACCCCGGCTTGGTAGCCTGCGTACATGATTAATGTGTACGTACGGGTTCACTGTGCCTTCCGACATTCGCGTTGGACGGTACCTACAACTTTGATCGACGCTTCAGCGCATCGGCTCATGTCGGTGACGTCGCCAGACGCTTAGCAGCTGCAGTGGTTCGTTCCGAACTTGTTCTTGGCCACCCATGCAGAAACGAATTCGCCCTTGGCAGGGGTCACTCGACTCGCCCCTTGGGACTCCAGCATTACCACCACCTTTTCTAGTACGCCCCCAACGCATCGCCATCCCCCGCCGAGCTAAAGTACAGGCCTTTGTCCATATCCGCATGCCGAGACATGTCGGGTTGTCGGGTGAAACCCCCCTTCTGTCGCGTGACTTGGGATTGTTCAAGTACACAGTCATCGCGAGCTGGTTCGGCGTGGGAAAGTCTGGTCACTTGAAACTGGTACTCCGAGCTGGTGTTGTACGCTACGAACACGGGGTCTGGGCCAGCCTAAGGCTCGCTTCGCTTCTGGCCAAACTACTGCGACAAGACCGCGGCGCTGGGGGCAGTATGCTTGAACGCCGTAACGGGATGGCTTAGCGTGAGCAGGACTTCGGCCATGCAAATAGGTGGTGCCCACGTTTTCGTTGACCATCCACGACGATTGGTTGGTGGCGACCCCTGGGAACTGCGATTTCCCACCCACGAGGCCCTGCTGTGACGTGGGACCAATGACACTTGGCGTCAAGGTCGCACTGGCTGACATGCTAGCGTCACCGAGCGTGTACATGACAGAAGCTGCTTTCCCATCGATGTGGCGAATGTGGCTGACCACGGCGCTTGTGACTAGTCTGTAGTTGGGACGATCCTTGGCCACCAAGCCGTGGAACGTCTTGGCCGGGCAGTGTCGCAGCCCATCCTTGATGGCTAACGGCGGGTGGACGTACGTTTTGGCCTTGGCATTGCGGCTTTCGTGTGTGGACACCGCTTCTTTGTAGCCGTTGGACCCGAGCGCCAGGGCATGGATGATGTACGCGTCTTCGAGGTACTGTACCGCTTGTTGTCGGTGGATGGAATGGCGGTAAATGTAAACAACTTTTGGATCTCGGTGAACCCGGCGTTGATATCTGCGACAGTGTTCGGCCAGCTCGTTTTCTATCTTCGCGAAAGAGTCGGGCGGCACAAAGTACAACATGCCATTCAAAGACGACGACCCGTCCACGCCTTTGCCAATATACATTGGCGATGGTGACGCAAACCATTCGAGGTGATATTAATACTGCACTATGCGCTGTATCGGGCGTAAGCGCCACGTCTGTATACTGGCCAGGGATGTCGAAGCCCGTGAGCCCCGTTCCAGCAGCTTCGGTGGACACATCCACCCCTCCACTGGCGGCCACCATCGCTATACCAGCTTCCAACACAACACAGTCACTGTCGAGTCCCGCGAAAGATATTTAGTGGCAGTGATGACGACGTCAAACGCGTCTTGCAGTTTGATGGCTCACCGAACACGCATGGTGACACAAACCATTCGAGGTGATATTAATACTGTACTATGCGCTGTATCGGGCGTAAGCGCCACGTCTGTGTACTGGCGGGGGATGTCGAAGCGCGTGAGCCCCGTTCCAGCAGCTTCGGTGGACACATCCACCCCTCCACTGGCGGCCACCATCGCTATACCAGCTTCCAACACAACACAGTCACTGTCGAGTCCCGCGAAAGATATTTAGTGGCAGTGATGACGACGTCAAACGCGTCTTGCAGTTTGATGGCTCACCGAACTCGCAAGTCACAGCCAGAGCCAGCGAGATCGAACGGTTCTTCGTTGGTTCATGTGGCTTTGTGCTATCCTTTGTGTTGGTCGTCAAGTTTTGGGTCGAGGAGGACACGAATTCATCGTCACATCCAAACCAAAATCTACATTGTATTGGAATTTCACGAATACGATTGAAAACTTCGACATCCATGTATAATAACGATGCTGCCTTTCTAAAAAAATATGAAATATTTAGGGAATCTAATTCCAGCTATTACATTGTATGCAATGGACACCTCCAACAGAATCTAGGGAGATTAATCGGAGAAATACATCAACTTTATGAAGTTATTCCAAAATGAGCCCCAATGAATCTATCCTTTGCATGTTAACATTATGTTGGTTCGACGCAGTCATACTCGGCCTTGAACGAAGAGGGATAACGTAAGCCCATTGATTTCTTACGGATTGCTATAGTGTATATGTACTACTACATAGTTATTGTTATACCTACTACTAGAGTAGTAGTGTAGTTGCCCCTGGTTTAGCTTGTCAGACTTCGTTGGTGTTCAATAATACCTCACTTTGCGCGTAAGTATGGTACAGACAACCGACGTGCCCGGAACTTTGGACTACACAGCACGTCCTTAAGGTATGTATGATCGTAGTAAGTCGAACCTCGTTCGTGGTAAAGTAGGCAGAGAAACTGTCGAGCAGCGATTGCTCTCGACGGTAGTCTCGTGGCGAGTGCGTGAGAATCACCACGCCCTGCATCGCACAGAGCTCGTATATCGTGACCAGAAGCTCTCCATGAAGGGCTTCAAATAGCAAGTCACTGCCGAGGATCACGTCGAACAGTCCAAACTCGTCTTTGATGGCCTGGATGTTCTCTTGGTTGCCCCACGCCAACGTGCGGACGGCCACATGGTGTCGACTGCAGAAAATTATATTTAGCTTGTATAAGTGAAAGATGTACAAACAAGGGAAGTACCTCGGAAGGAGATGCTGGTTTGCTTGGATGTTGCTTTGAACCAGTACGAGCGAGTCGGGGTCCTTGTCAGTGGCCACGACTGTGGCATTCGACATGGCCGCGGCGATGGAATTGATACCCGTGCCGGCACCGAGCTCCAGGACCTATGCGCATGCTTGAGTACCAAGGAGGACGGGAAGTAGAGAGACTTTTCGGCCGTGGAGCATCGACATGTAGGCGGGGAGCTTCATCATTTGCAGCATGGCTTCGGCGGCTTGCCAAACGGCGCTTCCCGTGCCTCCCATTCCTTGGTAGTTCTGAGTGATGACCAACGGACCAAAGTTGCGAACCTTGAGTCCAAGCAAGCCATTCCTACTCATGGCATCAGCGAACGTGACAGTGTCAGCATGGAGGGTCCCCACCCAGATTCCCGCTGGAGAGGCGCGGGAATATGTGGTCGATCCGATGCGCGCTCATCCTGCTGAATTGGAGCAAGGGATGGAATGACTTCCTCTGAATATGCAAACCGTACGCTGCGCGGTGGCGGTGGCGGCTGAGCAGGTGGCTGGCCTTGTTGCATATCGTCTTTGCATTTGTCGTGCATGGTTTGCGTTATACATATCCGGATGACCATCGAATTTCGAAGAAGCTCACTGTGTCCAACCCCTAACCCCGCAACAAATCTAAAATCGGCACATTATTGTCTCAACTACTGCTGACCCACAGCACAATGCGGCACTGGCTGTGAATGGATACTGTACCGGGAGACAATATCACACAGCACAATCCTGCATGCGCAGAAATCGCCGTCGCCATTCAATTCACAGGTAACGTTAACGTTACTACTGTACAGCACACCGTACTGTCAGATGATTCATGTCTATGGAGCTGCTGTGCCACGTCAGATTGTACCTTCCGCTTTGATTTTTTTAAACAGCTTACAATCTGAAGCAATAATGATTGTCTTTGTGTTTACTGTTGGTTTTTCGAACCCGAAAATAATTCATCACTGCGATACCGTCAGTCTTCAAAACGCCAAACCCTCAAAGGATTCATGACGAAGAACTGTTCGTTGTTTCGTTTTCTCTCCTGGAAAAGTATTGTGGATTCGGTACAAATGTCCAGACCCGTCAAATCGAATCTCGCCGACGGATAGTGCTTTTGATTGGCTATTTCAGTATATTCAGCCAATCACAATTTCCAGCTCGATGAAATGTTAATTAGCGAATTTGACTTTGGTCAAATTAAAGTAACTTACAGTGTTTATGTTACTGGTAATAATTGTTACTCGATCTATTGTCGATTTGATACAAATTTGGGGACGGGGTGCAATCGAATCGCGCCGACCAAACCGATCCACAATCGATCTGATTGGTTGAATTTCATTGGGATGGTTTTGATTGGCTAATAATTTTGAGCTCACCTGAGGTAGCCAATCAAATCGATTTAAATTCCAACGAGAAACCACGCCACAACACGAAATTTCACTCGAAAGCACAATACAAGTATATTTCACTTTTTCTTATTATGGTATAGCCAAATGCAGTGTAAACCAAAACCACACACATTCGAGCAGGGTTTACAGTAATTTAGATATTAATACGTGTAGCTAACCACTGGTGATGCAACTTAACCCCAGAAACATCGGTAACGTTACTGTTAGCAACTTCACACGGGGTCCGGGGGGTCCTGAGGTTTAACAGGGCTTCTGGTTCTTTTGATGGAAAATGATTCCATAAGCAATAGTGGAACTGATTCTTTGAATTATACATGTACCAGTATATACAGTCTGAATTATACTAGTATTACTGTATTGCCTTCGAAAGTTAACAGTAAGCTACTGTAACCTTATATTACAGTACTCGAAGTCAGCTGACCTTATATTACTTGAAGTAGCGCAAACCGGAACACATTCAAAAACCAGGATTTCAACGTTGAACTTCGACATCAAGTGCTGACAACAATCTATTGTGCTCAGTTACAAAAATTCTAGCACAGCCCCAGCCAAATGCGATATTACTGCGCTCGAATCTTGGTCTTCCTCTGTGTCGTCGCCACGCAATGCTGCCAGGCGGTCGACGTCAAGACAGTATGCCACGCATGTCCATGAGGACAGGTATCTTATGTGTCAATTGTAGCCGATGGGTTGGCGGGCTAACACTTGCGGGGGCAGTTTCATTTCCGAAAGCACAGAACTGGGTTGCGCTGTTGGTCGATGCGAATGCTGGGAGTACATTTCCGAGTGCGACATGAACTACATGTGTGAAGCGTACTTCACCAACGGCGTCAACGTGTGCCAAGGGCGTTGTCGCCTTTCGAGTATGTCGGTCGTCATGCTTTACGTCTCACGTCATGCCTGGTGCGTGGGTAGCTTTTGGCAAGGCATTGAACGTGTTTGGAATGCTGCTCATTTTTGGTTTCCCCGTTGGAATCTTCATCTTCCACGTGGTGAGCGTCCGCAGACAGAGTCAGATGGCCGAGTTGAGCCCAGCCAAAGATATCGATGAGGTGGCAGCGAAGGGGGACGGACTCGTAGAGCAGCAGCAGCAGCGACGCGTGGTCGACCGCTTGTTGCTTCGCAGGGACCAATGCATGAATCGAGGAGTCCATCTGTCGACCAATTCGATTGTGGACTCGTCGAAAGCGTTGTTTTCGCACATCCGGCTCGGGTCCAAGCAGAATTCGAGTAGCGCCATGCTCGCGGAAGACGGGGGAGGCTACATGCTGCATTCGGACGCCCCCACCACCATCCTAGGCAACAACTTTGTCATCCCCAAGGAAGGAGAGGCCGACGACCACGAAGAGTCCAAAGAAGATGTCCTTCGGCGGTACCTATCCCCTATGGAGTTGTCGGTCACGACGTTGCCATTGCTAGGTATTGTGACTTGACAAAGTTGAGCGCAGGGAGTACGAACGGCGCGTTTGTTGTGCGGATGAACTCGCAAACGTACTTGGAAACCATGCATCGAGGTACGACATCCATTTGGCCTCCAACACATCATCAACATCATGTTGTCATAGGCACATTGCCGCTTATCTTTTGCATCATGGGGGGCATCGTGGTGGCGTCGCTGCTTCTGGCTTTGTACCCACTGCAACTCACGTCAACGGTTGCGCGGCTCCAGCCAGGGGACTTGGCGTATTTCAATTGCTCTGTGAACGTGACAGAGTGTACAGCGTTCGAGTGGATCGTGTTGGACGCATCGAATCGCACGGCGCATCGGATGGCGTTCACGTCGGACCAGCTCCCGAAAGCACCCGATGTGTTGCGCATTCAAATGAACGTGGAAAACACTACCCAGAAACAAACCCCCGGGGCGTACGTCCTGGGCAACTACCGCCTCAGCGTGTGGGCCGAGGGCGAAGCCAAGCCGATCGTGTCGCAGTACGTGAATCAACTGGTCACGACCTGCTCGTGTGTGGACAACCAGTGCCGGGACGTGTCTTGCTCGACGATCCCACTGGTCGGGGTCAACCTCAAGAGGTTTAGCGCGTCGCTGTACGACCTGCGCAGCCAGCGATACATGATCGAATTGGACATGGACACGTCCGAGAGTACCCTCGTGAACTCGACGTTTCCCGCGTACTCATTGCACGTGGAGCTGCTGGAAAATCCGTACGAAATGACCGGCCTTGCGGTCCAGTGTATCTTGGGCTGCTTCAACATGGCGTACTTGGTTCATTTTGTCTACTCGATCAACGCTCATTACGCCCGACGACACCCCACGGCGGCGACGGACGTGCCGATTCCGCGGCGGTGGGTCTACCACTTGAGTTTGGAGCGCAAGTTGCTCGTGATGATCTTGCTGGCGCTGGCAATTGCAAACAATCCGTTTATGATCACACTCACGTTGCCGTTCTTCGGTCCTCCTGGCCCCGCCTACCTCGTCTTCCGAAGCGTGTGGGAGACTGTCGTGTACGTGACCGTGCTTGGCTCGCTCCTCACTATCATCGACTCCTACCGGAAAGACAGCAAGCTGTTCAAGAATGGCGCGTCCATTTCCATCGTGGGCACCCGCTTTGTTCTGTCCAAGCTATTTGTCGTACTGTTGCTCTTAGCGCTCCGCTTGTCGGTGATCCTCGCGATTGAGTCTAGCTTTGACGAGACGGTGAACATTGACCAGTGGATTTCCACGGTGGACTTGGCGCTGGTTGCTGTCGGCGTCACGGCGCTCGTGGGGGTCGTTGTGCACGTCCACCAAGTGCTCGACCGCCAACGCTACAGCGAAACACGATACCTGTCGCTCAACTTTCGGTACATCACCGTCGTGACGTACGCGATCCTGGCCGTGCTGCTCATCAATTTGGTCTTTTTCAGCGCGTACGCCCAAGTGTCAACGTACAAACCCACCGCCCTCCGCACGTCCACGACGGTTTCGGCAGTGTCGTTCTCCGTTCTCATTTGTCTGGCCGCGGTTGCGTTCTATCCCCCCCGCAAGCCGCAGCAAGGCCAAGTACCACGCGGTTACGTCATTCGTGAGAAGCGACAGTTTGCCACCACCCCGACGGGCCTCTCGCCTGTCGCCGGCAGGGGGACGACCCCTCCCCGGCCAACGGACCCCACCCCTCTGCGTCCCCGTGACGTGTTCTTCCGCCCCCCCGTGAACAACATCCCCCTCCGCTCCATGCCCGCGTTCCGGGCCAAGCCGATTTCGACGCCGCATCACATTTTCTGCATCGAAACGGCGTGTCTCATGTACAACTGCTCCCGTCACGCGTACGATCGCCCGGCGTTGTACCAACCGACCGACATGGACGACACTGGCGCCCCGCTCCACCCCCCGTCGGCGTACGTGAGCTCGGCGGCGCTGTTCCGCGATAACCTGCGGGAGGTCGCGCACATCCACGACCCGGAAACCGATACGAACTGCTTGGTGCTGCAGAGCGACCGGAAAATCATCTTTGCTTTCCGAGGCACGGCCAGCACGACCAACGTCAAGACGGACTTGAAATATGCACTGGAAGCCGTGCCGTGGACATCGTCGACGCCACATCCTCAGGGCGAGTCGGGCGCGGGGCACGCCCACAGCGGATTCTTCCATGCGTATATGTCTGTTCAGAAGCAACTACATGACGCGATGCGAACATTGTTGGAGGAATACAGCGTGCGCGGCTTGCCACCGGACACCCACGTGCAAATCTACTGCACCGGACACTCCCTCGGCGGTGCGTTGGCCACCCTGGCGTCGCTGGACTTCAAATTGACGTTTGGACACCGCGTGATCATGTACAATTTCGGCAGTCCCCGCGTCGGCACGCACAAATTTGCGCGGTTCTACAACCAAGAGATTCCGCTGGCGTTCCGACTCGTGAACGAAGGGGACATTGTCGTGGGCATGGTGCAAACCGTGTCCACCAACTGCTTTGGCCAATCCAAGAAGTTTTACAGACATGTGGGCACCGAAGTCGTGCTGGACGGACGCGTGAATGGCGACTTTATCGTACGCCCGACGTTCACGGAGAAGAACCTGATTGTCGAAGTCCGGCGCAAGGCGGCGCGGCATTTCTTGAACGGGTACAAGCGCAACTTGGACGCGATCATGGACAGTGTGCTGGAAACCGAAACGCGTTTGGGGGAACTGCATGTTCAGACCGAGCTCGAGAAAGCGCTCTATGGCGGACTAGACGGTCGCAATGCCGAGTGGCACCTCGCGGATAGTATTCCCGACCCATTACGTACCGGATGCAATCAAACGAACGAGCCAAGCGACGCTCAAGACGAGGACGAGTATTTTATCTAAAACAACTGGCGAATACAGTTTGCAATGTGGTTACATTTGAAAGAGCTACGACTCCAATTTATTGGCCGGCCCTATAGTCACCATTGCAATGTGGTGTTATTGTTGTAGTACCTCTACAGTATGACAAATCTGAACATGATATAAGCCAGCTTTAACTTGGCTCACAGGAACCGGCTGTGGGTTGACAACAGGTCGCTTTGGTTGGATGGATGTGGACGAGGGGCTTGACTGCTGCCTAAGGATCGTGTCGCATGCCCTCCAAGCAAATTGTTACCCTCGAGTCGAGTGTAACAATGTTGCCGCGCTCTTGCCACCCGAGCTCGTAGAGGGAGCCGCGCGCGGTGATGCCATCATGCTGGAGGCGCGTGACGAGCACGTGTTTTCGAGTAAAGAGGTTGCACCTGATCACTTCGCGGACGCTGGCTTCCACCTGCCAGCCAGCGGAGGCCGACTCCCCGTGTGACGAACAAACTCCCTGTAGCCCCAGCAAACCACGCCAAGCTCTTCGACGCTGTCGAACCGTTCGACGACTGACTGGTGTGTGGTGGTGGTGGTCGTCGTCGTCGTGGCACAGGCGTCCACGAGCTGCGTCGATTAAGCTTATTGCAGACTGCAATAAGCTTAATCGTTTTCATTGATGCCTTTCAAAATTCGGCGTTTTGAACTGCAAATTGCAGTTCTCCAACTCGCAAACTCGCAAAATTTTTGAAAGGCATCAAGAAGCAATTGGATTGGCTGGTTGGCCTGGCCAATAGATTGCCTGGATCGGATTGCCAACAAAAGCGTTGGTGGCCAAGTTGAAAATGGCGGCATCGATCATCCCAACACGCGATCCAACCGTGGGCGCTAGCGACGACGAGAATGATGCTGACGAGTGTGCCAGCGTGGAAGAAGAGCAAGAGACGTGGGAAGACTGGGAGGAAGATGGAGAAGCCATGAAGTGTTTCTTCTGCGACTTCCAACACAACCAACTCGCCCACGTGCTCGTCCATGCCAAGGACGACCACGGCTTCGATTTCCGCGCCCAAGCGGTGGCGTTGCGATTGCAGTTCTACAGCTTAGTGAAATTGATCAACTTTGCTCGGTCCAACTCGGCTGCCGACGTCTTGTCTCTGCTTTCGTCGCAGGGGGCATCTGTCTTGGACGATGAAGCGCTCCTCATTCCCGTGATCAAGGAGGACCCCATGTTCTGCAGTGTCATGGAGCTCTTCAACCAAGACGGCGGTGACGACGACAGCGATGACGATGACAATGCCAACGTCGAGTCGAAGCCTGCCGCGCCGTTGACGCTCGAGGAGGAAAATGCTGCGCTCAAGCTGGAACTTGAGCAATGCCGTGACAAAATGCGCAAGTACACGACGGTGGTACGCGCGTTTGCCGAAGACAAGCGCGACTACTCCAAGCCGCCCGAGGACAACGACACGTACTACTTTGACTCGTACTCGCAAGTGGGCATCCACAAGGAAATGATTACCGACCGCGTGCGCACGGACTCGTACCGCGATGCCATCCTCAACAACCGATCGGTGTTTGAGGGCAAGGTGGTGCTGGACGTCGGGTGCGGCACGGGCATCCTCAGCATGTTCGCGGCGCAGGCTGGCGCGGCCAAGGTGATTGGCATCGACTGCAGCGACATGGGGGTCACCGCCAAGCAGATCGTGGCGGCCAACGGGTTTGGCGACGTGATTGAAATCATCCGGGGCAAGGTCGAAGAGATCGAGTTGCCCGTGCAGCACGTGGACATTATCATTTCCGAGTGGATGGGCTACTGCTTGCTGTACGAGTCCATGCTGGACACGGTCTTATTTGCCCGCGACAAGTGGCTCGTGCCGGGGGGATTGCTATTTCCAGACAAGTCCACCATGCACTTGGTATGAACTGCTTCGCGTTGATGTTGTCCGTTACTCGGTACTATCGACTAGACTACTAGCTTAACATTGTGTGTTGTTGGGCGAGTGTAGCAAGCCGTGACCGACTCGACGGCGCGCCTAGCGTTCTGGGACGACGTGTACGGGTACAACATGCAAGCGGTTCGCGATCGCGTCGAGACCAAGGACGGGTTCGTCGAAGTCGTGCCGGCCTCGGACGTCCTCTCGACCCGCGCGCTGCTCAACACGATCGACATTCCCAGTGTCGACGTGGCTGCACTCGACTTTACCACGCCGTTCGAGCTCCACATCACCCGGGCGGACACGTGCTTTGGGTTTCTAAGCAGCTTTGACGTTGGCTTTGAGGACAAATTGACCAACCCGCTGTGGTTCTCCACGGGCGCTGAGGCCACCCCCACGCATTGGCAGCAGGTGTTCTTCCATGTCAAGCACCCGTTCGCGGTCGCTGTCGGCAGCGTCATCCGCGGCACGTGGGGCGTCCAGCGCAACTGGAAAAACCCGCGCTTCTTGGACATCGACTTGTCGTGGCGTGTCAACGACGACGAATTGCAACACGAAACGTTTTACATTCATTAATAATAGACAACAACACGGGGGGTGGTTTGCAACAACCCCTTCCTTCCTTCCTTCCTAGTACTAGTCGTCGTCCCAACACAAACAAGAGTCACGTACTCGACATCTCGTAGCTACCGCGCCTTACTCCTATGTACTACGTACTACCTAGTACAGCACAAGAGATCGTTCAAGCGTTTTGCTTTCGACTTGCCAGGTTGGTTGACTTCTTGAGTTGGCTCAAAAGCAGCTGGACGATCCCAATCATCGCCAAACATCGCGCGTGCTCGGGACTGGCCGGTGGCATCCACTGGACGCACTGGTGCAACAACGCATTCGTGGCCGTGAGGGACGGCGCCGCGTCTCGAATACCAACTTGGGGATCTATCGGTAAACCCCCAGCAAGCAATGTTGTTATATCATCACATGTAGCCATCATACATTTTTCAATCGCCTTTTTGTTACCTGGTCGCAATGGTGGGGCGGACGACCGAATCCACGAACACGTGTCGGCCGGAAGTTGACTCATGAGGACAGCAAACTCGGACCGAGATTGCATGCGACAGAGCACGAGGCCAAGGCGGGACCTCGCCACGCGGGCCAGGAGGGTGACCACGGTGGCGTCGACAACAACTTTGTCGAGCACTTCTTCGGCCAGGGCGTCCTGTCCGCCTTGGTACAGCCACACAGCGTGGGCTTGCTTGATCTGGTCGAGCTGTAGACGCAGCGATGACGCCACCGACATGCCCAGGCTAATGTCGTGACGGAGGAGGTCCATCGTAAACTAGATATGCACGCACGCACATCAATCCTTCGATCCGAATACATGGATCGCACCTGGAACCGAACGTTGTTCGCCGGCAACACTGCAGCCTCATTGAAACTCGGCGATTTGCAAAGCGATGTCAGGTCAAACAACGACGGCAGCGGAACGACCGCCGCGGGGTAGCTGGTGAACGCGATCAAGACAGACACGAGCTGATGGTGTTGGTCCACCGATTCTTGCGTGGGAGGCGAGCCAGGACGTGTCAGTTGTTGCATCAGTGCCGAATGAAGGGGTGACGACGGCCACTGCTTGCTGTACAGATTCAGCACATCGTTTGGAGTGCCCGTCCAGACAACTGGAGCCAGCAACTGGTCAAGGTCGAGTGCTTCGTCCGGGCTAAATCTCGCGGAGGGGTCGACGCTGTCGTCGTCGTCGGCATGGCGGTCTGTTGGCGGCGCCAACCGCGTTGTGTTGACGGCAAATTTAATCGATTCGGAGAGCACTTGGAGCAACTGCTGGGCCAGATGGAGAAATTCGCCAGCAATCGACGGATCCAGCCCTTTACTCGACCGAGCGCCCGTGCTCGCTTGGAGCCAGAAGTCCATGATCGAAGCCACTTGCTCTCGAACGTACGTGTCCCATAGCAACACAATCAGCGCCGTCTTGAGCGGGGCATCGCCGCCATCCAGACGGTCGACTTCTTGGATCGCAAGACCCAACAACGACATGCGCGATCGGTCGTTGTTCCACGCCATGCACAGCATCTATATGTTCCCATACATGCGTTAGTGATTTGATTACCCGGAACTCGCTTAGAAATGAGCGTATTTATTACCAATGCACGGAACGCCGCGATTGAGTCGGGATGGTCGAGTTGGCGGAACGACGTCAAGACAGACTTGACAGCGTGAGATTTGGATGAATACGTCCACGTTTGAATCCAGCTGTCGTGTGCGTCATAGGGAATCTCTGGGTCGCCCTATCCGACTCCTAATTGTGAGCGTCCTGCTTTGACCACGTACTTGGAACGTCATATTGAAGTATACATACCGTGCTGCTGTCCTTGGGAGTATTCAGATGCACAATCGCCACGAATTTCATGAGCTCGTCCGACGCTTCGATCGCGTTCTACACGAGTATTTGTGGGCAAGAACAAAGTGCCTACGTCATGTCTCGTACCACGGTCAATTTGCCAGGTACTTTGAGCAGACAAGAAAAGTACAGGCATTGGCTCAGACATTGCTGCAGCACGCGCCACCGCAGCCCCGCGCCCATGGCACTCACTTGGCCCAGCGTGCTGTCTTGCAATGCATTTGCGTGATGCGCCAGTCCATATGCGACGTGCTCACACAGTACAAATGCATGGAGAAGCAGCGGTGTGCTTCGACAACGGTCGTACACGGCCTGCAGACTTGGGGACAGCGCTACAATCAAACAACCCATGTTCACATGGACTCGATACAATAGTTGTGTACCGGGTAGTGTGAACGACGCTTCGTCTATCGAGTGAGGAAACGAGCACGAGAGAAGCCACGGCTGCAGCCACCGTTGCAGGCACGAGCTGGCGTTCGTCGCGGTCATTCCAAGCAACATGTCTTCCGGGAGTGCGAAATACCACTCCAAAAACTGCGACGTGTACTGGAGCGTGTCTTGGTCCAGCAGGAGAGTTTGGTGGATCTCTTGCACATGCTATATATAATTGCGTCAGTGCTTCACAAAGCCATCGACAACGACGAGGCTGGGATACCTGCACTGCAAACACGGCTCCGTGGAGAGGGGCAAAGAGAAACGATACGAACGCTGCATGCGTGGTAGCGTCCGTGGCACTTCGTAGCACGGGTGACTTGAGCATGGCGTACAGCTGCCGAACGCACTCGTCAAATGTCAGCACGTTGTTGCGGTGAGTCTTGTGCAAAAGCAGCCCCAACGACAACTCGACTTCCGGACTCATGGGCTCTGACCACGGGAACGCAAAGCAATCGATGAATTGCAGACAATTCAAAGGCGACGACGTTGTTTGGGTCGTGCAAAACGAATACACGCTTCGCCATTTGGTCATGCGGGTCAATAGCGAGTCGATGTCGTCGTCGAACAAGGCAGCGGCGGTGGCGGCGAATGGAGTGGTCGTGACTTCCTACAATGTCTCACACACATAGCCATCGATCGGTTTGGGCTTGCTAGATCCAGTCGCTTGCAACTCACAAACCTGCTGTAGGTCCACAAACCCGCGCACGAGCCTTGTCTTGTATTCCAAATTGAACAGAAAGACCAAGTCGGCAAAGTCCGCTTGGGTTTTCCCCCAATTCCTTGCGTTCGTGGCCACCTAAACCAATGTTTCTCGTTGGGGGTATGGATTGCTGTCTTGTCGTACGTACCTCGAGCAAAATCTTGAGCGCGTCTCGGTGGAAGGACGCCGGGAGCGGTCCCATCTTTGGCTCGTGCAGCGCGTCCAAAACAGTCTCGACGCCTTCGATCGTAGTCAGCCCTTTCATTTGATCGAGCAGAGCGGTCGTCAACGCTGGCCTGATCAAGCATTTCCCGAGCCCGTCCACCAACTGATGCACGACAAACGACTCGTGTTCGCCCTTGGCCTACACACAAAACGTCAACCAACGGTCGTTCGTCGTCTTAGTTGTCGTACATTACCTTGGACAAGTACTGCACTTCCGTCGTGAGGCTGCAACTGTCTAGCTCCACTTGGTACAACGCACTCTCGCCGCTTGATTGCTCCCACACCACCACGCACGTGGCAAACTCGGCTGCCATACATGTATACAACTTTAGCTTGGCATGGGCTCCTAGCGGAAGGCAGAGCACCCTTGGACCATGGCGAGCCCGCCACATTTCGACAAGGCCGCGTCTCCCCGAATAAAACACCATATATAGCCCGTCGTTGTGTGTCATCCATCCGCATTGCGCGTCGCGGTACCTAAACCCGACCATGGAGAACAGGGCCATACATATGATGGATGGATGGTACCCTTTCCACAGACGAATGAGCAGCATTGACGTGGTATCGATCAACAGAATGCGACCCAATGTGTCTGGCACGAGCGCCAGTTTTCCATTTGGAGACACGTTGAGGTCCCGCGCGCGGCGGCGATGACTGTCGGGCAGTCCCAAAGCCACATGGATCCCCAAGTCGGACGGAACGGCGTCGACTGTGTCGTTGTCCCTATCTTGAGGCCACCCCCAGTTCTTCGCCAGAGACCAAACGGCGCCGGCGGCACGCGTAGCCACGGCACTGGCCAAGTGTGCAATGCGGAACAAGGACGTGCCTTCATGACCTTGAACACATTGACGAGAGGATGAATGTGGTATGGTGATCGCAATTGGGTACCTGCGTGGTAGAATCCCACGACGGGGTCGCACCCTACAGCGACAAACGATTGGAGGCCAGCCCGTGGTTGCGACTGGAAGAGCGAGGCTGCGCGGGTGACGGCACAGGGAAGGATGCCGATGATATCACGTTGGCCGTTTAGACTGTATTTTCGCCAGTATCGCCTTGGCGACGTGGGGTCCGCCAGCTCCCACTCGATCACCACCAGCGTCATGTCCGCAAAGAGCACGTACAACTCGCGACAGCTTGGTTTGGCGGAATGGAAGTTCCACTCGAGCCGGGCCACAGCGCCGCGGTGACATTGCAGCGCAAACAGTTCGTAACCAGCTCGGTTGTAGACACACACATCGCCATTGGAATAGCCCAGTGCCACATCGTACGTGTTGTCGGCCGTCGGTACCGTGTGAAAGCGACCCGCGGTGGGCTTGGTCGTCGAAGTTTCGTCGTCTTGGAGCTGGGCCAATGCCAAAGCAGGGAGAAGGAGGACTTTTGCGACCCCCTTCGGCCCTATTACCCATTTCTTGTTTGCGGCTTCATCATACGCGCATGCCCATAAGTCGGGAGCTACATCGAAGATGGTGCTGACCGAACATCCATACGACCCAAGTTCCCGCATCGATAACGTGCGCAGGGATCGCACAGGCGTATTTTTAATCGGTTATTAAATAGGTTTTATTTAATAAACCTACCAACTGTGAAATCTACCTTGTATTTTTTGTCTTTTACGCTTGGGAGGAGTTTAAAATTCTAAAGTGTAGGTCTTTATTGACAAAAAAGATAAAACCTAGTGGGTCGCGTGTTCCAAAACTTACTGAAACTTAGGTTTATTCTATCCATGACAATTATTGGGCGAAGAATTAAAATTATCCGGATTGTTAAGAGCTGCAAGTTTCAATGAGATTCGTACGGATACTATACGGATTAGAGCGAGACAATTAGACCCAAACCAATCAGCGACGAGAAAATAAACTTGAAGAATGAATGTATCATGTGGCGAATAGTAGATTGGAAATCCGGATACTGCCACTTCACAGCTGTCAGTTGAAATATGCTGCAGTTCGCGTCAGAGTTGAGCTACTTGGATCGCCACCTCACCTATGCTAAAGAACGAATCTTCTCCTTTCCGAACGCAGGCCAAGTCGTTATTGTGCAGGACATCTCGGACGTCGGAGGAACGGTACTGTAGCCTCACCACCAACCTCATGCAAACATAACGCGCTTGATGGAATGCAGGTTTGGGACGCCAGCATTGTCTTGAGCCACCACTTGGATAGCTTAGGAAGCGCGTACGTGTGACGCCTTGATCGAGGACACTTTGTTCGATGATGCATGTTTAGCGTGCTGCAAGGCAAGTCTCTTATTGAGCTTGGTGCTGGCACGGCCTTACCAAGTAATGATTGAACTCCATACCTACTACCGTTCATTTCAATGCTGATGAATGTTGTAGGTATCGTAGCGTCACGATTGGGTATGCATACGGTGGCCACAGACATGATCCACGTGCTACCATACTCGGAAGCTGCTATCCGCTCCAACTGCGACGACCTCGTTCAAACGGGGGCCATCCGATGGCAAGAGTTGCTTTGGGGTGCGGCTGGTGTTGGCCTGAGTGCGCTCAAGACGGCTTCCAAGCAGCACGACTACATTGTCGGGGCTGACATCGTGTACAATGTCGAATTCTTCGACGATCTCCTTGAGACGTTGTTGGAACTGTGCCCCGCCTGTGACAAGGATCAACCGACGGTGCTTGTGTGCTTTGAACAACGGCGGCGGGACCTCACGTCGCTTTGGGCAACGATGGAATTGCATTTCCACGTCGAATTGGTGACCTCGTCCATGCTGGATGCATGTAGACGGGACGTGAATGTGTTTTTGTATCAATTGCATCGAAAATCACGCGATAATACGGGTCGATAAGTGCGAAAAATGAAGTTTATTCGACCAAATATGGCTTAAATTGATGTCATACGAATCGGACTCTCCAAACCCACGAAAGGACGCTGATATCAATCATATTTTGCTTTCGAGTGAAATTTCGTGTTGTGGCGTGGTTTCTCGTTGGAATTTAAATCGATTTGATTGGCTACCTCAGAAGAGCTAAAAAAAATTAGCCAATCAAAACCTTCACAATGAAATTCAACCAATCAGATCGATTGTGGATTTGTGGATAGTGGATTTGTGGATCGGTTTGGTCGGCGCTATTCGATTGCACCCCGTCCCCAAATTTGTATCAAATCGACAATACGCAGAGATACTTGTTTTCTGCGCCAGGTAAGCTTACTGACTGTCAAAGACCAATACAGTGTGAATAAATGAGTACTGTTTATCCTTTATATTTTGAATAAATGATTGAATAAATGATTGATTTAGAAATCGAGGACTTGGAAATAATTTTAATTTGGTTTGTTTTTGGGGTACCCCCAAAGTGAAATTTGCATGGGGGGTCAAACTTTTCAGCAGACACAAAAGACCACAGAATCAAAGGAAACAACATGAGTTCGCTAGCGGCGTCGTTCCTGGAGGACTTGGATGAACTGAGTGGTAGCAGTGAAGAAGAAGAAGAGGAACTAAATCAAAACGAAGTTGACGACGATGTGGACATGGACGGGGAGGATGAAGAAGCCGCCGCTGCGTCGAAAGCGAAGCAACTGGATCTGGATGCGTTGCTCAAGGCAGCGGCAAACTCTGGGGCGGGGCTCGCTGCCGTCGCACATTTGCGTCGGTCAGAGTCGTACAAGCGACATTTGGAATCGGTGAACATGTACATGCAGAAGGAAGCAACCGCAGACACGTTGACGCAGGACGCTCCGGAGTACAAGCTCGTCGTGGCATCCAACGACCTCATGGTCAAGTTGGACGACGAGATTATTGCAGTCCACCGGTTTCTTGTGGAGATGTACGCGAAGAAGTTTCCTGAACTCGAGTCCCTCGTTCCTGGGCCGCTGGACTACGCACGCGTCGTACAGCGCATCGGGAATGAAATGGACTTGACCCTCGTGGATCTGTCGTCGCTCCTGCCCAGCGCCACCGTCATGGGGGTGTCTGTGACAGGGTCCACGACTTCCGGAAAACCCCTTTCTCCAGCCGACCTTGCCATCGTCGAAGAAACGTGCACCGAGCTGCTCGAACTCGACAGCGACAAGCTGCTGGTGCTTCGTTTTGTCGAGAACCGGATGAACTTTTTAGCCCCGAACCTGTCTGCGCTGCTGGGTACGCGCATCACGGCGCAGCTGGTGGGGTTGGCGGGCGGCGTGGACGAGCTCAGCCGTATTCCTTCGTGCAACATTCAAGTGCTGGGCCAGCGCAAGCAAGTGCTGTCGGGGTACTCGTCCATGTCCACGCTCAAGCACACGGGCATCATTTTCGGCTGCGACCTGATCCAGACCATCCCCCAAGACCTCCGTCGCAAAGCCAACCGCGTCGTAGCCGGCAAAGTCGCGCTCGCAGCGCGCGTCGACTCACAGCCGCACCGAACCGCGACCGTCGGCCATCACTTTTACACGGAGTTGCAAGACAAGTTTGAAAAGTGGCAGCAGCCACAGAAGGCCAAGACCAAGAAAGCGCTCCCTCGTCCAGACGAGAAACCCCGGCGGAAGCGCGGCGGCAAGCGGTACCGCAAGGTGAAAGAGCGCACACAACTCACAGACGTCCGCCGCGAGTGGAACCGACAAACGTTTGCCGCATCCGGCGAGGAGTACGGGGACAACGCGATGGGCATCACCGTCGGCCGTCTGGGTGCCGAGGGCTCGGGCCAGCTGCGCGTGATCAAGAAGGCGCAGAAGCAGACGCTGCTCAAGCTCAAGGCGGCCAGCTACGCGTCCCAGAAGAACCACCAGCAGTCGGGGCTGGCCACGTCGCTGGCGTTCACGCCCGTGCAAGGGATTGAGCTCATGAACCCATCGGCGGCGGCTGAACGGGTCCGCGAAGCCAACAAAAAGTACTTCAACGCACAGAATGGATTCATGTCCACGATTAAAAAGAATTGAGAGGATACGCTTCACATTGAAACAAAGGTATACTTAAACTAGTCTGGACGGTGTTGACGCTCTATCGCTTCAGTGCCTTTCGTCGGATGGTGTTGGTGCATAGTACTGGTATACGTTATGCCGCAAATACGCTAACTGATACATGAGTTATTCACCATCGAATGTAGGATACTAGTTATTGCCATGATGGTCTCATGTTATATTGCTCATCGACTTCAGATTTTTGGAAAATTGTCTACTGTAAGTACAATTTAGGACACTTAAAAACGATACCTCAATCAGGAATTATGGAAAAACATAAAAAGTTGTACAGTATTGTGAATTCGCTTTACATTTTACACTTCCAAAATTCGCCTGGTTTGACTAATCAACATTGAATCACGCTGGAGTTCAGATTGGTTGAATATACTTGTCCTTTCTGCAAGAGCCAATCAAATCCACTCAAAATTGGATTAACCAATAGCGTCGATTCGTGACTCGATTATTCGACGGGGTCTGGAAATTGGTACTGAATCCACAATATTGCAACAATTGGCACTTTACGTTTCTACATCAACCCACCGACCGATCATGGTTGTTGGTTTTGAAAGGCAAAGTGTTTTTGACATACTAGTCCGACGTCCGTATCATCCTTGGCCATATATTGTGGGTCTAAAAGTAGGGCTGGTACTTTTGCTCGTAAATAAAGCAATACCGAGGGACGTTGCGGGTGTGGTCTGGTCGTGTGACGCGATGCAGCGTGCCTGGCACCCGTCCTTCGGTGACCCGGGTCAACGCCTTGCCGCAGAACAGCACCCACTCCTTGTGGGGCACGCACACCGTTTCGGCCGACAGCCACTCGTTGGCATGCGGGTCGAACACGTCCAGGCCGGCCACGTCCGTCACAGGCTCGATCACATACAAGCTCGGGTCGATGTGTTCGTACACGTTTTCGTCGTTGGACTGCCCCGTGCCGACTTGGTTGGGGTAGTGCAAGCCATAGCACACCGACAAATCTTCGCCCGCCGCCTGGTGCACGCGCGCCGTGTCCGCGTTGTAGCCGAGGGTCAAGGACAAGCTCTTGTCGCAAATGGTTTGGCATACCTTGAGCTACAATGTGTCAGTTGTAAGATATGGTGTTCGTCGTTTAGGGTCGTACGAGAGCCAAGTACTTCGCTTCAAAGTCAGCGCTAGGCCATTGCATGCGCGAGAGATCACCGGTATGCGCGCGGAAGCATTCGCGGACGTGGGTGCTTTCGTAGCCAGCATACCACATGGGCGTTTTGTTTTCGTTCCTGTAAATGTACTTGCTCGTGCACGTGTCTTTGGCCGCGCGGTCCTGTTCAAAGAAGGCTTGCATGGCGACACGCAAGTCCGTGTACAATGCTTCCACAGCGTCGCCGAGGTCTGTCAAGACTACAAACGTGTGCCGCTCCATGAGCTCGTTGAACCGTGCTTTGTTTTTCCAGGTCAAGTCCTTCAGCTTCATGCGTGGCCCAGATTGCGCTGGCGGCGACTCGACGCTCTTGTCGGCGGCAGGACTAGAGTTTACACGCCCGGCTTCTCCATGCTCCAAGTAGTAGTACTGGAACGCTGGCGGCAGTTGATCAAGCGGCAGCAACTCTGGCATGACAGTGTCGACGCTTTTATTTGCGCGCTTGTCACCTGCGATTCGATTCCCTGTGGGAACTTATATAGTATCCGGATATTAAATGGCACAGGTTGGTCATTATGCGAGTTCAACTTGGCCACCAACGAAAACAGCAAAACCCTAGCAACATGATGCATCATCGGTGCTTGCAAGTGTGGCGAATCTTTGAGCGGCGGCAACCACTGCCGCGGGGTGGACGAGGCCTCCTGAAGCGGTCGTTTGCCAAGAAAGCAATGCGAGACCCTCAGCCTGTGAATCTCGACGACGACGACGATGACCTGGATGACGACGACGAGGATTTCGACGAAGACGAGTACGACTTCGACGATGGCGACGTGGATTTTGACTTGGAAGACCAGTTGGAAAGCATGGAGGACTTTGACGAGGCCATGGGAGATAACGCCAATGTAAAGGAAGAGGTCAAGAGGAAGGTGAGCGTCCGTCGCGCCAAGCACTCGAAGCGCAAGTTCGTCGACCGCATCCGCATTCGTGTCAAGGGCGGCATGGGCGGGAATGGATGCACCAGTTTCGTGAGTACGTTTTCATGTCCCATGGTGCGCAAATCGTGCCATCTCTTCTTGGCAATGGCGACAACTTATCTACGTCGTGCCAATAGCCGAAGGTCCAGGCCAAAAGCGACCCAACGGCGGTCATGGCGGTGCCGGCGGCGACGTGATCATTCGAGTGGATCCTCGACTGCAAAACCTGTACAAGCCAACACATCATTTCAACGGCGGGGATGGCTGGAACGGCATGGGTATGTATTTCCTCAGTCGTCACCAATGTCGTCACCTTGATTGAACCTTTGTTATATGACATGCAGCTAACGACCGAGCGGGGCGTCGCGGTGGTGACGTTATCGTGACGGTGCCACCAGGCACAATTGTCAAGCAAGTTGACCGAGTACGTATCTTTCTAACTTCGAAGTAGTTTGCAGTATCGCATATATTCACTGGCCTCTAGTTTGAGCGATGGAACGAAGACCTGGACGACTACGAGACTGTGGATCGGTTGGAAAACTTGGTCGATTTGGATCAATCGAACGCCGAATTCATGGCGGCGGTGGGGGGCAAGCCAGGGCTGGGCAGTCGCATCTTGGCTGGCAAAACGACCAAGTTTGGCGGCCTGCGCAAAGTCATGGTACTCCTTGTTCACATTGCACTTGTCTGTGGTTTTACGATATACGATGGTAGCCCGAGGGCAAGAACATGGGGCTGCTCGGCACGTCCAACTACCTCGAGTTGGAACTCAAAACGATCGCCGATGTTGGGTTGGTGGGGTACCCCAACGCTGGCAAGTCGACGCTGCTGCGCGCGCTGTCGAAAGCAACGCCCGAAGTCGCGCCATACCCGTTTACGACGTTGCATCCAAATGTTGGCGTGGTGGAGTTTCCCGTACGTGTCAATATACAAAGTCGGACGACAGGCAATATGGAGGGGATGATCTCATAACATGGAGGATGTATAGGATACGTACCGCTATAGCGTGGCAGATCTGCCGGGGCTGATCGAAGGAGCCCATCGCAACGTCGGGCTAGGGCATTCATTTCTGAGACACATTGAACGCACCAAAGTAAGGCCAAGTAGCTCGAGGAGTACGCTCCTAACGTGTGTGTAGGTGTTGCTGTATGTACTGGACACTGCAGGCTCGGAAGGGCGAGATCCGGTGGACGATTTTCACCACTTGCAGAATGAACTCGAGTTGTACGCACCCAATATTACGTCTCGCCCGTCGCTGATTGCCGCCAACAAGATGGACGCGCCAGGTTGGTTGGTTTGTTGACTTTATGGGGGGGCTCATTGGATATGGACAGGGGCCGATGTGAACATTGGGCGACTGAAGAAAGTGACTGGGTTGCCGATCGTGCCGTTGAGGTATAACCGATGATATGGGACGGAATCGCAAGCTAATGCGATGCTATATAGTGCGCTGCACAAGGTGGACATAAAGATTTTGGCGTCGTCAGTGCGGTGGATGATTGAAAACTACAAGTCGATCGAGGACTAGCGTGTACTTTAACCGAGATAACGGATTATCAATACTCCTTCCTTACCACAACAGTCGCCTTGTAGTCGGTGCGAGGATTCAGCTCGCAGATGCCAGCAGTATGATTGCCACGTCAAAGTGTTGGATCTTCAGGGCTCTGATTGGTTAAAATCAAGTCGAATTAATCGATATGATTGGTCACGTGGAATGCAAATCTAGATCCTACCAATGGCATCGATTCAAATCAACAGATGCCAGTTCTACTACGACCGAACACTCACCAATTCGTTCGGCCAACATGATGCGAACGTTCATGAGCCATCCGACTCTAAGTGCCAACTGGAGCGGCGAGTACGAGGAAAAGTCGGCGGAATGGTTTGAGCTGTTCCTGGACTTGATCATCGTGGCTGCGTGCTCGAATGTCACGGAGAAGCTCAAGGAGGACCTCACGCTCAGCGGTCTCGCCTACTTTGTCCTCGTCACCAGCATGTACACGAGCAGCTGGACGCTGTACACGAGTTTCCACGCCCGCTTCAACGAAAAGTCCCTTCTGCACTACCTCTGGCTGTACATTTGGCTGGCGGGGCTCGGAGGGATGGTGTTGGCAGGCGAGCCGAGCAATGCGTTTACGATTGGACTCGTACTCGTGCGCATCGCTCAGCTGCTTATGTACACCACGGTGTACATGCTGCTTCCCCAGAGCCGCTGCACGACCAAGGTGGACATGATATTCGTCCTGTCCAGTGTCTTTGCCCTCGGCAGCACGTTTGTGTTGTCGGAAGCGTGGACCATTGTGGTTTATGCGATCGTACTGGTGTGGGAGTGCATTTTCCGGTTCGTAGCGGCCGCCCAAGGATGGCTGCAGACCAAGGACTCGGTCCGCATCCCGTTGAACATTGACCATTTCAACGAACGCGTGGGGTGTATGGTCATGGTCGCGCTGGGCGAAGCTGTGGTCAGCACGATCATCAACTTCAATGACCCGTCGCTGCTGACCACCCGTTTCTTCTTCATGATGCAACTGGGATTGCTCGTGATATTCACCATGGCCATGTTTTACTTTGCAATTCGACCGCCCCGCGCGTTTCACGCCATGCGCCGCTCCGTGTACGCTGGCATTGGCTTTTCATGGCTCCACTTGTGCTTGTACCCGACGTTGTTGGTCATCGGAGTGAGTCTGAAGCTCATCACAGACGCCGTCACGACTGACGAATCGTTGGAGGCGACCCGCGTGTGGTGGCTCTTTGGCTCTATTTCCGCAGCCTTGACCGTCATGCTGTGCATTCGACTCGTGCATTTTGGCGGTCGCCACCCAGCCCCGACGGACCCGGACTGCGTCAAGCGGATCAAGCACGTGTGGTGGGCTGTCGTAGGCGCGGCGCCGTTGGTGTCGCTTGTCCTAGGTGGTGCGCTTCAAGTTTTATCTGGTGATTTCGTGGACCCGATCCATGCACTGATCGTCGCGGCCAGTTTTAACGTCACGTTTGTCGTGTTGGAAACGGCCGTGATGAACAAACTGGTGCAGCTGGGCCACGACCAACTCAAAAACGAAGTGCACACTCCCCTTATCAAGAAAGTGTCGTCGCATTAAGCCCGCAAAACTCTTTGTAACCAAGGAAGCATGTAGTGCATTGTCAAGGCAGGTTTGCACCTACGCTGGCACGAATTAACCTACTCTGTACTAGTACTTCGAAGTAGTAGGTAGCAACCCAGTCGTAGCCATGCGGTTTATAAGTCTGGTAGGACACAGACATTGTACTTCGTATACCGTGTCTGTGTGTTCATTGCATTTTACAAAGCAATACTGGTATGACGACCATAGTACAATAAGCAAGCATTAATGTGATGATTTTTATTAGGACGAAATTTGACCCTTCAAGATCGCCAGTTGGACTCTGAAACAGCCAATCAAAATCCACAATTTATTTGCACAGTGATTGGTCCATTGAAGTCGCTACAATAATGTCCGAGGTGGTAGGCGACGATGCTACAGGGGACTTGACCAACTTGGGGCTCTATCGTCATTTGCGGGACGACAAGGCCATCACGAAATCCGTGCTCATCATTGGTGATGGCAACTTCTCGTATGCCTGTGCGTTTGTGCGAAGTGTTATGACGTACGACCCGAGTGGTGACGTCCTTCAGCGGCTGCACATTCGAGCAACTTCGCTCGACACACACGTCGAACTGCTGCGCATGTATCCTGGAGCCGCAGCCCACGTCGACGAGCTTAAGCGCCATGACAATGTGCGTGTGTTGCACGGCATCAACGGCACCAAGCTGGACGAGTACAAGGATACGTTTGGTATTGCATCGTTTGACGTGATCGTGTTCAACTTTCCGCACTACGCAGAAGGCGGAAACAAGCGCAACAAGATCAACAAGCACCGCCAACTGCTGAGCCAATTCTTCCACAGTTGCAACTCCGTCTTGGCGAGCGACGGCCAAGTGTGGGTCACGTTGTGTGCTGGGCAAGGTGGCACCCCCGCAGAAACAATTGTTCGACCTGTGGGAGACACATGGCAGGTGGCTCAATGCGCTGCGTCGTCGGCGTTGACTCTTCTCAACGTTCATGCTGTGCCGACGGACGCCTTGTTCAAGCTAGGATACAACAGCGTGGGCCATCGATTACAAGAGAAAGCGTTCCGAACCCACGCCAGTTTGACGCATGTCTTTTGCAGGGAATCACTGGGAAAGGTGGCGTGCCATCCTCTTACGTGGACACGCGACATTAGCTTTTGGATCTCGGACACCTTTGCCGAAGACAAATTGGCGCCCGTGATCGAAGGCGTGTATGGCCCCAAGGTGAATGTGTTCCTGGAAAACATTGATGAGTACACAGACGACCAAGGACGACGAGCCAAAGGGTATCGCCTCACGCTGTCGTCCAGAACGATGGCATTGTCCAAAGAGTATGTGAACGCCAAGACAGACGAAGTTACCGACATCTTGGACAGTCACGACTGGTCATGCAGTGCAGAATCGATCGTCGGTCAACCTCAAGCATGAGCCAACAACTACTAGCATTTCACTCTACCAGGTTGATGTGCAGTTGTCGATAGCTAGTTGTAACTAACGTAGCCAGACAGCCAGCCTTCATCTGAAGCCAGCTATCGTTGGCAACCGCAATACGTAAAGCTCCTTGCAATCCCTTGATGACTAAACTGACAGTACAATACTAGTGCAACAATGCGATGAATATTAATTATACTGTGCAAAATGACGCACACTTGGAGGGTTGAACCGTCATTCTGTCGTCATTCTGTTCAACCTCAATGGCGATGTCAAAGTGTGGAAAGGGAAGAGACGAGGTCGGCCCAATGTTTCTGCATCCCGTCAATCGTGAATTTCATCATGCGCTTCCGCGTCACGCTCTCGTGCCTCGTGCTTCCCATGCTTGTGCTTGGTGGCCATGGACCTGCTTCCATCAATGTCGTGTCGCTGCCGACGATAACAACACCAACGAACGAGTTGACATCAACGCCGGGTGCGTCACCACCCCCACCATCAAGTAAACCGTCGATATCGATTCCAAGCGACTGGACTCATGCGCGACCATCCCCGAATAACGCCACGGCCACCACGTCGACAATTGGCAGCATGCGTACGACCCCCCTTGAAACCATCGTGTTCCCTGCAACATCAGCCACTCCGCCACCGTTGACGAGCGAGTCCGAGGAACCCACAACGTTGGACCGCACAAAACCGCCGATTCCACTTGACCAAGGCTCCCCTGACATTGGTGTCATGAACAACCTCTTGCCTGCCTCCGTTGCGTTTGTCGGGATGACCTTGTGCCTAGTGGTGGTCGTATATTTCCATCGCAAGCGACGAATGCGCGACGACCAGACCCGGCAGCCATGGCTAGATTCGCCGTCGGGCTCCCCTACTATGACTGTCAAGCACACCGACTCACCCTCCGCCACGTCCATCGCCCCCTATCACCCCAGCCTGGACACGCGCAACCTTTGCAACGACGATGAGTCGTCGTGCGTTGTTGACCCATGGTTTGAAAGTGGGATCTCGTCTCTAGCGAGCATGGACGTTGATACAACCCGGTTCATGGAAATGGTGCACGTGAAAGTGCATGTGCATGCGCTAAGCAACGCGTGAACTAGCCAACTGTACCGATACTGTCGGTAGCTATAAACCACCTTCAAAGACTGCTGGAGGATTACATATTCATGCAGAACACTGTAGTCACCCATCCATCGAAATACTGGATGTGCGTCATGCTCGCCCATGGATCAACTAAGTTTCTGTAACGTAATTAGAGTTCCAAGAGACATATTTTCGAGTCACTGAAATGGAAGCAGCTCGATCGATCGACACTGAGGAATGGCTTCGACTTCTGAAAACTGATACTATTTAATACTACAGTCAAGAAGAGTTCCAGGAAGCACTGAAACATCGATTTTCACAGTATCTATCATGTCCTAATGTCCCGGCTTTTCCAAGCAGAAACACCTCAAAAGTAGGGGACACTTTAAGGGACAAATTTTAAGCTTGATTTTAGTATTGATCCTTGCATATTGTTTTAGTGGTTAGGGTATAATATTCTGCCAGGTGCATATGCAACCCCAACAGGTTATGTATTTATAGAGAGAATTGGTTAATTGATTTATATAAAAACACATGGGATCAAGGAGAACATTTATTTAAAGAGGTATTTCAACACAAATTTCAAGGTTTCGGTAATCTGATGTCCGTTCAATTGTCCCATGTCTCTTAAATTGGAACTCGGACGTTGCGGTGATGTAGGACGGACTGAGAGAAACGTACTGTACATTTCCACCCTCAAATGATACCTCTGGATCCAAGGGTAGGCATCCAAAGCCAGCTCTTTATATATCTACGTTGTGCGCTGAACATACATGTAGCTCGACCAGCCACGGAGGCGTTGTCAACCTGGCGGTATACTGTATTACAGTGTGTCCATCACATTTATTGTCGTCCGGAAATTGATTTTGCCTTGAAGTTAGCATCCCACCATTTGACCGATCGTTATCAGATGAAGTGAAAAGATGGGGTGGGTTCTTTTGAACAGTCATGAACGACACTTCCCAAGTCACCGCGCTTCCCCATGACGTTCCTACGGTGCATCTTGCTTGTACTTGCAGTCTCGGCATCAGTTGCAGGTCAAACCAACACCACATCCGATACACCTACCCTGGCACCGACGATTCTACCAACTTCCCAAACTCCGACACCACCGACGACCATTGGCGTGACGACGCTGCCACCAACGTCAACGTCAAGCCCGTCCGTCGCTCCACCTTCGACCACTCCCTCGTCAACACTGCCACCTACCACTACACCTAGCACTCCCGTGGTGAGAACCACTACATTTGAACCGACCACCACGACGGCCTCCCCGCCAACGACGACAGGCACGGCTGCACCAACCAACCCTCGAACGAATGTGGTCACCACGACTCGGGCGGCGACTGCTGCCGCGACACCCCAACCAAAACCAGCGACATCCCCAACGACACACGATCCGTTGCACATCCAGCAAACTATCACGAGCACATCCCTCCCACCAGCCAACATGAAATCGGACGCGGTCGGTGTAACTTCGATCGTCCTCATTGCAGTTGCTGCAGGGGTGCTGCTGGTCGTGGCCATTGTGGTGTACCGCCGCCACAGACGAAAGGCCAAGTACGCGCCAAAGACCCGTACCCCGCTGCCTTCTGCGCACTTTGTATCTTCGTCCACGCCATTTTCCAACGCCCTGGCTCGACCGAGTGGCGTGCTGTCTCCATGGAGCGACGAAGACGACGATGACGACGCTGCCTTGTTCAAGGAAATGGTGCGCATCCGCGTCCACGTGACTTAGCTCGCCTCTTAACTTATACACACACATCCATTCTATTGCGTCAGTTCAACTGCTTGCTTTGTCACTTGTGTGATGTCGTTTGGCTCGTCGGACGGCAATGAACTGGTTGAGCGGTCGGCCGTGGTCGGAATCCGACTCGAACACGTTGACCAACACTTCAAACTCGTCAGCAAATAGCGTGACCAGTTCGTCACGACCGAGGATGTCTCGGGGTTTGGACGGATGTGGCCACGTCCATGGCCGACCGTCGGCTGGCATGGCGAAGTGTGACCACGCAAAGACCCCACCGACGGGCAACTCATCGCGGGCGACAGCGAGGAGGTCGCGATGAAGGAAGCGGCACCCGAACACGCACTTGATGTCGTTCTGGTGCTTCCGCAGCATACTCCTGACGGCGTCCAGTTTGCGGAGATCCATTTGGACAAACGAGTACGCGGCGTGCACACCCCGTCGACCGGCAAACGCGATCGTGTTGGCCATCCCGGCCTTATTGTGGTCAACGCCATAGAACCGCCATGACGTGACGCCCTGAGCGCGCATCTCTTCCGCGAGGAACATGATGTCTCGCCCCGATCCACAGCCAAGGTCCATCACGACGGAGGAGGAAGGCGATGTCGACGCCGCAACATGCCCCAATATTGGCAAGAGTTGCAACATCAGACTGTTCGGGGTCCATAGTCTCGCATGCGGATACGGACGAGGAGTGTGAGGAGTTGCGACGATGGCCAAGGCTTGCGCAGTGGCGAAGGTACCGGCACAGTCCAGAATGTAGAATTCGACTTGCCATGGTTGTTTGGTTGGATGGAGGGCTGCGTTGGTAAACCAGTCGACTTGGTCGTTGGCGATGGTTGGCGAACACAGCAGCGCGAACCTTGTGGTTCGAGAAGGGTATTCTACATAACGGGTTTCGACGTTAGCAAGGAACGGTCGAGGGCGCGACGCACCATGCGACCGTAACTTTTGCTCGGACCATGGAATGTTCACCTAGGCAGCATGATCAGCCACTCGATGCCTTCTATGAGCAACAACAACCACTAGGTTGGACGCGAATTCGTACGACTGCTCTGAACGTTCCCGCAAGTCGAGCAGATGAATGCCTGCAGCGTGCCATGCATCCAGCGTCACGAGTGGAAGTGCGACTTCCGCCATGGTTGATTTCGAGTTTCCGATATTGTTCCGATGATTGGCTGTATTGCAACATTTTCAAGCCAATAGATCCTGTGAACGAAAACAACGACATACATTCCTCAAAAAGGAAACATTATTTTTCATGTCATTTAGGCGGCGAGCCGTCGCTGGAGCTGGTTCAGCAGCTTTTGCTTGACTTCGTCCCTCGTCCACTCGACGCCATCTTCGGCATCTCCGTCGTCGCCTCCTGATTCCGTTGCTCCCCCCTCCATCGCAGCCACTGGTCGCTTCAACGACACTTTGGTCGTAGTGGCCAAGTGGCCTGCTTTCTCCTTCGCGAGCGTGTCCTTCAACGACGCCAAGCATGCCGTATACCGAGGAACGAGGGACTTCATGTGCTCTGCGTCGTATACGTACGTCGGCAGCTCGGCCTTCTTGGCCTTGGAGAGCATGCGGGTCAGGCCCTTCACCTGCCCTCGCTTGACCAAAGTAACCGCGCGACCGGCGCGACCAGCGCGCGCCGTCCGGCCCACACGATGGATGTACGTCTTGAGGTAGGGTGGGACGTCGTAGTTGATGACGTTACCAACGTGGGCAATGTCCATGCCTCGGGCCATGGCATCCGAGCATACCACGACCTTGATGGCGCCCTTTTTGCACTGCTGCACGAGTTGCGATCGCTGTTTCTGCGTGAGGCCACTGGAATACTCGCGCACACCTACCATCCATTCATTCCTCGATGATCATGCTACCTTCCTAGGCCACCTTCATATTGTAACTCACGTACTCTGCGGTGTCGGGGAGAAGAGCTGCAGCAGTCGGCAAAGGCGATGCGTGGCATTAATTGATGACGTAAACACAATCGTGAGTTGCGACTCGAACGCGTGCAGAAGCTCCAGCAACACCAGCGGCTTGTCCATGCTGTCGCATTCAATCATACTTTCGTCCAAATTCGCCGGCGTTGCAAACAAGTTGTCGTCCAGCGCGTCGTTCACGGTGACCAGTTCGGCATGGGGCATGCCGATGGCGGCGAGTTTCCGAGGGTTCCGCGTCAGTGTCGCGGAAAGCAAGATGCGGATGAGCGGGATGCGGATGCGGTGGGGGTTCTTGCCATCTGCCCGGCGGATCGTCGACGGATGCAAGGACGCGGACCCACCGGCTGCGGTTAAGTCTACAGGTGCTCGATGAGACCACGTTCTGGAGTAACATGATTCATACGTACTTTCGACGCTGGTTTCGGTCACGTAAATGCTTTGGTACAGCTTTGTGATCCAGTCCTGGTACGATTGATTCAGCAGCCGATCGGCTTCGTCCACAACGACAAACTGCACGTGCTGCAGCGTGAAGTGAGGGGTTTGCTCGAGGTGGTCCACCAACCGACCAGGAGTGGCCACGAGGATGTCAACGAGGCTGAGACCGTCCACCGAGCTCACCAAGTGCTGCTGCTCCGTCGTAAAGTTGGATTGACCCATTGCCACGCCGCACGTGAGCGGCGTGCCAGCAATGAGCGTGTCAAACACTTTCTTCACCTGGACAACCAAGTCGCGCGACGGAACCACGACAACGGCACGCAGACGACGGACCACCCGAGACACAAGTCGCTGGACGATGGGTAGCACATACACCATAGTCTTACCACTACCCGTGGGGGCGTTGATGCACAGATCTTTAGTGTACCCCGTCGAGAGAATCTTGGGAATCGTCACGTGTTGGATCGGGAAGAACGAATGGATGCCGCATAGCTCGAGGTTGCGGCGAACTTGAGGATGCAGATCGATGTCGTACTCGGCCTTAGACCAGTGCACCTCGTCCTCTGTCGAGGTCGCGGCGGCGCCGATGGCATCAGCAGGTGTGTTGGAGACCGCGGCAACCATACCTGTATTTGCGCGATGGTTGGTTATTGAAATGGAACTATTATCCGGAATTCAAATCCGGATACCATTCTACTGCGTATACGTATCAAGTGAAGTAGCGATGTTTTCGGCGTGGCCAACTTGGGCGACCACAACCTTTGGCGGCCTCTCTGTGGCCCTTCTGAGCCTTCATGCCCTGGATGCCTCCCCAGCTTCGCCTCCATCCTTGAGCAAGACTACGCCAGCGGACTTTACAGCCTTTCAGATGAAATACTTGTGTGTGTATTGGATCGTGATGTTTGCCGACTGGTTGCAAGGTCCCAACGTGTACACGTTGTACCAGGTTCCCCCTGTTCCATCCTTGCTTGATTACTTACTAGAGGCATGTTGTTGTAGAGCTATGGCATGGATGTCGGCGCTCTCTTCATGATCGGCTTCACATCGTCCGCCGTCTGTAGCAGCACCGTCGGTCGACTCGTCGACACTTACGGCCGCAAGCGCGCATGTGTGGTGTTTTGTCTCTTGGAGGCACGACTGTCCATCTTCTAGCATTGCATCTCAAGCCAAGAACGTCCATTCAATCTGGTGTGTATAGATCGTCATCAACTTGCTCGAACATGTGCCAAACTTCACCGTGCTCGCTGTTGGGAGAGTGTTGGGCGGCATCTCCACGGCTCTCCTCTTCTCGGCTTTTGAGAGCTGGATGGTATCCGAGCACCGGCGTCAACGTACATCTTTACCACTTTTGTGCGTACAACAATCATGTTATTGCCCTAGGGTTCCCGGACGAACTCTTGGCTTCGACGTTTGCCCTCGCGGCCGAAGGGAATGGCCTCGTTGCCATCGTTGCTGGCGTCGTTGCTCAAATAGCCGCCGATCAATATGGTGATATTGCACCGTTCCAACTCGCCATTGCAGCAACGGTCGTCGCCGCCCTGTGGATTTGGCGCTTCTGGCCATCCGACTCGCCACCTGTGGGCACCCAGGAGCGTGCCACGTCAGAGAGTACTACTACTACCCCTTCCCCCACGACATGGACGTGGCCAGTCCTAGCCCTCGGCCTTTCGTACAGTCTGTTTGAAGGCGCCATGTATGTCTTCGGTACCGTTTCCTCCTTATTTTCAGCTACTTTTATCCCCCCTACGTAGTCTTTCTATGGGTCCCTGCATTGCAATCCCTTTCACCTGACCCCCTTCCCGTCGGCCTCGTGTTTGCCTCGTTCATGTTATGCCTGGCGATTGGCGGCAAAGTTGTACGGGGCGTGCCGCACTCGTCGTTGCCGCTCGTACTGTCCATCCTCTGCGGCGTGGCCGCGCTGTGTATGGTGATTCCTGCTGTACGTCACTCACACACAGGGCGATACCAACCCCATACTATCTCCATCACGGCGAAATCACCTGCATTTGATAGTTGGAATGGGGCCTCGCGTGGACGCTGGCGTCATTTTTGGTGTTTGAGGTACCCCTCGTCCCCTCTACTGTCGTCGACCTAACGTCGTTCTAGGTGTGTGTGGGCATGTACTTTCCCATCACAGCCACGTTGCGCGCCGATAATTTTCCCGATGCCACCATGAGCACCATCATGACAGCATTCCGCCTTCCGACCAATGTGATTGTGCTTGCGGGGACCCAGATGGCGTCGTGGTCGGCCACGTCTCCGCACATCTTTCTCCTCTGCGCGGCGGTCCATATTGTGGCGGCGGCTGTAGCCACGACTGGCATCACCGTCGTCCCAGCGACAAAATAACAAACCAAGGCACATTCGTCATTCACGTTCTTCTTAAACTGGCACCGGCCGACGCAGTCGTCGTGCTCTTGTCGTCCGACTTTCGAAAGTACAAGTACATAAACAGTACCAGCACCTACAGAATGATATATAAATACATGCGTCGTCGTCAATCAATGAGTATACATGTCCAATACCCAAAGCTAAAGAAAACGGTCAACCAACGAAAAAGGGTAATCTCAAATGTACACAGCAAGGAAATGTCCAAAAGGCAATGTGTCACAAGAATTGTTGATTTTATTCGAAAACCTCAGGCGATTTAGGATACAATATATATATATATATATCAGAGGTCGGGACTAAAATCGATCGATACATGGGCAATTACAAGGCCAAAAATGCATGGCTGGAAGTACAACAGCAGCTACGTACCAGCACGACCACCCCTGCGAGAATGTACAATTTGACATTTTGAAGCCACAATGTGCGACGCAGGTTGCGGCTGGACTTTGCAAATGCATCGGCCGACGAACTAACACATCGTGAGTCATGCCAGCAATATGATGGAAGGTGTCATGTAGGTACGAACTTGAGGGACTCGGACTTGTCGACGAGCAAGTCGATCTTGTCGCCACGTTCCAACACTTTGCCGATGTTGTGTTGCATGGAGTCCTTGACGCCGTCGAGGTCCTTCCGCAGCGCTTCGAGTTTCTGCATCCCGCCCTGGGACGACAACATTTCCATGTGGGTCTTCAAGATGGCTCCGAAATCGCGCTGCATGTCCAGTTTCAACTTGGTCATTTTCCCCCGCACGCCAAACTGTTCCTCGAATTGCGCCTGGATGTGCTTGAGGAACGCTGTGACGGCCCCGCGGCCCACGGAAGCGTCCGCCACGCAGATGTACACGACTTCGTTCTCCACAAGGTAGCTATACGTCTTCCCCTCGCAGTCGATCGCCTCCATCTCCAACTCAATCTTCTCAAAATTGAGTTTCTTCGTCAGCTGCACGGCGATTTCCTTGACCTTTTTGCCACTGTTCGTCGGACTTGCGGGCCCCCCTCCATTGTACTCACATTCAGCTAGCGAGCAATGCTTGTTGGCGACCAAACAGTATGAGATCGGCATATCACCACGGCACTTGTCGACCGCGGCGGCAGTACAAATGATGGCGTGAATCGAAAACCGTCGAGTTTCAACGGCAGTCTGACACCCCGTGGTTTTTTGTATTGCATGATTTAAAGCCATAAACTTCAGGTTTGTATTTAAAAATAACGTCACCTTGCATCTTTTTATTAAATTGAAATATATTTGGTTAATCTTGTACACACACATAAACTTCAGGTTTGTATGTAAAAATAACGTCACTTTGCATCTTTTTATTAAATTGAAATATATTTGGTTAATCTTGTACACACACATAAACTTCAGGTTTGTATGTAAAAATAACGTCACTTTGCATCTTTTTATTAAATTGAAATATATTTGGTTAATCTTGTACAC